AGAATATTTTAGATTTTATCGACTAATTGCACTTTTTGTTCCTAGGTGATCCCAATGTGGAAGGGTAGAAAAGAAAAAAATGAATTTGAGATGGGCAAGCTCCACATGGGAAAGCTTCAAATTATGCCACAGCATAATTTTAAAGATACTTCGGCCTATGTAGGATTCTAAAATACATACCTAATTTCTCTTGATTAAGATTTCCTAGATTAAGATCAAGATTAGGTTAAGATCAAGATTAGATTAAAATCCAGATTAATTTCGGGTGAATTTGTATGGCAGGTACCTGAAATATAGAAGGTACAGACCCCATTTTCTCAGAATATTTGTCTCCCGATGAGAAACTCATCTTCCCAAAATATTTTCAAGATCGCTTGAGAAATGTGGAAGTTATTACGATTATAAAAAGTTAACATCCAGAGTCGAAATGCGACGTCGAAAAAAAGTTATTATTTTTACTTTTCTCGACGTTATATGATATTTTAAGCATATTTAAGCAAAAAAAATTTTGAATTTTTTTGCCAATTTCAATACGATGGCCCATGTTAATATGGTATAGGGCCGTCGTAAAATTAATTCCAAATTTCAGTGAAGAATCCTTTCAATTTTATTGCGATCAAAAATCACATGGCTCATTATTTGGCATTCTTTCACCATCTCTGTAAGTCATACCATCATCATCACAATCGCAATCAACCATGGGGCAACATTGACCTGGGGTGTAAATTAGTTCACAATGCTCAGGAACACCATTAAAATAGTGAGAACAATCAATTGAAGCACCCGAGTATTTTTCAGAAAAAACTCCTACAAAAAAGCAACCTTCGACGCCAGCTTCGACACATTCTAGATAAATGTTTTGTTAAATTTCATTATTTTAGTTCAATGGTTTTAAATGTCTCACTTTCTCGATTCGTAGGTGTTGAAGATACTTTGAAAGAAAAATAAAAACTTAACTTTTTTTTGGAAATATTTGAAATCTCACCTGACGTAAAAAGAGCTACCTAACTAAATTAAAGAAGCACAAAAACCTTTCAGAAATAAAATTCATTTTTATTGCTCTTCGATGTTCACGTCCTATAAGAGTGAAACTTAAAATTCAATTGAATTTATCAGACGAAGTTCTTAAGTGAATCTTTAGAAAATTTATCACACTCAATCCAATTTGTCGAGACTTCTGATGCTGCTTAGATGTCTTTTCTGTTCAAATCAAAACTCTTCACTTTCCTCCAACCGGTTGATATTCAATATCATCAAAACTTTCTTCTTCAAAGAGATTTTTTCCAGTTCGTACCATTTTGAACAATAAACTGATTGCTCAAATTCTTCGCACTGTGAATTAAAATATGACTCAAAATTTACAAATTCTTAAGCTTTTCATATTTACCGCTGTTGAAACTTTTGTTCCCATATAGCAATATGTAAAAAACTGAACCAATAAGCATAAAGAGGCAAATGACGCAACCGATTTCATTCCACTCTTTAGTTGAAATAATGTTGAAACTATCGCTCCGAAGTCTGATAACATTAGGAAGAAATTTATGGGCTGGAGAATGAGACTTGTAGTTTCAATGACGTTAAGCGCATGTAAATGTTTCTTGACCAAATCGTCAATAAAATTGTCGTCAGCATTTTTCCCAATCTTTGATGCTAAACCACTACAAATGGACATTTTTGATAGACCATGAATCGTCACCATTATAAAGAATGAATCGAAACCTTGGAATGCAAAATATTATTAAAATTTGATNAATTTAAATAGAAACACCAAATGTTCCGATAGTGAAGAAAAATATTTCCAGAACGTTGAATAAACTTTAGACGACACCTAAAAGAAAATTCATGAACGCATAAGCTTTATTAATGAAATCAGCAAACGTGTCCAAGTTAATTGGTTTGATCCCAAATGCAGAATAAATCACTACAAATGGACATTTTTGATAGACCATGAATCGTCACCATTATAAAGAATGAATCGAAACCTTGGAATGCAAAATATTATTAAAATTTGATTAAGTTTTGAACATTTTAATTTAATGTTTACTTATATAGAAGAAAACTGTTAAAACAACCATAACTGATATTGTTGCCATGTTAATCTCATGAGATGGATGCGAGTTGGGTCTAATGATAAAAATTTAATATAGAATAAACAATTAATCAATTTCAACCTCATCATAAGAAAGTTTTAAAATGTACAAGTTGCGGTTTTCTTACATTGTCCATGGAATCCTTATTTCAACTGTTAATACAAAATCTTTGATTGTAACAAAATTCCAAAGCACGAGAAAAGAACCACAGACTGAATAGATAGCAATAGAAACGAGTACGAGAATCCGAGTTGTTCTTCGATATGCTTTTTCAGTTTCATCGAAAATTTCATTTCCATCGCTCAGAATTATTTCCCTTAACTTTGAAAACTTCTTCAAGTGGAAAGAAATCACCAACAGTTTTGTAAAAGTCTGAGGAAAATGAATGTGAGTGAGATTCACCAAAAATCTTTTCAACTTACCTGTAGCCACACGCATGTTCCAACAAACGCCGAAAGCTGATCAGTTCCAGAAAAATCTTTTAAAATGTTTTTCATAAACGTGAAAATGGTGAAACCCCATAAAAATGTAAAATAAATGAGAAAGATCCATGAACCATTTCTAATTTTAAAAGGATCACAAGCTGTAAAAAAATTAAAGTTGAAAATTTTATGTTTATGCTTGTTTTAAAAAAATCTTACTTGAGAATTTGAAGCATTTATCGATAACTTCAAATTCAAATAAGTAATCAAAGTTGTTGTTTAGCAAATAATCAAACTTAAGTTTCAGATCACGGATATATTTTATAATCTGAGTCATTTTCAAGCACACTCAAAGTCGGTTGATGTAAAACTGACAAATTTTCGCACCTTTTCTGTTACTTTTATATCAAATCTAGAAAACTTGAAAATGTTTATTAATCATTAATGTGTCGCTTGCAAGGAATTAAATTATTAAAATCGATCATATAGGTAACGGGGAGTTGGAAGAAGGCGTTCATAAAGGAATCCTTGATAAATTTTTAACTTCACATGAATCATGACACAATTCCTTTCACGCCCTGAGTGCATTGATTTTTTTAAAATGATTTTTTAATGCTTTATCCTAAATACATAGTTAGGTATCACATTTGGAATCACGTCATGTCGGTCATTGCATAATATTGTAAGTTTTCTTATCTTCTGATTTTAAATATAAATAAATTATAAATTAGTTGACTAAATGCAGTGAATTGTAATGATAATCTTTTGTATTGAATGCAACTTCATTATCAGCCTTATAACATTGAAAACATTATGGCGAGAATCATAATCTTCAATCGTCGTGTAATTTATCATGTTTTCATATTGTTGTTGCAAAAGATTTTGTATGATGGCAATCTACCAAACATCACCACAATGATTCACATCTGGTTACAGTTACAGCAAACAAAACAGAAATGTTAAATTATTTATTAAGAAATCAAGTAACATACATGATTAGAAAAGAAGGATTATTCCTTCAATCACTACTTATTTGCTATTTGACACTGATTTAAGGTGAAAGATTCAATTGAGCTGCACAATATTCTTTCAGCTTCAAAAACCCTTGAATTAAGTCTTTCGTAAAATTGTTTCTTTTAAAAGGTTTGTTTAAAATTTTTACTTCATTGATTTTTTTTCTTAGAGGCATCTAAATGAAGGGAAAAAAGATTTCTATCTTTAACTGTTTGGTTGATGTTTAAAATATTTTAAAAGGGAGAAAAGCCAAAAGGAATGAAAGCCGTTCGAAAGTAAATATTAAAAGATATTAAATATTGTGGTGAAATTCCAAGCTTGTATTTTGCAGAAATTTCACGCTACAAAATATAAAAATTTGTTTAACAATCTAAGTGAACGCACCTCGTACGAAGTCTTGTCCTAAAGTGATATTCTTCATTGATTGAAAACCACTTTTATGCCAATTTTTAATCAAAATCAATTTTATTTGATTACCGGAACATTGGAATTGAGATTAGATAAACAAGTTTCTATCATTCCGTTTTCCTAAATTTTAATAAAGATTTGAATGATTATCTGAAGAAAATTAAATCCAATTTGGTGGTTGTTTTTGGAGGTGACAAATCAACCAAAAGTTTTTAAAAAGGTACATCAGGTACATACATACTTATCAAAACCATTTATTTCAAAAGTATTAAGAGAAATTTCTATTTATAACTGAAGTAGATGGAAAAATCAGCTGATAAATGGTATTCAAAATAATCTTATCGTTCATTCAAGAGTGATTTTTGCGAAATCATTAAAAACACTGATAAAGTTTTAAATGTATAAGTTGAATTCAGTATAAAATTGAAGTTTGAAGTGAAGAGTGATGAAAATTATTCATTAAAATTGGATGAAGTGTTGATCGCATCACTTTGAGCTTTAATCAAATCAAAGTTTGTAAATAGGCTTTTGTGAAAAATACTGACAAATAATTATAATTTGTCATGACACCAACAGCATCAAAAATAGTTTTATATTCATCATGGCTATCAAGTTGTTCTTATCGTGTTCGAATTTGTTTGAATTTCAAAGAGATAAATTATCAACTAAAACCTGTTGATTTAATGAAATTTTCATCATCTGAAAGTTACAGCAATGAGTACGTAGCAAGTCCAACAAAATATGTACCAGCATTAGAAATTGACGGACATACTTTGTTTGAATCGATGACGATCATGCAATATGTTGAGGAAACACGCCCACACAATCCTCTTCTTCCAAATGATCCCTCAAAACGAGCTCAAGTCAGAACAATTTGTGATATAATCGTCTCTGGTATTCAACCATTACAAAATATTGCTGTTGTCAATCGGATTATCAAACACTCTGTGGGCGAAAATCAAGAACATTGGAGACAATTCTGGATTTCAAGAGGTTTTAATGTCCTTGAAAAGATTTTAACTGAAACTTCTGGCAAATATTGTGTTGGCGATGAAATAACTTTTGCAGATTGTTGTTTAGTTCCACAAGTTTTCAGTGCAAGAAGGCAAGTTTCACATTAAAATTTTGTCGTTTTCTAATTATTTAACTTTATTTTTAGGTTTAACGTTGACCTTAATGCTTATCCAAACATATTACGAATTGACAAAGAATTATCAAATATTCCAGCATTTCAAAAAGCTCATCCAATGTCACAAGAAGATTTCCCCAAGGATAAGAAAATTTCAGCATTGCTTGAATCCAAACTTTGATAAATTACAATGACAAAGCTTGTCAATAAATGCTTTTATTATTCATTCAATTGCATTCTTAATCATTGATGAAATGTCTTCATGCAGAGACACTTTGTAAAATCCAACAATTGATTCAATAAATCGAACCGAGGGTTGCTGTAACTTTTGTTACAATAAAACTTATCAATTGATGACGAAATTGCATCGCTTCATTTATTTTCTCTGTCATGAAACGTCATTCACATAAAGGGAAAAATCATCTGCCAGATATTTTATGTTGATTGACAATATGCGCAATTATGATGTCAACCGAAGCTACTCAGATTTTTAACGGATAAATAATGTTGAATGAAAGTATGAAACATTCGAACGATTGAATGAAATGAGGGGAGTATAGAAAATAGTTTCAAGTGCACTTAATGTTCTATTTCATCATAACATGGCACATAAAATTTGATGCCGCATTATTCATGTTTGTTTTCTCTTCAACTGTTATGTATTTTTATTTCCTTTCTTTTTCATTTAGGTAGATGCCAAGTGAAGGCAAAAAATTATGAATTTATGACTTTAAACAAAGTTAAAGGAAGGGTTGAGCTTAAACTCTTCCTGGGGTTGAAATTTTTTTCTATGATTGTTCCGCAGATTGTATCGTTCTACAATTTTCCTGTAAAAACAACAAAACCATCAACTCATTCACAGCCAAAAAAGTGATAAAAGACTTTTATAAAATTTACAACTTTACTTTTTTCTGTTTTTATATCCAGCCCCTAACCAACGACAAAACATTAAAACTTTTTTTTTTAGTTTTTTTTAATCACACCACGATTTTTTTTAATTTGGTTTTTAAAATGACATCAAAAGCAGCAAAAAAAGCAAGAGAATTGTATTTCATCCGGTTTTACTGAATTTAAATAATTTAAGCAAGGAATTAAGGGAAGTAAGAATTTCTTTATTATTCAAATAATTCTGGTTTTGTGTTAATTAAAAAAAATCGACATCTATTTTTATTTAAAGTTATGTGAAGCGTTTGATCAAATTTTCGTTGGTTGAGATAGTTTTGTGCAACTGCTGATTCAATTCACATGGATGCAATAAACATCATGTAAAGCTAATCATGTACAATGACAATCTTTCACAATACTACACAAAATCAATCTTAATTGAATCAACGACAATTCACCGATTTCCGGTTGACTTGTCGCACATGCCTTAACAAAAGGACTCATATTTATTGTCCCAGGGTGGAAATTTTAAGTCCCATATCGAAATACGATTTAAAATATAAGTTGGAAATTCAGGTCAATTGACAGAACAAATTTCGTAACACGTTCTTATTCTGTAGGGTTCGATTTACACTTTTTAAGGGTTTTATGGTGTTTCAAGCAAATATTCGGGTACAAGAATTGTTCTACTTATTATGTTCTTAATTCTTTGACTCCTTTTGGTTTTTTTCTCTTGACTGTTTAATAATTGTCAAATAACTCAAAAGCACTTAAAGTTTTACAACTGATTGAAAAAAGATTTCTAAAAGTTTAAAAAACTAATGAAACATATTTAATACTAATAACTATTGCTTAATAACTCATGTAAAATACATTTTGGTTAATTTTCAAGTATTAATTCCTGAAAATAAAGCTGAGACATGATATTGCAATAAAATAAACTCGTGCACAAGAAATATTTAAATGAGAAAGACAAAGAAATTCTTGTTAGTAGTTATTGAAAAATTGAACTGAGTTGAGTGAAAATGTTTCATTTTTGTATTTTAACAATCTTGACTTTGGGAAATTTAGTTTCTGGTCAAGATACCACGAATTTTGATGGAACATGTCCTGAATATTGCGAACCCGTCGAACTTAACATTACCAGTGATATGGTATTTTTAATTAAATCATTTGAACTAAAGGGAAAACAGCTAAAACTGTATTAATTAATTTAATAGTTGACAGGAGTTTGGTTTCTTCAATATTTTATTCCTTATTATTATGAGGTAAATGCAAAATGTATGTATCTTAACAACACAGAGATTGGAGAAAATCAGCTTAATTTTGAAAGGCCTTTTAGAGACACGGAGTAAGTTTCTATTAAAGCTTTGGAAATTATTAAAATATTTTCTTTATTTTTTCAAAGCACAAATGAACCAACTTCGATTTTTGGTGAAACAGATTTTGAAAGCGATGGCTCAATAATTTATAAATTAATTGAATGTAAGTGTTAAAAGCAGATTTATCTCATAGAAAAACTTTAACATTTATTAATAAAATTGTTCAGTGGGTCTTCCAATTGAATCTCAATATGTTGTTGTGACTCCAGGTAATATTTAATGATAACTTTTAAATTTCGTATTCCGTGTTATTTTAACGTGTAAAAAGTGATAGAAGTGTTCTTTTCGTGCCGCGCTTAGTTATACTACACTTTTTACGTGACTTCAACAAAACTTAATTAATATTTAATGATATAAGATTCACGAAGTGTTCACGATTTTTTGACTATTTCTAAATATTATAGAGCTGATCGTGGAAATCGCTTGTCACGAATGCGGGTTTTATGAAAAGAAAGGATCAGGATGTGAGTAAAACTATTATTTGCACTAGCATTTAAGTAATTCAATTTTCTTTTAAATAGTTTACGCAAAAATTTACACAAGGCTTCCTTTCCCTAGTTGTGACTTGTTGGATTATGCTATCGACACATTAGTAAATTGTGGAATATCAAGAGAAAGTTTGATTTTACATGATCAACATGATTGCAAGCAATGTTTTGATAATAATTAATAACCTGAATAAATTATTGTCTTGAATTTATTACGATTTCTTTTTTTCAGCTCTTATTACCTATGACAATTTATTAATATAATTATCACAAAATAACATACAAATTAACGGTTTCTAATATTTCAAACTTATGATTTATGCTCTTTGAACCGTTAAAACCTATTTGAACCGTTACTGCAGTCTGTCAATAAATTTCGCGGTATAAACAAAGTACAAAAGTGAATAAATATAATGGAAAATCAGATAAATGCCGCAATTAACGCTATTAAACTGCTTAGATCAAGCGTTTCTAATGTATTTGATGTAAGTTGAAACAGAAATATTCATACCTGGTGAAGAGAAACAATTTTTTTATATCGATTTTCAGTCAACATTATCGGCAGAAAATAATAGCACCAAAGACGAGCCAACTTTTCTTCTAGAACTTCAAGATGCATTAAGTGTTGTTGACACAAACTTTAAAAATGTTGAGTCTTCAATAAACGTTTTGAATGTCCCATCGGGACCTTTGACTTTAGGCAACACAGGATATTTAAATCATGAAGCAGATCCAGATCGCCAAGCGGCTTATACAGAACTTGTCAATAGTTATAAGTGGTATGAGAAGACTCATCTCTACTCAGCTCTCGCCAACACAATGCTTTCTCACAATTCCTTAAAGCGTTCACTCTTCTCAAGTTCAAACAAAAGACGATTAATTACGCCAAGCGCTCATATTGCTCCTCCAAGACTAGTCGATCAAATCATCAGTTCAATGAATGTTAACAACATGACAATTAAAATTTATCGACCATTTGCTACAAATGCTTTCCTTCATGTAAGTTTTTCGAATTTTTATCTTATGAATTGAAGTCACTGAACGATTTTTTATTTCTCAGATAAATTTGAGTCGTGTTTTAAAAGCTGCAATTATCTTACGTGGTCTGATGATTGAATGGGTAACAGTTAAAGGCTTCAACGAAACACTTGATAATGTTGATGATCACTGGGTTGAATCTCGTTATGCAGTCTTCAGAAAAATTCAAGATCATGCACATTGCGCGATGCTTCATTTTTATTCACCAACATTTGCAGAACTTGCCATTCGTAGCTTCATCACATGGTTTGGAAGCTATTCAAATATTTTCTCAGAACCATGTAAAAAATGCGAAAAATTTTTGCTCAACAACCTCCCACCAACTTATCGTGATTTTCGATCTCTTGAACCATTCCATGAGGAATGCAGGCATTAAAAAATAATCAATATAAAATAAAGATTGAAATTTTAGCTTTTGTTTGTATTTCTTTATTTTTTGAAATTTCAGAACTCGAAAAGCTTAAATGATTCATGAGAAATATTTTAAACGAAAGGTTCAAGAGAAATCTCAACAACAGACACCGGGTTAGTAATTTCAAAAGCTTCTAAAACTGTTGGATGAAGAATTCCAATTCGGCCAATATCAATTCCTTTAAATTGAATAGTTGCACAACGGCCAGCAAAGTACGATGGATCTTTAAGTAAAAATCAAAGAAATTTAATTTAATTAAAAGCACGTTTGCAAAAAATCAAACTTCCACTTACCATTGACAGATTTAAGCCAGTATCCTTCCGTTTTATCCCATGGAACATCTAATGATTGCATCACTCGATCTAAAATTCCATGCACAACTTCAAATCCAGCATTTTTATTACAATTAACAGCACATAAATGACGTTCATTTCTTGCACCGACTTCAGCTTCGGAATCTCTTAAAACAACGTCTGAAATCTCGAACAATTTCAATGGTAACGGCATTTTCTTGTTAGCAGATAATGTCTTGAGCACACCAGGAAGTAAAGTTGTTCGTGCAATTTGAAATTCAACAGTTTTTGGGTTTCCAATGTGAACAGCTGGAATTTCATCAATTTTTTTGTTCATTTTTGTGCTGACATCATCACGAGAACAGAGTGTGAATGTAAGAGCTTCAGTTAATCCTGCTTGTGCTAATACAAAGCGCAATTGTTCACTCAATTTGTTCAATGGAAATAAACAACCAGTTGTGTTGATGTTTGGAACTGTTTTTACAATGTTATTGTATCCGTAAGCGATAGCAGCATCTTCATAAATATCTGCAGCATGAATAACGTCATGACGTGTTGGTGGAATTTCAACATCCAACTCATTCTCGTTCACAACTGAAGTCTTTAAATACATTCGACTAAGCATTTCAGCAAGTTCATCGGCTGATGAGCTAATTCCAATGTATTTATTGATTTCGTCAACATAAACTCTTTCGAAACGATACGAAAGTTCAGGATATTTGACAACACTTCCATCAGCATTCTTCACTTCAACAGCTTCGATCTTGAACGGCTTAGAGCAATGATGAGAGAACAAAGTTACAATTGTATCGAGAACAATTTTTGCTTTCGTTAAATCTGTTGCTGTGCACTCAATCAAGATGTTTTTTGTGTTGACAGAAATCTTTGAATGATCGCCATTAATAATTGGTGGAAGTGACAACACAACACCATTTGCATCATAAATCACTGGATAAACTGGTGAATCGCGAATAATTGGCAAATAAGTTTTCAACTGTGCATGAGTTGAATAGAAATCCATCAGCTCTTCAGCGTTCATTTCCTTTGTTTGATTAAGTGGAATGAAGCGAATATCCTTTGGAGGTTTAGCATCGTATGTGAAGGGACCTTTTATCGTGTCAAGATCGTGAGTTCCAATCGCAACTAAAACTCTTTTTCTACAAATGTTCTGATGAAGTTTATCTTGTAAATCAATGAAACGATCATATTTTTCCTTATTTAAATTGATGTCACGAAGAACAGCAGCAACAACGAACGGACGAATAAGTTTTGTAGATTCGGTCACTGTCATTGTGTGGATCGTCTTAGGCGTGATTCGTTGATATTTTGGTGGTTCCATTTTCTTTTGGAAAACCATTAAACCAGTTACCAAGCCTTCGAGACAGAGAAGATCATATCGATTTGCTGGGATGTCAATACGATAGATAATTTCCTCAGAAGCGTCTTGAAGTGATGCAGCATCGCCTTGTTCCTTCGTCAGCATTTGTTTCTCAGATGTCTACAATTCAAATCTAATCAAATTCTTTTAAACGAAAGCTTGTCTATTATTACTCACAACTTCATCAAGTTCCAAGCCAAACTCGAAACAAAGTTTCTGGAATTCATCATCAGCTGAAAAATTTGGCAAAAATTTCCATGTGAGAATAAATTTTTCAATTTTTATTTAAATTTAATGAAAATACGAACTGTATGATTTTCCTAATGCTTCAAATAATAACTCTTTTTTTACACCTATTGTCGGCATCTTAAGAAAGATTTTTATTCAGCTATATATAATTAAAAATTAAGTTGAAAATCTTTATTGAGATTTGAAGAATGTTTTTCGTGGCGGTGTGAAATGACAGACCGACACAACACAGATAACAACTTTATAGACAACATGTTAGATTTTTGAATAATAATTTGTCGTTATACTCATATGTTTATTATTATTTAATTAGAAATTAAATTCATTTAGAAATTGAATTAAATTTAGGAAAAATCTTATCTGTAAAAAAAAATTCTGAAAATTTAAGAAGAAAGAAAAGCCAAGACTTTTATTTTTATCATTTTTTGAATATATTTTCTTGCTTGTTATTACTATAGTATCCTTTAATTCCATTATAATTCAATTTTTAATGTAATTCTTCTCATTTGTGATCTTTAAATTCCTTGTTTTTGCCCAGGAAAGACTATAGCGTACTTTTATTCTTGCAAATTTTATCTAATTTCTGAAAGTTGAATGAAGTTTCATTTTTTTAGATAAAAATCGGCTTGTAAGAAAATTAGAAGAATGAATTGTTGTTGAAAGCCATTAGAGATGTTTTATTATGTGTTTGATATTAAGCTTAATTCAGAAAACAATTCAATGAACGTTTTTATGCCCAATTTTTTATGTTCAAAGAATCATATTTCGTCAAAAAGCTTTCAAATCGTTACCCATAAAAATCTCTATCTTAATGCAAGCTTTTATGCTTAATAGTCGACTCATATTTAATCAAATTCGGTACGAAACCAAAGAAATAGATTTTTTTTCATCAAAAAGCTTTTATATCATGTTGTTGTAATTTTGCTCAACCATGATTTTTTCAAAGAGCAAAATAAGCATAAAAAATTTCATCATGCTGAGAAAAAAACAAAAAACGAAAATCTACACTTTTCTTTTTGTGTTTTTCTGTTACGTAAAATGTTTTTCACTTTTCTTTTAAGTCCTACCAGTAGTATGAAAAGTTTTGGGGAGCTATTTTTAATAATGTAGCATAAACAAAAATTTAGTAGTCATGCATCATCACTACTGCCATCATCATCATCATCATTATTTTTTCTTCCTCTTGCGCGTTGAGAACAAACTTTAAACCTTTTTTTTTATTCTTTTATATTTTTTATGAGAAGAATTTCTTATAAGTGACTCGTGAAAACTCAAAACTTGATTAAGGAGTCGTTGGTCGATTCACGATGATAGAAAAAAACTTTTTTTTAATTTTTTTTCTTTTTTTTGTGTTGTGACGAAGATAGAAGCAAGAAATAATTGGATTTGTGTTGTTGTTTAATGTGTCCATTTAGCTGGCCATGGCTAAGAGTAGAATTAAGAGAAAAATATATTATTTAATTTTTTGATAAATCAATTAAATTTCAATTAAATTTCTCACCTGCTTATCAAATTCATAAGGTGTTTGCTGCAAATCTGTAGAGAGATTTGTCAAATCACCACTACCACCAATATATGGAACGCTTGGATGGAAAGACGCTTGACCATTGACACCTCTCATGTAGTTCATCTGCTGTTGTGTTGTATCCATTTGGTACTAAAAATAAAAAGAAATGAAATTAATAATAACAAATTTAATATTTCAAATGTCTTTCATACTTGGAAAATATCTTGCATGGGAAATTCAGCTGGTTGGTCATAGTGTCCACGTGGAACAACAGAGATGTTAGATTGCATTTGCCATTGCTGTTGTTGGTTCTTATCAATCCATGAATTTCTTCCCGGTGCCATTGACGGAGCTGTCATCATAGCACTAGCATCCATATCTAGTAAATTCTGGCCACCATAACCACCGCTTGAACCACTATAAAAGTTTGTTGTCATCTTATAATTTCTTTCATTGCCAATAGGCGCTGGCGCTTTGCGAGAATCATCAATCGGACCATTTACAGACGACTGCTGTTGTTGCTGTTGTTGAGAATTGTTATTTGGTGACATTGATGGTGACGAACCAGTAAAATCCATTCCACTTTGTCCACCACCATAATTTCCATATTCTTGGAACCATCTTGATGATGATGACGATGGTTGTTGATTTACTGATGATCTTTGATAATTCTGTTGTCCTGAATTACCACCACCAGCACCTGGTGACTTCATAAAACTGTTATTATTGTTATTATTATTGCTTGGTGGTTGCATAAATGAAGTTCCAAATTGAGTTGCATTCATTTTATTTTGATTTTGAACTCCACCACCAATCGATGATGATGATGATGTTGATGACGATGTTGCACCTCCAACAGCTGATGATGAAAAAGCTGATGCTTTTGGATTTAATCTTGACATCGATGCATTAACATTTGTTTGGTTCATTCCATAATCAAAATTTCCATAGTCAAACAAACCAGGACCACGAGCGAAATTTAAATCCATTCGATTGTTTCCATTACCGCCACCAGATGGCCTTTGAAGCGGTCCCAATGATGACTGCATTGGACCTTGACCAATCGGCTTTATAACAGCATTCAAATCACCATAAGAAGTTGGATTAACATTTGCAACACTTGTTATATTCGGTGCTTGTGTTGATGGTGGTGTAGCTGAATTACTTGATGTCTTTGATGAGCTTACTGGTGAATTAATTGAAGTTCCACGATAACCAGGTGCCTTTGATGGTTCTGACTCTATGAAAGATGTTGTCACTTTCATTGGATTAAACACCATCGGTGATTTATCTTGCGACCATTTTCCATAATTATCGAATAATGAATATTCTAAACCTTGAGGGTTGCTTACATGAAGATCACCAAGTTTCGTTTGAATCTGATGATGATCAGAGCTATTATTATATGGTGTACTAAGATCCAATGTGTTGACAATATGCGACGAATGTGGCGATGCATTAACATTTCTTGTTGGTGGTCCAATTGGCGTAATTGAACGTGTAAGAGTCGAAGTTGAAGTTGATGTCGAAACAATTGAATCTGAGAATGAATTTGTTAAAGCACCAACAGTTGATGATGATAAACTGTTTGCAAATGGTGCTGGTAAAACAGACGATGACATTTGTTTTGTTGGTGATGATCCTAAAGATTTTCTTTCATCAATTGAACCACAAAGCTTCGACGCAAATGTTCCCGACGATGACGACGACGCTTGAGATGTTACAGCAGATGAATTTCCAATAGAATTCTTCAATGCTTGAATTGATGTTGCAATTGATGTTGCTGGCTTTGATGGTGGACCATTTGTTGCCATCATCCCTTTCTTCGAGTTATCAACTTTTGGTGTTGGTCGCATAATTGCATTTGTTGATGACGATGACGATGCTGATGTTGTTGTAAAAAGATTCTTAGCGACCAATGGTCGTTGTTGATGAGATTTACTGTTGTTGCTATTGTTATTGAGATGTGTAGGAGTCGTTGGCTTTGTAATACCACCAACATTTGATGATGCTGAAATTTTAGAAGCTGCAGCAGCGAATGAAGCACCAGCTGGTTTTACTGGATTTTTAACAGTTGGAAAAGTGTTTAGGCTTTTCTCCCAAACACTCGTCCCGTTATTTATAGCAATTGTTGTTGGGACAATCGCTGGAACTATCGCTGGTGTAACGATATTTGTATTTGATGAAGATTTCTGTGGTTGTTGTTGTTGATGTTGACAATTATTACGTTGAAGCATACTCAAAATATCAGCATTTGGGTCTTTAATTAATGTTGAAATTAAATTGTGTGCTTGTTTTGTTGCTTCTGGAACGCCTTTAATTGTAATTGAACGATCGCCTTGAGTCTTTCCTTGTTTCTCAACTTCAATATGTGCACCAGTTTCAGCTCGAATTGTGTTGATGTTTGATCCGCCACGTCCAATAACACGAGAAATCGCATTCAATGGAACTTGAATCTTCTTACAACCAATTTCGTTTGCTGACGATGACATGGATGATGATTGCGGTGCTGTTGTTGATGATGAAGATGTAACAGTTGTCAATGATGCTGATGGTGTTGGTTTACGTCCAACTTCCTTCCATTCTTCTTCACGTGGTGGTTTAACTGAACTTGTCGATGGAGCATTTGAAACTTTTGTCGGTGATGTTGTTGACTTTGGTTTTGACAGTGATGACGATGACGATGATGATGTTGTTGTTGAAGATGATATCTTAAAGTAATCAATCTCATAATCATCACCACCACCGGCAGATGATCTTGTTGAACTTCCAAAAACCAAAGACTTTCGATGTTGATTGTTTCTTGTATTTTCATAGTTCTTTAAATCACGCGGTGATTTTCCACTTGACGTTTCTTTTGGTGCAACATTTTCCTTCTCGATCGGCTTTATCGACTTTATCGTTAAATCAGCCGATCTTTGATTCTTTTGATCACGATTACGTTTTGAATCTTCACGTGAACTTTTATTCATTGATTCGATTGCAGCTGATGTTGCTTTTGAAACAGGCGCTGGACTGCTTGATGATCTTGTGGATGAAGCTTTGCCACCACCACCACCATTTGAAGGCTTTGATGATTGAACAGCATTCTCTGCTTGATTTTTCTTACGTTTTTGATTCTTTTGATTTTTTCCATTTTGATTGACATTTTCAACTTCAACTTGATTATTATTGTTGTTGTTGTTATTCTTTGACGTTGCACCTTTCGCATCAGATGATGAACATGATCCTTGATCAATCCCTGAGTCGCCTTCTTCTTTATCCATCAACACTGGTGGACTTTCAATCTCTTCATTATCGTCATCATCGTTTGATTCTTCTTCCGAATCATCTGAATCTGGTTCATCAATCTTTCGACCTTTTCCTTTTTGATGATGATTTGCATTCTTTTCTGTTTGCAAATCATTACCATTTAATTTTCTTTGTGCTTCACGTTTCTCTTGCTTTCGTTTCTTCTTTCTTTCACGACGCTTAGCAGCAGCTGCTTTACGAGCATCTTCTCGTGACTTTTCCATGTCCAATTCTTTCAATAAAATCGAAGCATTCATATTTGCCTTCGTAGCTTGCGTTTCTTTTGCTGCACGAATTATTTTCACACATTCATGACATTTATCAACAACTTCCTTTTCAACAACTGTCGTATAACGAATCATTTCCTGATCCGATGGAAATTGTGTGACATGATTCACCATCCATTTAACAACTTTTATGTGACCTTTACGAAAAGCCGCCATCAAACATGACACTTTACGATTATCTTGTGAATCAATATCAGCTTTTGCATTATATAAAGCTTCAACAACCCCAAGATGTCCACCATTTGCTGCTAGCCACAATGGTGAATTTCCTTTCTTATTCTTCACTTCAACCGCAGCATGACGTGACAAGAGAAGATCAACAAACTTTAAATGTCCCTTATCAGCTGCTATTGTTAATGCAGTGTCACGTGAAGATGGAACAGGAGCTGCATTAACATCAGCACCTTTATCAAGAAGACCTCTACCGACTTCAATGTAACCACCGCTTGCAGCTTCCATTAAAGGTGTTAAACCAGTTTTTGCACGATGCTCAACATTTGCTTTACGATCTAATAACAAGCTGACCACTTCATGACGTCCTTGAAAGCATGCAAGTGTAAGTGCAGTGTTGCGATTTGTTTCAATCTGAGCATTTATATCACTTCCCATATCTAAAAGCAGACGAACAGCAGCTGTATGTCCATTCATTGCAGCTAACATTAATGGTGATATTCCCAATTTACTTCCTGTTCTCGAGTTAATCTCAGCACCTTGATTTAACAACAATTTTATGATGTTAACATAGCCACCACTTGCTGCTAATGATAATGGAGTATAATCAGATACATTGCGATGTTCCTTATTTGCTCCATATTTGAGTAGAAGATCAACAACTTCATAACGTCCACCAGAACATGCTAATGACAATGGTGTGTCTTTTGTACGTTCTGATTGCGCTTCAAGATCAGCACCGTTATTAATTAATGTTTCAACAACTTTCTCATGTCCAGCGGTTGCTGCAAGAATTAATGGAGTAAAACCTTTCTTATCGCGATGTTCAATATTTGCTTTACGATTAAGTAATAAATCAACAAGCTCTTCATGTCCACCAGCACAGGCAAGTGTTAATGCTGTATCATGATTTGAATCGGTTTCTGAATCAATTTCAATTGAACGATCAGTTATTGTTGTTGCTGGCGTTGCTGATGTTGTTGACGATGATGATGTTGTTGTACCAGTTGATGTTGATCCGGGGATGTTTGGAAATTGTTGGAGTTGTTGTTGATGTTGCTGCTGTTGATCAAATTGATATTGATTCTGACCACCAGATGGCGCTTGTCTCACAGCATATCTTTTATCTTTCATCCTCTTTTGTTGCTCACCACCGCCCCCAACATTGCTACCACCTGATTTCTTTCCACCTGCTGCTGATGCAACATTTGTTGATTTTGATGATGCTGGATGAGGAACCGGTTCAACATGTGACTGTGTTTGTGTTCCCATCATTTGTGTTTGTGTTGCAACTTGAACTTGTTGTTGATGATTTTTTGTAATAAATGGTGGAACTTTTTGCTGATGAATCATTTGTAGATGTTGCTGTTGTTGTTGATACTGCTGTTGCTGTTGGTATCCATATTGAAAGTATAACTTTTCTTCTCGAGTGAGAATTGATGGAAGTGGCACCACCGGTTGGGCACTTTCATTTGTTGCCGTTGTTTGTGTTTGTGCAACATTTTGATGAATCTTTTGTGGTTGCATTCCATCAGGAGCTTTCATAATATGCTGCTGCTGTTGTTGTTGTTGCTGCAGTTGAGCATCAGGAAGTTGAAATAATAATTGAAGTGATTGTTGTGATGCTTTATCCCCATCAACATTAAACACAAATTTCGTCTGCTGTTGGGCATCAGCTTGCGATTTTTGTGTTTGTCCGCTTGATGTTGATGATGCAATGACAGGTGGTGCTGGCACTTGGAAGTTTGCACCAGCTGGCATTAAAATATTTTGAGTTGTTGGATCCATTTGAAGGAGTGATTGATGCTGCTAATATGAAAAAGAAATTTTGTGTCATAAATGAAGGAAATGAATAAGGAAGGAAAAATTACCTGAAGTTGAGAAATGAATTGAAGCTGTTCGACAGTAAATTGTGGCGGATAATCTGACTGATCAATTGCCATCAATAAATTCGATTCGTCCTTTCCTTCCATCATATCACTGCTTTCATTCAACATCATATTGTCATCATTCTCATTTGTTGGCGACGATGTTTCGGATGTTAATTGATGTTGCGTTGGTGGCCAATGTGGCGTAGCCCATTTGGTTTTACAAATCTGATTAAGACCGAAAAAGTTTGCATATTGTTCCAAGTCTTGATTGTTGATGTTGGCAGCAATTTCCTGTGGATTCAAACTTTCTTTTAATTAAAGTTCATTTGATAAACATTTATAAAACTTACGTGAAAAGCATTCGAAATATCAGGTGAAACATTCAAAGCTTGCATAACTTCATCAACCCATTCGTAATTGTAAATCGGACCATGAGCATCATCACCTTGATTTACTGTCGTAACATCATCAGGATTAAAGGATTCTAATGACTCTTCCAATGACGGATACGTTCCATCACATACAAAATCACTTGCATTCATTTCGCTGAGGGTCGCGAGTGTTTTCTCCAAATCTTCTTTGGATGGTTCACGTTTCTTCTAAGAGAAGGAAGAAAATTTCATTTTTATAATAAAATGAAATCACAAATAAAGATTTCAACTTACAAATTTCCCTTGAAGTAGACTCGAATCATTAGATAAAGATTGAAGAGCTGGTAAATGATCGAAAATATGCGTCAACTCAGCCATGTCGTCTTGAATAAAATTTTAAATTAGATAATTTTAAAATGTAATTAAAAAGGAAGAAGAAAACTTACTCGCAAGATTCTTAGCATCAGGTGAATTTGGTCTTGAAGAGTTTGAGCTTTCGGGTGGTGTTTCAGTTGGCGATTTGGGCGGATCAATGAGTTGGGCAATTTTACGAAACACTTTCGGATCCCAATGTGCTGAACGATTTGATAAATTATTGAAGCGAGTCTTTTGAATAGCTTCCAAGTCAATGAGACCACAAGCTCGCGTGCCTTCATTCACTTTCTCCTTCTCATCAGGCATTGAAATAGCCGTTGATGATGCTTCAGGCACCGATGATTGAGGAACAACTTCAGATTGATTTACTTCAGTTTTTGAAACATCCGAAGACGATTGTTGTTGTGTCGCAATTTCGGACTCAACTTTAGGTGTTGACTTCGACTCAGTTGATGTTGATGACAGTGTTTGTGATGGAACCTGAAGTTACATTCATTAATCTAATAATTCTAACAATTAATTTAAAATCTTTACCTCTGATTGTGCCAGTTTTGTCTTACGAGAAATCTTCGGTTTTGCTTTTGGCCTATCACTGATGGCAGTTGCTTGCGATACTTCAGACTTGGCTGTAATATGAGTTGTTGTTTTATTTGTCGATTGAATTTGATTCGTTTGGGTTTGATTGGACACGGAAATGTTTCCTTTTCCTAAAGATAATAATTTATCTTAAGAACGTGAAGCGTAATAAAGGATAACAATTGAATAATGAAAATAATAAAAAATTTGTGTTTACCTTGGGCCGGTGTTGTGATATCAACATAAGTGCCAGATGGCAACAATGTTGGTGGTGGACCTGAGTCATTGATGAATTGAATATTCTTCTGTAAAATAAATAAGAATGTTCACACATTTTCGAGGTGCTTAAAACACTTTTCAAACCTTATCAAGAGTACTCTTCATGCAAGTAACATTCTCGTCTTCTTCACCTACACCAGAACTTCTCACTTCAACAATCGGTTGTTGACTCTCATTAAAGGAACCTGACGAACTTTTCTTACGTGATACATTCTTCTGTTTATTCGATGATGATGCCATGCAGAGATTATTTGTTATCATTGGTTGATGTTGATTACCACATGCTGCTGTCACATTCATGTTGTTAGTATTTTGTTGTTGATTGACCATTTGATTAACAGCTGTTTGTGCTTTCGTTAAACCATATGCGAGGCCATCTTTAAAGCCAGCTGATTGGAGGAGTTTCATTTGGGTTAGGATTGAAGATTCGGATGGTGTTTGTTGTTGCGCCATCGCAACATTCGGATCCATGATGAAGTTGACGTCAGATTGTGATGGTTGAAACATTCCCGGTGGTTCTGGCAAACGAATTACTTCTGTAACATCGTGCAGACCAGGCGGTGCCACCATAAACTGCTGTTGTTGTTGTGTTTGTTGTGCCGCCATTAAATGTTGTTGTTGCTGTTGTTGTTGAAGCATTTTCAACTGCTGTTGTTGTTGATGTTTCATCTGCGCTAAATTAAGTTGAGGTTGTTGATGTGGCATTGATGCTGGTATGTAAATTGGTTGATTCTGTTGCTGCTGCTGTTGTTGTTGAGGCGGTGGGATGGAAGTTGGATAGTCCAAAAGTAATTGAACAACACCAGTGTGACCGCCTTTTGCTGCTTCAATCAACATCGTACTATTATCCTTTAACTTATGATAAGGATCAGATCCATGAGCTAATAACAGTTCAACAACTTGCTGATGACCACCAGCACATGCCAATGAAAGTGGGGTATGGTCGTTATTTGTCGTTTGACGATTAACATCGGCTCCTTTCTGAATCAAGAATTTGACAGTGCAAATGTGACCAGCGCGGCATGCTTTCATCAATGGCGTTCGTCCACCTTCACTTAAATGCTCCAATTCAGCTCCAAAATAAAGAAGAACTTCAGCAACTTCTGTGTGACCATTTTCACAAGCATAAGTCAACGCTGTGTCACCTGTTGGCGTCTGTGCATGAACATCAGCTTTATTATCGAGAAGAAACTTTACTAAATCCAAATGTCCTTCTTGTGCTGCTTCCATTAATGGTGTACTCGCTCCTAGTTCAATATCAGCACCATGTTTAATGAGATAATCAGCTACTTCAAGAAATCCTCCACAACATGCTAATGTCAATGCTGTTTCTTGTGTCTCTTCAGTTTGGGCATTAATGTTGGCACCTGAATAATTAAATTATTCGATTATTAATTTTTCTATTTAATTTCAATCATCTTACCTTGTGTCAATAACAATGAAACCATTTCATCGTGGCCTTCACGTGCAGCTTCCATCAATGGCGTGTATCCTTCGTCATTAACTTCTTCAATGTTTGCACCACGCTCAATGAGAAGCATTGCAAGATCAACATGACCGCCACATGCTGCTAATGTTAATGGCGATTCAAAAGAATCTGTTGGCATATTGACTTGAGCGCCTGAATCAAGGAGAAGTCTTGCAACTTCGACATGTCCATCCATTGATGCTTCCATTAAAGCTGTGTGCATTTCATCGGTTTTATGTTCTTGATCAGCTCCAGCTTCAAGAAGAAAACGAACCATATCAAGATGACCTTTATAACAAGCTAATGTTAATGCACTCTCTTTGAATTCATTTGAATGTGTATTTATGCCAGCACCATGATCGAGAAGGATCTAGAAGAAGAAAGAAATTCGCAATTAAAAAGCATTTTTCAATCATAATTCATGCCAATGAAACTTGAAATTAAACATCAGATAAGATCAAAGATGTTATCTTCGCTTGAATCACGAAAGAATTAAAATTCATTAAATCTTTCAGACTCAAAAGCTCAACTCTCGGAATGTAATCATTTGAAGGGGAAAATGGCTGAGTAATTAAATGGGAAACTCACTTTAGCTACAGCAACATGACCAGCTGAAGCTGCTTCCATAAGTGGCGTATGTCCATTCTCGTTGTGATCTTCAACGTTCGCTCCATTGTTAAGCAATGTTTTGACAGCTTCAACATGTCCACCAGCACACGCATACATTAGCGGGGTGTTGCCAGTTGATGATTGTGCATTGACATCAGCGCCATGTTTAATGAGAAGCTCAATGATTTCAATATGACCAGCTGATGCTGCTTCCATGAGTGGTGTGCAGTCGTTCTTTTGTCCTCGATCTTCCACCTGTGCTGACATTGCGAGTAGGACTTGAGCAAGTTCGTAATAACCAGCAGAACAAGCGAGTGAAAGGAGGGAATCACCATCGTCGGTTGCTTCATTTAAACTGTTTCCTTCAACTAATAATCGTCTTACAGCATTCACATCGTTATCGGTACAGGCAGCAATGAGGGTTCGAGACAATAAACTGAAAGTGATTTTGTTATTTAGAATTTTCTTGCATATTTTATGAATTTGAAATTCAATTTTCTTACTTTTTATCACGGGGACTTGCGTCACTTCGCATTCGGGTGATAGTTTGAGCAGCTTCATCAAGGGCAGCTGTGGCGCTTCTAAGAACAGGATTACCTTTCTTTTTTTTGCTTGCCGCAGCTGCCTCTAGAATTGCATCAATTCGTGCTTGCTTTGAGAATTGCGGGTGTTGATCTAAATCATCGTCAACGTCGAGAAGGAATTTTTTTGAAGGTCCACTTGGATGTTCTTCATCAGTCACATCTGATTCTTCATCAGAATTATCTGCATTACTTGACTCTTCTTCCTCTTCTTCTGAAACATCTTCCTCCTGTTCATCATTCTCTGATTCGCAGGACTCATCTTCAGGAAATTCTTCGGTAGAAATGTCATCTTGATCTTGTGGAAATGACTCCTGGAAATAAAGAATAAAATGAATTATTATCATCTAAATACATAACAAAGTAACTCATTGAAAGTTCTTAGGTCGATTAGTCATTAAAAACACGAATAAGGTTAAATAAAATCACTCAAACTCGCACACTTGAATCAACATCACGATGACACTCGATGTTGTCACAATTCATTGCGCTAAGGCCAGTTCTCAAGTTGTTTATGTTCTTGCTTAAAAGTGTATCAAAATAATATTCATTTCATTAAGCAAAGGAAATTTATAATTTACATGCAGACAAAGTGGAAGACATTTGCAAATTACATCAATAAAAATCAATTTCACCCTCTGCTTCGTTTATTCCTTTTTTACTTTAACGTAATCTGCAAATTCTTCCTCGAAAAAAGTTTTCATAACTAAACTCAAACACAAGCAAAGAAAATCAAGCATTAATGATGACTTTCAGGTTTACTCGCTTTCTGGAAACTTCTACAATTTTTTTACTTTAAATTTAACTGTAAATTTCACATTTTTTCAATTATGAGCTTTGTAAAAAGTTTCTAAACTGTAAACAATAATTCGTTCCTTCTTATTTAATTAAAAAAAAAACAATCTAACGCAAAAACAAAAAGTAATCGCAAATTTAGTTAATGCTTTTGGGAGTAATAAAAATAATTAAATCAGCCAAAAGGATTCATTAAGAAACAAATAATTATCATACACAAATATATTTAAAAGCTATGTATGATGATTGTGTCACTTACCAAGAGATCTGGCCTTAGACACAAACATGCCAGGAGAATCTACAGTAAAAATATGTTTTTTTTTCATTTAGCCCCAATCATATCAAAAATAAAAATATAAAAAAAGAAAATAAGATTCAATGAGGAAAAGCAGTCAAACTGTCTCAAATTTCCACCAGTTTGAAAACAAAAAAAAAATTCCTTTATTTTATGTTTATGAAATGAATTATGATCGTCATGCGAAAATGACGTTCAAATCTTTTTTTGAATGAAATTAACCTAAATAGATCTTTTTTCCAAACACATAAACTAGAAGAAATTTACATTCTATTAGCCACACATAGAATAAAATGGAGACCTTGCAGTTGAACATTAAATAGAGACCAACCCTATCTATGGAATCATATTTAAGTGAAAATAAAAAGAGAAATGAATGAAAACCTAAAGTTCATTGCTATTTTACAAACATTATTTTCTATATAATCATTCAGTACATGCAAGTATGCGTGTGTAAGTGTGTACGTGTGAATGGCAATAGTTTGTCATTAGAGATTTACTTTAGAGAATGGCTCAAAAATTCATCATGCGGCACAATACTCAAGTACTTTCAATTGAGAAATAATATTAAAAGAAAAGCGGAATGTTTCGCTTCATAAGAACTGAGAAGTTAGCCGAAATTTTAATCAAGGGTAGTGGGGGTGATGTTGATAATAAATTTAAGATTCAATTATAATAAAGTAATAAAATAAGTTTTCAATGATTTTCATTTAAATATGAAAAAAGATTCTTATTATTCGCAGCAGATCATAATGTGCTTTTAGATTTTGTTTCATCTTAAATATTAAAAATTTATGTTGCAGTCACAAAACTCGCTTGGTGTGGGAATAAATTTTGTCTTAATCCCAAAACAGCTCATAAGTAAACCTTACAACCGTTCGAAAGCATGCCATTATTTTTCGTTAATTGTGAGAAATTCCGGTGTAAGTCATGTGACCGCTTTTTCCTAACGCAAGTAGATTTTTACATCACTTGCGAATGGATTTGAAAGCTATTTTTAAAACATTTTTCTTTGAAGGAAAGTTTTGTTTTTTTTTTTATTTAATATCTTTTTCTTTTACTTTTTTTTCGTGCAATGAAATTGAGAGCCGAAAATGAAAAAAAATTTCTTTTAAATTTTGGATGAGAAGGTTCATCATCATTACACTTCGCTTCCCATGCACTTGAATCAGAAAAAATAAACAACAGACATCATAGACTCGACAGATTTCTTCTTCTCTCTTTTTTTTATTCTCTTTCGCAAAATAAAAGAAAAATAAATAAATAACACAAAGAAAAAATTAAACTTTCAATCAACAAGATATCTTTTCAATTGATTTCGGCGGAAAAAGTCTGGCAACGATGGACACTTTTTCGGTGATGAGTTTATTTTTGCACCATCGATTTAAGACAACAAGAAATTGTAATTTTCGATGTTTGTTGAATTTAAATCGTCTTAAGGTTTGTCATCATCAATTTTGAATGGATCGAACGAGATGTTTGACAACTTTGAAAAAACATGAAGGAATGACGAAATATCGAAAAGCTGATATTTATTTTAGAACCTTCGGTAAGCTCAGTTGCGTTGTAACAATTTTTTTTATTCTTTTAACCTTTGACATTTCCTCATTGCGGGTGTTTACAGAAGGACGGGAGAATTTTTAATATAATTTAGACGCCCACTGCACCCAACGCACTCAAAATAACAACTTTATTGAGTTCATTAACCATTTGTCAGACATCAAAGTGGACATTTGACAACCAATAGCAAAATGTTACTGCTTGCTACTGAGTCTCTTCATTACACAGAAAAAAAATAATTGTTTTTGAAGCTCAAATGAAAGCAACAAGCATTATGAATATTTTGAACTATCTATTTAAAGGAAACAACGACTCTGTTTAATATCAAAGTAGTGGCAGTCTTAAGTTACAGCCACAACTTCACAACTCGTTTTGAAATTTAACCAAAAAAAAATAATAAAATAAAACACCGGAGAAACCCGATGAAAAAGATTTGTCGTGATACGAACGGAATTCTACCATTTAATTTTTTTCCGGTTTTAATTGAAAATAGTGAAACAGTATAACATGCAATACTAAGCACAAAAAAGAAAAGAAATAGATCTTAGTTTTTTTTCTGCGAACAATGAAGTGGAATCTAATTATGTTTTAAAGCTTCGAGACCTTCATGACATTCCATCTGGTGTGACGCTCGATCAAAGTCGATGCAATTGTTTTTAGCTGGCTTTTTCTTCTCAATTTGAATGAGTTGAAATTCCAATGATGATGGAGCAAAAGCAAAGCAGCTCTTTCTCTCTCTCCCTGTTTCTTTTTCTTTCACTCGTTCATATGCACACACTCACACAAACATGATGAATATCAACGTTTTGACTTAGATACTTCTACTCGCCATTTGTCATGTTCATGAGTTGTGGTTGGTGTAAAGTAATAATAAAAATAAGGAATTTCCTTTAAGCACTTGAAGAAAGAAAAAGGAGCAAAAATCGAAAAGCTGAAATTTGCAAAAAACGATGACGATGATGGAAAAATTTGCAACACTGCGCGTATTAAAGAGAAAATCACTACACACAAACACATTCACAATAGCATACAATCTCACGATCATTACTAAGTTCTTACAATATTTTTTTCCTTTTTACTAGTTCAGGTAGCAAAATAAATCGAAAGGAAAAATATTTAATAAATGAAAAACTATCAGTTGAATGAAATTTTCCATTCTTTTCATGAAACTTTATAAGAAATTTTGCGGCCATTTGGGTCGAAACAGATTAGATACTCAAAGTTGACAACACGATTAGTCGGATATCACGTTGGTTTAACACACATAAAATATTTTTTTCTTTCTAGAACATGAAACATTTTTTACTGTCTGCAAAAATTGAAGAAAAACCATCCCCGTAAAAATGCCGCTTGTGATTGGGTCAATGAATGATAAGAACAATGAAAATAAATCGCTTCTCAATTTCAATGCAAAAGCCAACAAAAACTTTGAAAGTTTTGTTTTTTAGGTTGTGGTTTCGTCAGCAAATTATATACTCAGAGAGAAATGGGAATGAAATGAGTCGAACGCCGCATTAGCGATATGCACTCTTATGGGGATGGATTTTTTTTATTTAACCATTTGTACTGGCAACAATGCAAATACGAATCAAATAAATGAAAAAAGTAACAAGAAAAATATTTTTTTCGTAGTAAATCCATTTGTGAATGTGGAGAACGGAATTTTAATAGGAAATATATCGGGGTGGTTTAAAAATGACGTATAAATTTGCTACTATTCTAGACTATATACTTAGTAACACTGTTCCTATTAACATAAAAAATAGGGCATATTATCAAAATAAATGAATATTTTTATTATATGTGAACAGTCCCCTCGAGAAGCCATTTTGATCTGAACTTTTCCCTTTTTCTTTCTTCGTCACTTTTTTTTGCTTAAAAATTATTAATGTTCTCATTAACTCGACATTGTATGTAAACAATATCAAGATTCGTCGTCACAATCGTTTGAAATATTATTAATTTTTTTCTAATCTAATGAAATTTTCCACATTTTTCATTGTCGTGATTAAATAATCATTTTTTACTTCCAAGCTGTATCAAACACAAAATGAACATAGGGATATGCCGTTCAAATGCGCTAACATACAGCATATAAGAAGTCATATGCATGAATCTGAGAGTCCATAAAGTAATTTTTGCGTTTAATTTTTGTAATTTGCTATTTTTTATGTGTTTTTCATATATACATTCACCATTATGATCCGCGACGGAACACCATACAAATAACATCACCATTCATTCACACACTTAACCGATCGGAATGATGGCCGATGTGAAGTTGAAATTTTTTACTGCATTTCGAGAAAAAAAATACTAAATCTCGCTCGAATGTAGTCTTTTACCTCTGATACCGATTCCTCATCACTTTCAGATGTGTCTAGACGCACATTTTGTGGCGATTCTCTGTAGGTTTCGGGCGTAGGGTTTGAATTTGCTGCTGCTTTTTGATTTTTAGACATTTTCGAATTTGACACCTTTTTGTTCACTTTTTTCGCGTTACTTTCGTTTGATTCTTGCATCCCGTTCTTACAGTTCGATACTTGCATTTGAAAATATTTAATGAGCTTTAATTACTACCATTTAATTTATTTTTCTGCAATTTATTAATCCTCATTTTTATTTTAAATCAAGGCGTAGCAAACTCATAAAAAAGAAGCAGAAGTTTTCAAACCCCTTGCGACCTACCGCTGAATTCAAGAAGTTGAAGCAAACAAGATATTGAAGCAAACAATTTTTGTAACAAGATGTCCCATTTTGCACTTAAATAGGTAGTTTTTATTTATTTCCTGTTTTTATTCTAACATATCAATCTGTGCTGATAGCAAAATATGAAATTAAATAATTTTGTTCATTATTACAAAAGAAGCGAAAACTAAATAGAGAAGCAAAACTTGCAAACAAATTTTTCTGGAAAACGAAATTGATTCGTCTTATTTATTTCTCCAAAAAACAGTACCTACAATGGCAGATGAATATGCAAAAGTAGCTCGAGGAAAACTCAAGTTGAAATGTGACAGTGAAATATCCAAAAAGAAGAAGAAAAAGAAGAATAAAGAAAAGGAACGTGAAATGATTGCAAACACAGATAAATCGACAATTGAAATTGTTCAGGCTCAAGATGTTAGTACCGAGAGAAAACTTACTAAGGCGGAAATATCGTTTAAAAAAATGCAAGATAAAATGGTAAGTTAAAAATAATTTACCTTATTTAATAAATTATTATATTTTTTAATTTTAGCAAAAGAAAAGAATCCTTGAAAAAGCATCAACAACACATAAACAACAAGTAGAAAAGTTCAACGAAAAACTCGACAACCTAACAGAACACTTTGACATACCGAAAGTCAGTTGGACGAAATAATTTTATTCGAATCATTGTAAAAATTTCTTTTTTCTATATTTAAAAATAAAAATATAATTTTAAAACACTTCAATGTCTGCATTCTTCATGCAATGGTTCAAGAGATCTGAAATCTCGATAGGTAGGAGGAAGATTGTTCAACAAGAAACGTTGACATCTCTTGCAAGGTTCCGAGAAAATATTTGAGTAACTAGCAAGCCAGGTAATGAAGCTTCTGGTGGCAAGTTCAGCAAATGTTGGTGAATAAAAATGAAGCATCGCACAATGAGCGTGATCTTGAATTTTTCTGAAGACTGCATAACGAGATTCAATCCAGTGATCATCAACACTGTCAAGAGGCTCATTGAATCCTTTAACTGTAACCAATTCTATTACTAAACCACGTAAGATTATAGCAGCTTTCATTACGCGGCTAAGGTTTACCTATAAAGCAAGAATTTTGGTAAATACATATCTGATTAAATCAGAGAATATAACAAACTTACATGGAGGAATGCACTTGTAGGGGTACCAAAAGGACGATAAACCTTAATTGTCATATTATTTGTGTTTATAGAGTTAATCATATGATCTACAAGTTGTGCTGGATTAACAGGCACTGTAGGTCGACGTCTTTTATTAGAACTTGTGTAAAAAGACCGTTTGAGAGAATTTTGTGATAGCATCGTATTGGCGAGAGCAGAATAAAGATGAGTCTTCTCATACCAATTGTAACTGTTCACAAGATCTGTGTAAACTCCTTGACGATCTGGATCTGCTTCATGATTCAAAACAGCCGTGTTTCCAAGTGTAAAAGGACCAGACGGAACGTTTAAGGCATTTATGGTAGATTCAATTGATTTAAAGTTTACATCAACAGTAGAAAGCTGATCTTGCAATTCTAACAAAAACGATGATTCATCTTGAATGCTATTGTTTTGCGCCGACAATGTCGTCTTAAATAAAAAAGAGTAATGATTTTTATCTGATTATTGACTTTTAAATTATTAATATACCTCAAATACATTTGAAACACTTGAACGCAACAGTTTAATAGCATTAATTGCTGAATTTATTTGATTTTCCATATTTATAAATTTTATAAATAATCGAATCGTTCAGTAAAATCTTCGGAATAATTCAAAATTTGAAAAGTCGTTAATTTTATCTCCTTTCTTGTAACTTTCTACCCAATGTCTACCCGGAGATAGATGACAAGGAATAGAAGTTCTAATTTACGAAATGCACATATTAATAAATATAAGATAGTTTGTTAATTAAACTGTATAATACGACTAGTAAACGATTGCATATGAATAAATAAAAGACAGACAGAACAACAAATAAATTCTCAGAAAACCTAGGTAGCTTTCACTTTTGCACACATTTGTCATCAGGCTTGTACGCCCCCGATCAGCTGTTTTTTGTTTTGAATTTATATTCGTGTTTTCTTAAATTGTTTTCTTCAAGTTTTCTTATTCCTTCATCAAAAAAATATTTGACAGAGAACTTACTGAAGGAACCTCTTAAAAGAATATCTTTTTACAGTATTAAAAAAATGCTACAAAGTTAGCAAGTGTAACGTTTTCTCATATTGTTTTGAGACATAAATGTCCACGTATTAAATTTCATTCGATATAGTAAATTAAGAAAAAGGAACAATGCCTCAACGATTTAACATAGACCCATATGATGAAGAAGATGATCTCAATTCAACAGCAAATCAGCCACTAATACAAGATGAAGATCATGATCAAATTCCAGATGGAAAATTTCCGAAAGCTCGACAAGTCTTTGCAATCGTCGGATTTTGTGGTTTTGCAATTGTTTACGCTATGCGAGTAAATCTTTCGATATCAGTTGTATCAATGGTGAATCATACAGCAATTAATGTTGACACAAATCAAAGTATCACTGATGTTTGCCCAATTCCAACTCCAACGAATACGTCAACTCCCACGGTTTGTAATTTGAATGATTCATTCATTGATATTTATTTTAATCAATCCTTTGTTCTTATTTTAGAGAGATGGCGAATTTTTATGGGATGAATACTCACAAGGTATTGTCCTTGGATCTTTCTTTTATGGATACGTACTTACACAAATTCCAGGAGGAAGATTAGCTGAGACATTAGGGGGAAAACTTGTATATGGAGTGGGAGTATTTATAACAGCTCTGTTCACACTTCTAACACCTATTGCAGCGAGGAAAAACCTTCCAGCACTTGTACTAGTAAGAATATTTGAAGGAATAGGAGAAGGAGTTACATTCCCTTCCATGCACGCAATGCTTGCTCGTTGGGTGCCAAAAACAGAGCGTTCACGCTTCGCTGCTGTTGTCTATAATGGTGCAAATTTCGGAACAATTATTTCTATTCCACTTACTGGATATCTTTGCTCAATTGATTTTATGGGAGGCTGGCCGTTATCATTTTATATTTTCGGTTTATTAGGAATATTTTGGTGCTTTTTCTGGTGGTGGTATGTATTCGATACTCCCGAATCGCATCCCAGAATATCACAAGAAGAGCGCCTTTACATCGAGAAAAGTCTCCGGAATCATGACGACGAATTAGATACTGCTCGAAATAATGATCCAGTTCCTTGGCGGGCGATCGCAACTTCAGCTCCAATGTGGGCACTTCTTATTACAACATGGTAAGAATGAAACACGGAAAAGAACGAAAAAGGTTTTAAATCATAAAGACAATTAAAATAATCTTTTTTCTCAGTGGACAATCATGGGTATTTTATACACAACTTACTGAACTTCCATCGTACATGAGTAACGTTCTTCACTTCAATATTCAACAAAATGCAATTTTATCATCACTTCCGTATCTAACTTCGTGGATATTCGGGATATTCTGTTCGATATATGCTGATTGGCTGGTCGAAAACGAATACATTACCCAGAAAAATTCACTTAAACTTTGGAATTCTGTTGCTTCAATAGTTCCATCAATAGGATTGATTGGCATATCATGGGCAGGTTGTGATAGGATTTGGGTTATGATAATGTTAATTGGTTTGGGCGCCTTTAGTGGTGCTAATTACGCTGCAGCACAAATGAATCACCTATTTTTAGCACCGAGGTATGCTGGAACTTTGTATGGGATCACAAACGGCGCTGGTAACTTATGTGGATTCCTAGCTCCGTACTTCATTGGCTCGATGATAAATGGAAAAGAAAAACTCGAGACGTGGAGCAGAGTGTTTTACATTGCTGCTCTCATAAACATTCTTTGTAATTTTGTGTTTATTGCTTTTGGTGATGCAGAAGAACAGTCTTGGAGTAAACGAAGAAGTCGTGATGAATGATTAATGCTTCATCTTGATTGTTAATCATTAGTTTCTGTTTTTTAAAAAGGTTTACTATCTTCGAATTTTAATATTATGTTTAGATGAAAGTCAAAAGCGTCACAAATATCTAGAAAAAAATTATTTACACTTTCTTAACCAAAGTTTCAGAATTTACCTTCAATTATTTACGGCACAATACTTAACCAGTGAAATAAGCTTAATTAAATTATGTGATAACTTGTTATCATTCTTATTAAGCTTCTCCTTTTTTCGGTATCTGAGAAACTGTGTTAAGTCTTCAAAGCTTAACTTTCTTTTCTTTAAAATGACCAAACCACTAAAGACAATGCAATTTTACCGCACGATAACTATTATCGAATTACTTAAATCTTTTGTAACTTCAAATTAAGAAGGCAAAAACATTTATTTATTGTAGTCTAATAACTTGAAGAAATGTTATAAAAGAAAATAGGTAAAAATAAATATAAATCTTTATTGATGTTGTTGAATTCGTAAATAAATTAATATCTTCCAAATTAAATATCGAAATTTCAGGAATTTTTAACAGACGATCTATCTACATTAGATAAGCTAAAAATAGGTTTTTCAATTGACTAGCTTAACCTTTTCTATGTTTAATTACAAATAATGATGTTGATATGAATTTTTTACAGTACGTGGAAGAATATTAATTCATATTATTTATCAGATTTTGTCACAATTATAAACTTAAAAAGCTATGGACATATTTCTATTCTTACTAAACGTTGTTCACAGAACTGTGAAAACCTTCATTTTAATTCACCAATTTAAGAACATATTTCACTTCCTCCAAAGGCTACTAGGATGTATATGGTGAGAAATATAACAAATTGACATTTGAACTCAGAAAAAATATCAATGCTAAATAAAACCCTCTAAGGTTATATTCTTAATACTGAAAGCATTATGGGACTTATGGAAAATTCTTATCTCAAATATTTTTCTATCAGTGTAAACGATTTAATTTTCTAATCATTTTCTTTTTAATTGCGTCATAAAATATTTTTAATTGTTCCATCATGAATAAATGAAAGACTTTCATTGGTTGTAACTTCGAAGATTTAGAAATATTACCTCAGTTTTCAACAGTGCCTGGTCATGGATAAAATATCAAACCTTGTTCGTGATCTTAAAATTAAGACTCATACTTTGCTCAACAATAATTTGGACTAAGTATAAATTGGAATTTCAAATCATTAATAAGTGTTTCAAAATTTCAAGTGAGAATTTCTCAGAGCATGTGTTAAATTAGGTTCAAAATTATTATTTCTGATCATTTACAGCGTTTGATCCTCTTAAAGTCAGAAATGGTTCATGGATTTATTTGAGTTATGTTTCAATTTTTTGGGTTTTCTTCGTATTGATTACTTTGAAGAATATTTTTGTTGACTTTTCGGGTGATAATGCGAAACAAGTTTCTTCTGTGGTTGGAGCTTTTGGATGGATTCAGGTTTTACTAATAAAATTTGAATTTCAACAATTTTCAAAATTTTTTCATTCTTCGTCAAATGTTTCTTTCTTACTCAGATTGTTGTAAAGCTTTTAGTTTTTTGTTTCTACAACAAAGAACTTTTGATGTTGAAAAAAATGATTCTCGATGATGGCAAAGAACGTTGTAGCGACATTGAAAGAAAATATCGAAGAAACAATCGAATTGCTTTGTTATTACTTTTATATTCCTTATCAACTACAGCTATCTCGTACATAGTATGGAACATGATGAAGATCAATGATTTTGTGATGACTATTGAAATGAAGGTTCCTTGGACAAGGTAATTTGAAATCAAAACATATTGAAACTTAACGTAAGAATAACAAACTTAATTGTATTCTAAACTAGGCCCAACTCTCATCCATCGCATGAGATTAACTTGGCTGCATTAACATTAATCACATTTACATCTGTTCTCTCCACTATAGGTGAAATTTATTAACTCGGTTTATTTATTCAGTAAAGGCTTTTATTTCAGTCTCTAATAATTTCCATTCAAAGGTTGTGACTCATTTTTGGTAATTATGACAACCTACGGCCTTTCAAAGATGGCGATTTGTAGCGATCTTGCATCAAAGATTGGGAGAAATACTGATGACAAGTTCATTGAAGACTTGATCAAGAAGCATTTACATGCTCTCGATGTGATTGAAACTGCCGGAAATGTACTCCAACCTATCAACTTCTGTATAATAATATCAGATTTCATGTTAATAGTTTTGACAACATTTCAATATAGAAGCGGAAAAGGAGAACCGATTGCTGTAGTTGCCGCAATGTGTATGACTTTTCTACTTTTCCAGTTTTGTTTCATGGGAACTGCAGTTTCATCATCGGTAAGAAATGTTCACAAATTTAATTTACTTACACAAATGAAATACTTGCAGTGTGAAGATTTCGAACGATCAATTTATTGTTCAAAATGGTATGAGTTGGAAAACGTTTCATTGAAAAAGAACATTTTATTGCTGCTCAACGTCGCTCAACGTAAGAGAGAATATTCTGCTTTAGGAATCAAACCCATCAACTTGAACACGTTTGCTGATGTCATAAACAAAGCTTACGGTCTCATTAACTTTTTTCTACGTTTCGTCTAAGTGTTAATCAAACTGTTATTTATAAATGAATTGATAATTTGGTGAATATTTTTTTCTGATTGTATAAATTTTACTGATCATTGCATTGCAACGTTTGTCTGGTTAAATTTCTATTCACCCTAATTCTTGTTGTGTATTGTGGACGAATCGTCATAATAAAGATTCTATTAAGATTCTGTGATGTTTCGACATGATCTAGCTAAATATCGTACACTTGCAAGGACACAGGTTAAAACTAAGGATAGGTTTCAGAATTGTTGTTTAATTTAAATATTTTAGTTTTATTTTAGTTTATTTGAATTTGTTCATTTCAATTGTGTAGTTAACATCTTGAAATTCTATGCGGAACTAAATTACATTAAATGTCATATGTAATGTTATTAGAAAAAGTAAATGATCAACTGAAAAGGGAATGGATGAAGAAAAAGGTTTTGTCTATGAAAAAATTAATTAGGGAATTTAGTTCTTAATGAGAATTTTGTATTTAAATAGTAAGATTTTTTCCCCTAAACTGTTATTCATGTTCACATGAAAATTAGCAGCACGTATCTGAACTGACAAGACCGATTAAGAAGCTTTCCTGTTACAAAGGATAAAGAATTACATATAAACAAATTCCCATATTGTTAGTATCTTTGCTAAACTGAACAGCTACTTACGATTGCTTATTACATAAAAAAAAACTTAGAAAAATATTAAATTGAAAACAATCCAACAAAATAAATGTAGAAAGTGAATGCTTTAAATTTTTACTTTTTATAGTAAATATTCAATTTTTCATAATGAAATTTTATTTAATTTATTCATAATCTTCATCGTCAATTTCCTCGTCAAAAAAGTCGTCGTGTTCGTTAGTCGCTGAATCATTTTGTGTGATATAAATGTTGGGAGATGGACGCAAAATCGTGTTCGAGTTGATTGAATCTGGAAATCGTTGATGATATTTGTCCTGTCTCAAAAACTTCACTACAACCAATCCAGTGTCTAACCACCATCCGTTAATCTCTCCGTGAACAATTCCAGCATCTGCGCATGTTGCACATTTTACATAAACGCAACAGGTTTTTGAATCAATTTGCACATCATATATTTTACAATTCTTGTCCTTAAGCTTGTGTAGAATAGTATCTTGAATGATTAATTGCAAATTCGGATCATTGATTTCACTCTTGTTGAACATTTGACGAATTTTTAAACAATTTGTTGGTGGATCTTTAATTTTGTTTGATTTATCAAAAGCTGATCCCATCCATTTTTTCATTGTGACATACGATCGACTATCTGGTTGAGGGAAATTTAAATTGTTACCTCTTTGTTGCTGTTGCTGTTGAGTCTGCTGACCCTGTGATATTTGAACTCCTAAGCCAGAAATGTTATTTACATCGTCAATCCATCGTAAGATCTTGAAATCTTCTCCATTTATCGTTTCAATGCCACAATAAATACGACTCTCGTTCTGTTCTAGATATGCGACAGCTTCGTAAAATACTCCTGTTAATTCTGATCGTTTGCTCGGCTCAATAATCTTGTCTCGTAAATGATTAACAATCAAAGATGGATTATTCTTGTCCTTGGCTGCTTTCTCCATAAGCGTATTACAAATTTCTCGAATAATTTGATCAAGAAGAAGGCGTCGTTTCTCCCTAACATGAAGCACAAACTGATAAAATTTATTGACTACTAAAATGCAAAAACTAACAACTGCCATGCAACCAATGATGAGGAAGAAGTTTTGAAGTTTTCGATAAATGGTGCAAGTGATTGGCAGTTTGGGATTTAAAATAGAAAAGCATTCATTATGATCAGGTCGTAACTTTACGACATCTTCCAGCTGCATTCCTTCTCCATTCGAATTGACATTCTGAATTCCCCATTGCTTGTTAATGTCAATCAGATATTCGATGCTGTGTGTGTGTCTTATAATGTCGATTTCGTTATATTGCTGCGCAATGCCTTTCTCGTTCAGCTTCTGCCAAAATTCTCCAACACATAAAGTAGTCGCTTCAGCTTTTGAACATGGTTGAGCCAAAACTCGCGCTTGTAACTCGTGAGCCAGAGTCTTCAAAAGATTTAATGATGGTTCTAAACTTGCTTCACTTATACAGGAAATTGAATTGAAATCGTAAGGATCAGCACAAAGAGCATATGATGTGGTAGACGGTTTTATAACGTTTTCAATATCAGGACTTTTAGTGACATAAACAAATATGATGAGTAAGAAGAAAACTACCAGGAAGCCTACTAGCACCAAAGGAATGCATGCAGCATCAATACGATTCATGACACTTTTCAACGCAGCTCTCAATGGAGTCTTCTCTTGTTTTGAAGAAAATTCAGTGCGATGAAAGCTATTCTCACTAGATGGATATTTATCGTAAGATCTGTTGCTCCCAAAACTGGATCTTTTATATATTGATGAGTTTTGCTTTGCCAAATTATCTCCTCGATATTTAAGTAATCTTCTTGTGTACTCGCTTGTGCTTTCAATATCATCAGTAGAAGTTTGATCTGAGTTATTGCTTCCGTTGATATTTTGAAACGATGAATCAGAGAATGATTGATTAACTTGATTTGAGAATCTGTTAGTTGTTCTGGCTGCTGCTCCTTTGAAACTGTTATTTTGTGATTTGCTCTTTTTCTTGTTACGATCAATTTCATCATCTTCTGAATCATTTATAATGACAGGAGAGACATAGACTGAACTTTTTTTGTTGGAAGGTGAATAGTTTGTTCCACTTCGATTATAGATTGAAAAGGCACTGCTGAAGGGTTTTTGTTGTGATGATAGAGACGATGATGGCGGGGGCATGCTACGATCTTCAAAACTGAACAATCGCTTTCCGTTGTTGGGTGAGCCGCTTGTCGTCATTCTTGTTTTCCTAATCTTCCCTTCCTCATAAATTTCTTTCAAGGAATCAGATTCTTCACCGGACGAATATTGAGTAATGCGAGAAGAAGTTTTCTGCAAATTTGAATTGGCACTTGACAGGTGATTTCTTAATTTTTTGATAAGAGTTTTTCTAGTTGTTTGGGTTATGGGAAGATTAGCAAAACCATACTGAATAAGTCGCAATCTTAACTCGTCATCACTTAAGAAGTCTAGGTTATCCATAATAAGTAAACTTTTTATATTTTGGATGCGATCTTAAAGAAAAGATTCGAATATATTCATTTAATGTTTGATTTAAGCAGCAAGGAGACGCTCAGACTTACCTGAAGAAAATTATTGCAAATGAATTGCAGTCTTAATTTCTAAAATAGAAAAGATTATTTAGATTAGACAGAACGTATTTCAACCTGAAGAAATTTGTTTAAACATAGTTTCATATTATAATTTATTTAAATTCATGAAAAATAAAAAATTAAAAAGTTTTTTTCATGAAGATTTTGTATTTTTTTAAGCCGCAAATCATTTTAGCAGAATCTACTTTCTTTATAAATCTAGTTTTCACTACAAAATGTACTTTCCATTATCCGTAGATAGAAATATGGCAAAAATATATCTTTTCAAAAAACCGAGTTAAGTAAAACTATATCTTTATACCCCCTAAATTATTTCACTCCCGGGGTACATGAGCGAATAATTTTCAAAAAGGGTACGCATCTACTGCAGCCGTTTTCTCTTAGGTGATCAACTCTTAATTAATCACTTTTTACATAGGATGTTTTCTACGATTTTTTACCACCTTCAATGATGGTCTCAAGATATAATTTCAATCTATCGAGCCATTTCCGAGATATTCGTGAGAAACACCGGTCACACACATACTCGCAATAGGCAAAAGTTTTGTTGGTATTACACGCAATCTCGGATATTGCGATTGGAGTTTTAATCAAGTTAAAGAAAAATATAAGAAAGGCGGAATGAATCTGCATTAAAGGCTGCTTTCTTTCATTTTCATTAACTCCATTTCTGGCTATCATAACTTTAAGGATCGATCCTCGAATTGTTCACCCTTATGTTTCACTTCATATTACCTAAATTAAACAACATGACAGTTTTAAAAAGATTTTTAGTTATGGACCTATCTAATTATGATTATTAATAATAATTAAAATTATTTAAAAATTTTATGCGAAGATTTTTATCAAATTCACAATTTTTTAATTAGAAATGAAATCATTAGTGCTCAACGATTCAAGTAAAACACGCCAATGTTGAATTTGGTTTTAATTGACTTAAGTTTTACTTTTCGTTAGTGTTGAACTCATAAAAAAATCATTTTCTAATTAGCATACATATTAAGGTATTTAGGTAATTGCGTTATAAAATAATTTTAATTGCTCCATCATAAATAAATGAAAGACTTTCATTGGCTACAACTTCGAAGCTTTCGAAATTTTACCTCAGTTTTCAACAGTGCCTGGTCATGGATAAAATATCAAACTTTGTTGGTGATCTCAAAATTAAGATTCATACTTTGCTCAACAACAACTTGGACTACAAATTGGAATTTCAAATCATTGATAAATGTTTTAAAATTTCAAGTGAGAAATATGTTTATAGCATGTGTTCGAAATTATTATTTGCGATAATTTTCAGCATTTGATCCTTTTAAAATCAGAAATGGTTCATGGATTTATTTGAGCTATGTTACAATTTTTTGGGTTTTCTTCATATTGATTACTTTGAAGAATATTTTTGTTGATTTTTCGGGTGATAATGCGAAACAAGTTTCTTCTGTGGTTGGAGCTTTTGGATGGATTCAGGTTTTACTAATAAAATTTGAATTTCAACAATTTTCAATATTTTTCCATTCTACATCAAATTTTTTCTCACTCAGATTGTTGTAAAGCTTTTAGTTTTTTGTTTCTACAACAAAGAGCTTTTGATGTTGAAAAAAATGATTCTCGATGATGGCAAAGAACGTTGTAGCGACATTGAAAGAAAATATCGAAGAAACAATCGAATTGCTTTGTTATTGCTTATATATTCCTTAACAACTACAGCTATCTCGTACATAGTATGGAATATGATGAAGATCAATGATTTTGTGTTGGCCATTGAAATGAAGGTTCCTTGGACAAGGTAATTTGAAATCAAATCACATGAAAACTTAACGTAAGAATAATGAGTTAAATCATATTCTAAACTAGGCCCAACTCTCATCCATCGCATGAGATTAACTTGGCTGCATTAACATTAATCACATTTACATCTGTTCTCTCCACTATAGGTGAAATTTATTAACTCGGTTTATTTATTCAGTAAAGGCTTTTATTTCATTCTCTAATAATTTCCATTCAAAGGTTGTGACTCATTTTTGGTAATTATGACAACCTACGGCCTTTCAAAGATGGCGATTTGTAGCGATCTTGCGTCAAAGATTGGGAGAAATACTGATGATAAGTTCATTGAAGATTTGATCAAGAAGCATTTACATGCTCTCGATGTGATTGAAACTGCCGGAAATGTACTCCAACCTATCAACTTCTGTTTAATAATATCTGATTTTTTAATATTTGTTCTAACAATAATTCAATTTAAAAGTGGAAAAGGAGAACCGATTGCTGTAGTTGGCGCAATGTGTATGACTTTTCTGCTTTTCCAGTTTTGTTTCATGGGAACTGCAGTTTCATCATCGGTAAGAATGTTCACAAATTTAATTTATTTACACAAATCAATAACTTACAGTGTGAAGATTTCGAACGATCAATTTATTGTTCAAAATGGTATGAGTTGAAAAACGTTTCATTGAAAAAGAACATTTTATTGCTGCTCAACGTCGCTCAACGTAAGAGAGAATATTCTGCTTTAGGAATCAAACCCATCAACTTGAATACGTTTGCCGATGTCATGAACAAGGCTTATGGCCTTATAAAATTTTTTTTAAGCCTGGTCTAAAGTTAAACTGAAACTTCATAAGAAATTTAATAACTAATTGATCATTCTTCTAAGTTAGCTTGAAGAAGATGTCCCTCTGAAATGTTTAACTTTAATGTCATTTTCAATACGTGAATCAATCTAATCTACAATCCTTTTAATTGTTTTATATTGACCTATTTGATATATATGTTCATCATAATTAATATGCAATTTCTTGTAATAGTCAACATATTCAAAGATAAATGTTAAAACTCATGAAAGTTTATAATAATAAATTTAATTATTTTGATGTTTCATAAGACTTTATTCGACCTTGTCTTTACAACCATAACAGGTGGCAACTTATCTGCATAATTTATAGGAAAAAAAATGAATTTTTCCTTAATATAACTTCGTAAATGTCAACATTTCAGTATCAATATCCATATAAAATATCAATAAATCATTGACAACTTTACCAATGAAACACATACGTAAGAAAATATTTAAAAAATCTTAGTGACGTAAATTTTAATTCAAATTAATTGAAAACACAATAAAGTGTGAGAATTTTAACTATTCGATGAACTGACTCAGTTGTAGATTTAATTATTTTAGAAAATAATTTTAATTGTTCCATCATAAATAAATGAAAGACTTTCATAGGTTGTAACCTCGAAGATTTAGAAATATTACCTCAGTTTTCAACAGTGCCTGGTCATGGATAAAATGTCAAACTATGTTGGTGATCTCAAAATTAAGATTCAAACTTTGCTTAACAACAATTTTGACTATAAATTGGAATTTCAAATCATTGATAAGTGTTTCAAGATTTCAAGTGAGAATGTTTATAGCATGAGTTCGAAATTATTATTTCTGATCATTTTCAGCATTCGATCCTTTTAAAGTCAGAAATGGTTCATGGATTTACTTGAGTTATGTTACAAGTTTTTGGGTTTTCTTCATATTGATTACTTTGAAGAATATTTTTGTTGATTTTTCGGGTGATAATGCGAAACAAGTTTCATCTATGGTTGGAGCTTTTATGTGGATTCAGGTTTTACTAATAAAATTTGTATTTCAATAGTTTTTAATATTTTTCCATGCTTTATTAAATATTTTCTCTTTCTCAGAATGCTGTAAAGTTTTTAGTTTTTTGTTTCTGCAACAAAGAACTTTTGATGTTGAAAAAAATGATTCTCGATGATGGCAAGGAACGTTGTAGTGACATTGAAAGAAAATATCGGAGAAACAATCGAATTTTATGTTATTGCTTATATATTCCTTAACAACTACAGCCATCTTGTACATAGTATGGAATATGATGAAAATCAATGATTTTGTGTTGGCCATTGAAATGAAGGTTCCTTGGACAAGGTAATTTGAAATCAAATCACATGAAAACTTAACGTAAGAATAATGAGTTAAATCATATTCTAAACTAGGCCCAAATCTCATCCATCACATGAGATAAACTTGGCTGCATTTACATTAATTTCATTAACATCTCTCATCTTCGCTATAGGTGAAATTTATTAACTCGGTTTATTTATTCAGTAAAGGCTTTTATTTCAGTCTCTAATAATTTTCATTCAAAGGTTGTGACTCATTTTCCATAACTGTGACAACTTACGGTCTTTCGAAGATGGCGATTTGTAGTGATCTTGCGTCAAAGATTGGGAGAAATACTGATGACAAGTTCATTGAAGATTTGATTAAGAAGCATTTACATGCTCTCGATGTGATTGAAACTGCTGGAAATGTTCTTCAACCTATCAACTTCTGCTTATTGATATCAGATTTCATGTTAATAGTTTTGACAATATTTCAATTTAAAAGCGGAAAAGGAGAACCGATTGCTGTAGTTGCCGCAATGTGTATGACTTTTCTACTTTTCCAGTTTTGTTTCATGGGAACTGCAGTTTCATCATCGGTAAGAAATATTCACAAATTTAATTTATTTACACAAATGAAATACTTGCAGTGTGAAGATTTTGAACGATCAATTTATTGTTCAAAATGGTATGAGTTGGAAAACGTTTCATTGAAAAAGAAAATTTTATTGCTGCTTAACGTCGCTCAACGTAAGAGAGAATATTCTGCTTTAGGAATCAAACCCATCAACTTGTACACGTTTGCTGATGTCATAAACAAGGCTTACGGTCTCATTAATTTTTTTCTACGTAGATTTTGAACCAAACTCTCTGTAAATACCAAATTTTCTGTCTTTGAGTCATTAATGAAAACTTTTTGGGCACTTATATGTAAGATTGTATGTATGAATCATGTTATGTGAAATTTCACGCAATTAGAATCTTATTTTCATGTGTGGTATCCGTTTATGAGTATCTAATTTGAGTGATTTAGAAATAGTTTGTAACCAATTTGATACCAAAATATTGACTCACTCACAAATATTTAAATCTTTTGTAATGATTTTGAGAATATTTTCACATGTTTTCAAAAAAGTATAAAAGCAAATAAAAAGTATTTTCACAAACAGTTGTGATCAATCATAAACTTGTGAAAGACTAAAAATGGAAAACTATTATCAGTTCACGAAGAAAATGATATTTTCAATTGGAGTTGATTTCGATAAGCAAGAGAAATATAAATTTCTTCTAAAAATCTTGAGGAATATTTCTATTGCTTTCACAGTGTTGAATCTTATTCATTCTTTAATGTATTTTGCAACCAGTAATAAGAAGGATTATCACAATATTTCATCAGTTTCTATGACTATTTTCGGTTTACAAAGTTTGATAAAAATCTTCGTTGTCTGCTATTATCGAGATAGCTTCGTAGACATCATTGAGCGAATTAAGTCCCGATTCGAGAAGCATGATGAACATGAAAAAGAAAAATCTTGGAGTTTTTTGAAGAGAACCCGAAAGTTTCTCGTGAATTGGTTCCTTGCACAAATGGTTTGTCTTTGGAGCTTCAACTTGCTTCCTCTGTTGACAATGGTTATTGGTTTCTTTTCGAAAGGAATTCTATTGAAAACGTTTCCTTACGGATATTGGTTTCCTTTCGATACAGATCGTTATTATTTCATAGTGTTTTGCTATCAACTTTATGCGGGACATGTCATTATTGCAATTCAAATGATCATGGATCAATTGTTTTTGCTGATATCTGCTGAGATAAAAACACAGTTTGACAGATTAGGTGACAGAATCAGTAAAATCATTAATAACACAGACCCAAAAGAAAGCGTCAATACAAAAAAAGAACTGAATGAATTTATTGACAGTCACAATGATTTGATTTCAATCTTCAATGATTTCAACGATGTCTATACTGGCGCGGTGTTATTTGACGTAGTTACAATGGCAGTCGGGATTTGTTTTGTTGGTGTTATGACAATGGTATGATTGAAAAAATTCTAACACGGCTAATTAAATTAATTAATTATTTAAAAGATGCCTTCATCGTTTTTTTCCTTTCAATGATAAAATTTATTTTTTCTATTTCTGAAGAATTTGGATCTTGCACATGCAATTCCATCAGCCTTAGGCTTGATTTTAAGCGTTGGGAAAATGTTTATTCTTTGCTGGTTCGGCAACATGATAAGTGAAAGTGACAGTGTAAATATTTCATTTTCTTTTAAAACTCAATCTGTTACAAAAGATCATTTAAATATTTTCTTAAAGGCTGGTCGGATAGCTGACGAAGTGTATGGAAGCAATTTCCTAAATTTGAATAATTCGCTCAGGAAAGATTTGGTTATAATCATTCAAATGTCTCAAAAACCAAGAACAATTAGTGTGAGAAACGTTTTTTCTTTGAAACTGTCGGCATTTTCTAATGTAAGTAGAATTTAATTGTTGCATTAAATCTTTCAATAATTTTTATTCCAATATTCTTAGATTATTCGAACAGCTTTCTCGTACTTTGCATTGGCTCGAGAATTCTTCTAAAACGTTAAAATAATTACCAGAAAAAGTTAAATGTTCTGTGTGAAACTAAAAGCGCTTAAAATTTGTATATCAATATCAAATAATTTTGTCCCACGATCAAAACCAATGAATTATTAATGTTGAAAAGATTTCATTTTGTAACAGTTATTCACTTAATGTATATCGATGTATCATTATAACAAACTATCACCAATTACCTACAAACGTAGTAATTTTATAAAGTTAATACTTTTCTCACATAAATAAAATGTATCGAAATCAAGTCGAAAATTGGATTTCCCATTGCATTGACGACATTTGAATATTCGAAAATAAAATTTCTATTTGTTAATTAAAAACTATCAAATGACTAGAGATGAAGTTTATTAGTTCAAAAGAAATTAACTAATCGTGTTGGGGGTTGACTAATCAATGGTGATAATAATAAGAATGTTCATGCTGTTTTTATTTGGTGCTTTCTACAGAACGAAAGTTCTTATTATGACGTCATGAATGACTTGAGTATACAGAACTAAAAAAGAGCACAGAAGGATGAACAAATCTTATTATTGGTAAGTTACTCATGAAAAAAGCTAATCAATACAGTAGATAAGTATGTATGTACATCTCAATTTCTCGTAGTATGTTAAAAACACGCGCTTAAAAATGTAAAGCCAATAAATGAGTTAAATAATTTATTAATCTTCAATATATTTAAGTTTATATGCATCTTTTCGGATATTTAAATATTTACATAAAAGTGGAAATACATTATTCCTGTTTTTTCGAAAGTTTTACGCAACTATGTACAGACTTGCTAACGAAAGTATTACGTTCCATGAAAGTTTTTCCATGACAATATAAATCAGACTATCAGATTACGATTGAAGTAATACTCGATATTGTCGCGTGTTTTAAATTGGGAGAAAATAGTAGCGATATTTATACACTGCATAATATTTAGGTCTTCAATTCTTTAGTGTTTAATATAATGTAAAATATAAAATTATGAATCACAAAGGGATTTGTGAATAAATTCATATTAATAAAGATTCATTGATATTGGCAATGGTCACCTCGTTTTTACGTTTACAACACGTGCTAATGAATAAACAAAGTATGAAATATCGTTGTTCATTCATAAACACTCCTTAATATGATCAGTTTACGAGATACAATTAAATGATTAAAAATCTCAGTTTTGTTGTTCTAATTTAAAGTTGAATAAACTTTACATTTTTTAGACGTTGAATTATGGTTTATTTTTATTAATTTATCATGCATAATTTCTATCAATTTGAAGGATGTTTATGACTGTCAATATGAGTTCTAAAGTTATAAATATTCATAAAGTTTATGAATGAACTTTTGAGGTAAAAATGTTGTTAATAATTTTCAAGCCAAACGTTTATCTAATTATAATTTTAACTTATTTTTGAAATTAACAGAATAATGACTTGAATGGTACGAAAACAGTAATGAATGTCAATTTTTATTGAAACTAGTTGTTTAATCCTTGACTTATTTGAATTAAATATAAAAATCTATTTGTCAACGATCGTTTTGCATTCTATTATTTTTCTTGCGGTCATAGACACGCGCGAAGTTGTGATGCATCTACGATGTTACGGAATGAAAACTTGTATAAATATTTAGCAGGGACAGAAACTGAGTGAATCTCCAATTAACAGTTTCAGTTATTTAAATAAATGTTTTTAAAATTATTGTGTTCCAAAGTAATTTGAGTTCTTCTAATTTCCTTTTTTCAATTATCTGATAAAACATTAATAAAAACACTTGCGACATTACACGATACTTGTCACTAAATTATCAACACGATTTTAACATTTTTATTGTTCAACGTCATTTCGAGTTATCCCTCACATCGCATGTGCCATCGTAAAATTATTAACATTTTTGTTTTTAGGACACATTCTGATGTTTCTGTGTTTTTTATTCAACTTTTTTTTTTCATCAAGCTCACATACTTAGCACTTTAAATAAACTTTTTCCGTTCATATTGAAATGCAAAAATCGATACAACACGCGTTCATGAATCTCATACATTTTTATTTTTCGTCAGTCCGGAGGCACAATTTTTTTTCTTTCTGTATAAAAACTGTGGGAATCTTATGATTATTTTCATTTTACTTTCAAGTGTGAAGTAAGAACGATATCAGGGGAAATAAAATTGAAAAATGTGGAAAATAATTTTTCTCGTAGTTGTCATTGAAGTTTGTGTTATAAGTTGTGAAGAAGATCCGATTGTTTGTATCGACAATGGATGTATCAGAGGAAAATCTTTTAAAGGGAATCAGAAGGCGTTTGAAGGCTTTTTGGGAATTCCATATGCAAAGCCACCAACGAACGAATTGAGATTGAAAGTAATTTTTACTTTTTAAACGGAAGATTATGAAACTTGTTATTTATTCTACTTATATTATTTCATTCATTAAAAAGTGTTAAGGAATGAATTTTAATATTTCTTTTTCGTTCACATATCAATGAAGGATCCTCAACCAACTGTGGAGAAATGGAATGACGTTTATAACGCAACAGAAGAGAAAATGTTTTGCATGCAAAAAAATTACTTCTTGCCAAATCCCACAGTTTCAGGTGTTGAAGATTGTCTTTATCTTTACATCTATCGACCAAAAGTAAGTAAATTATCGGTTATTTCTCGCGCAATACTGAAAATGTTAATTCGATACTTTAAACTACAGTTAAAATCAGTTTCATTTGTTTACGATGAATCAATAAGATGTTTATTTTATATCTTATTTATTCTACTGAATAATTTTACAATCACAGAGAGTGAAAGCATTTTTTTACAAGTCAATTAATGAAACGTGCTGGAATAAGTTAAGGAAAATTTCTTCTTACTTCTACTTAGTTTATATACATAAACATTGCTACTTATTGGAAGAATTTTAGAAAGAATTTTTTTGACAATTTCAATTCAGTAAACACATTATTTTGTCATGAAATGATGTTAATTAAAATTGATCTTGAGACAAGTTCAATGTCACGTTATCTTCATCACAAAACTTTTTCAATTATCTAATGCAGATTTGTAAAACTTAGAAAAAAATAATTCTCAAATCTCAAAGTTCACCAAGTTGTCGATTAGAAATATCTAACACGAGGAAATGCGTCTGAAATATTGAATTTAATTTAATCACGTTGTTAGTTTGTTATTTTGTCATGATTCATCCATTTTCTCTGTTATTTCTTAGAATGTAATGAGAAATCGACGTAAGCTTCTTCCTGTCATAATTTATCTCCATGGCGGTGGATTTTTTGCTGGCACTGCAGGTCCAAGCATTACTGGTGCTGATTTCTTTATGGATACTGAAGATGTGATAGTTGTCACAATGAATTATCGTCTTGGGCCTCTGGGATTTTTATCAACAGGTGATATTAATATGTCAGGGAATTTTGGATTGAAAGATCAAGCTTTGGCCATTAAATGGACCAAGGATAACATCAAAGCTTTTGGAGGTAAAGTTAATTTTTGAATTTGAAGTCAATAAAACTTTCACTTCGAACACTTCTACAGGTGACGCTTCAAATATCGCATTAATGGGTCAATCTGCTGGTGCATCAAGCGCTCATCTTCATATGATGTCGAGTCCAAAGTGGAGTCGAAATTTGTTTCATAAAACAATAATGTTGAGTGGGAATGGCAACGGGCCGTATTTTTACGTTATTGAGAATCCTTTGAAACAAGCTAAAGAGTTTGCAAAAGCAATTGGAATAAAAGATTATGATGAAATGCAATCGGAAGAGTTGGCAATAAATCTTCGAAGGGTTGATCCAGAAATATTAATAAGAGCTTGTGATAAACTTAAAATTTGGAGCATTGATCCGCTTACAATCTCAAGGCCAGTTGTTGAGGATTGTCAAACTCATAATGGATTTTTATGCAACAATCCTGTGGAAATATGGCGTTCTGGAGACTATGTAAGAGTTCCAATGTTAACAGGATTTATGGATGGCGACGGCGGAGTTCGTGCATTGGCGATTCTTGAAAACAAAACGCAACTTCATGATCTTAATGAAAGATTCGATGAACTATTTCCAAAGTTAATGGAGATCGAGAATAAATCATCAGAAATGAATTTCAAACACCTCAATATGATCAAGAAAAGATATTTCAGAGGGATAAGTGAAATAAGTAATGAAACTTCAAACGACTTGATTAGAATTTACACAGAAAGATCATTCATAACACCACTTTTCAATACTTTAAGTCAACATGTTCAACAGGATAAAAAGACGCCTGCATATCTTTACAAGTTTTCATTCAACAGTTCTTTGTCTTATTCTTCCTTTTTCACTGGAAATTCAAAAAACTATGGTGCTGTTCATTGTGATGAATTAATTTATCTATTAAAGTCACCAGCAATATTCCCAAATCAATTTGAACAAAATTCAATCGAAAGCAAATTCAGAACGAAATTTGTAAAATTCTTTACTGATTTTGTTGCTAATGGGTAAGAAATTAATTTATGACAATAAAAATAATTTTAAATATTTTTTCATATCAGTAAACCAAATAAAATATCAGGAAAGGCAGTGAGGCAATGTGAAGCATTAAATTACAAATCAACAAACCCAAGTCTGAAATGTAACATTGTTGAGTTTGGAAATGATTTTACAATGAAACTAACTGGAGAAATTGACCCAACAATTGCTGAATTTTGGAACAATATTGACCCAACAATGATGGGAACAAAAGAAGATTCACTAGTGTCGCGTAATGAAGTATTTCAGATTTTTAAAATTCATTCAGGTCATACCAATTAAGGAAGTTTATGAAATAATTTTTTTTTTAATTTAGTTTTGATTTAATTTAGTCTTTGAATCACATAGATTTACAATGTAAATGTTGTCTACAGAGAAAAAATATTTGTTATTTAATAATAATAATTTATTCCTTGATGATAGACATTTCTATCTGAAAGTGTAATTAATAAAGGTATGAAAATTATAAAAGCTTCATTTCATGTAGGTAAGAGTCGGAAGGTTAAAATTTTCATGAATGATAGTTTATTCTACGAAATGTAAAGGTTCTTAGTAATAACAAAAAGAAAGTCAAGAAAAATTACATTAAGAGAATCACATTTGTTTTTAATTATTATGGATGTTATAGAAGCTTACATGCCAACCAATGTGCTGCAACGTGTGTGCACAAGCAGAAAAATGCTTCAATAATTAACTGTATTGGATACGTCAAAGGAAGCATCTAATAAAATTATTCTTCGTACTGTAATTTTTTGCAATGCAATTTCATGAAACCACAATCTAAGTAAAATTTCAAGTTGAAATACAATCAACAATCTTAAAATTTTTTATAAAAAAAATATGTAAAAACATGAAAAGAATCTTCAAAAATCATCCTAAAAGAAGAAAATGTTTGAGAAAACTTTTATTTTTATTACCACTACAAAAATAGCTTCCAATCTCAGATTCTTTATAATTTTATATTTTGTTTTGAAAAACTAACATTGTTAATGTGATTAAGGACGCAAATAGAATTGCACAAGAGATTCTTTGAAGGAAGATTTGATTTTTGGCATATGAAAAATCACAATGAAAAGAAATGAAGAATTCAAATTACAATTCAGTATGAAGAGAAAGTTTCTTTTCCAAATTTTCTTGAATCTTTTCAACTTTTCTTGACTGCTTTTTAATTTTTCCTTCCAGTTCTTCAAGACGATCGTGATGCTTATCTCCAGGTTTGACAGATTTGAACTTTTCCATAGTTAAAGCATGTTCAGCGTGCATTGTACGAAGTTTCAAAAAACGCGATTCAAAATGATGCAATTCTATTTTTATCGAAGCTAATTCATCAGCTGAAAAGTTGCCAGCTTGCGCAACACGCCATAATCCTTGCACTTTAGGTTCAATGAATTCACTTTCACTTGATCCTCTGGCTGTCATCCTTTCCAAACGGTCAGCATTGTCACGAATTTCACGATGCTTTTCACGCACTTGATTAGCTTTTGAAATATATTCCTGATGTTTATCCTCATTTTTTTGATTCTGGTAAATATCATTATCAGTTTTTTCTGGAGCAACAACCTCATTGAATGTGTCGAGCTCATCTTCATTTATAGCATCTAATTAAAAAAAAACATTTTATTCACGAGATAATTTATGAAATTTGAATTAAAATCTTACTTTGATGTTGCTCAACTCCTCTATTGTCTTTCACATCAGTCAATTTTTCTAGCATTGAATAATACATTTGAACTTTTTCCTCGTGATGTAAGAATTCTTCCTTTAATGTTTGAAGTTCATCAGGTGTGAATCCTCCAATTTCTGCGCGCTCCCACAATTTATTCAACTTCTTATCTTTAAAAAGACTTTTATTCTTGTAATTATCTGTCTTTACTTTTCCTTCATATGGCTTATGTTTTTTGTACAGTTCAGGATTGTTGACATCTTCTACATCCATAACTTCTAGCAAATCGTATGTGGACATAATCCCAATCAGTTTCTTCCTTAATTCAGCTTCTTTCAGTCCATCGTTGAAATCTTTTGGTTTTTCAGACTTTTGATGCTTAAATGCTAATTCTTCTTTGTCGTGAATTTTAAGTTCAGTGAACAAAGATTTAAGTTTTGGTTCAGTAAGACGATGAACTGCTTTCGACCAAAGCATGTTCAATTTTGCAATACGAAATGGTTTTTGAAGGTTTCTGTTTATATAAACAAAAAGAATTTAACAAATTTCAATGAGAAAATTACATAATGATGTTATCCTTACCTGAAATCAGAATCGTATTTCTCAGACTCTTTCATGTTTGCTTTCTTCGAGTATTTATCACTCTTATCAGCAGCTACCATTAATATTAAACATAGAAAAATAATTAGACCGAAATTACGAAAATATTGCAACTTCATTTTGATGGCAATTTTTAATTATTGAAAGCAACTAAACGAGCACTTATTGCGAGTAAAATATCCCGGCGAAAATATGTAATTTTAGCTTAGGTTTATGGTATATTAAATTATAAATAGGAAGATTGTTGATTTTTTTAATTGCAAGTGTAAGTTTAGCATTTTTTTATGCTTATTTTAGCATAATTTTGGCATAACATTTAAAATATAAAATGTCGTTAAATTTTTTATGAATTCACAAACGACGACAAAAATAATTTTTTTATTTTACTTTTCTTTTCTCACCTAAGTCTTGCACATGTGCATAAGAATGAAATGATTATAACAAAATCACACTGGCTATTTGAAAAATACATTTTTGAAGTTCAAATAAAACCAAAACAAAAAAGCTTTCTGTAAAAGTTTTTTAAAACAACAAAAACTTATTTTTTTCTTCAACTCTTTATTTGATTTTGGTTGAAACAAGCTTTAAAGATACTTATAAAATATTTAGGTAGTTTCCAAATTTTGTTTTAAGTTCCAGCCAAAGATAAAACAAAATTTGGTAAAAATAACATTAAAATTCTTAGCTTAAGTTTAGTTTCGCTAAGCTTCTTTTTTTTTCATTTCTTACAATTGTGAAAAGTTGTTGAGAGAGAAAGGAAGGATTTTGATGATAATAGGCTTTTATTTTTCAAAGTGAGGTTTGTCAAGTTCCATCGGTTGAATGTTTTTCAGATTGCGTCTAATTCTTCGTCCAGCTGATGGATTTCTTAAATTGAAATCATCTTGTGAAATTGCTTTTAAATTTTCATTGAACAGACTGTCTTCGTTTGTGTTTAATTCTTCCGATGATCCAAATGGTAGTTCAACTGGAGGATTATTTAGAGCTTTTCTAAGAGAATAGAAACAAAATTAATTAAATTCTCTTTCTATATGGAACTATTTATCAGGTAATGTTTGTATACATCTCATTGTCAGGAAATTGAGAAGGTTGTTTCGAGCTTTCACGCAACATTTTTTTAAACTGGTAAAAGTCATCCTGTGAATGCATAAACGTAATAAAAATTTGGCTATCGAAAAAATCAAATACCTTTTCCGGCAACATTTGAAAAAGTGCCCATCGATCGCTCGGTTGTGATGGTTTATATTCTCGCTGCGGGATAAATGACCTTTTTCCATGAGCTAGAACATTACAAATAAATAAACATAAATTATTATCAAAGAGTGAGAAAAAATGTCTTAATAAACATTTTTCTCACCTCCCCAACACGAGTGTCCATAACTCAAGCAAGATGCTGCAATAACAAAAGCAGTTTTTAAAATATTTATGTTCTATGTTTAGACGACATTAGCATGTGTTATACAGGAACTTTATCTTGCTTAGATATTAATTCAAGTTCAACATTACTACTTAGTATGATTAATATTTCATACAAAACATTCAACCACATCAACAAAAGCTTTATTCATTTTTCTCAGCTTTTTGTATTTAAATAGAACTGCATCTGTGTGTATCGTAAAATATTTAACCATTGGCTTGTAAGAGACTTTTCCCTCTTTGACTTTAAAATTACACCAGCAGCACAATGAATTCATAATGCATCATGAAGAACTGCTTATATATCAACCCCATTCCACTTGAGTTTGTCTTTTAGAAATATTTTCCTGTCTCCTGTAACTGCATTGTTTCAATTAGTTTTCTTAATGTAGAAAGTTTATTACAAAACATGTCTCTTAATTTTTTCGAAGAAATCCAAGATGTGATATTTGTGTTAAAGCTGATGATAGCTTTTGTTAATTTTCTTAAAAACAACTCAGGAAGATAACAAAAGCTTTAAGTTTTTAGTCATTTCATTGTTATACTTTTAATCGAGTTAATCTCAGATTATAGTGTTACGAAAGTCTTTGAAATTGAACCTAATAATTATAAAAAAGAATTTCACAACATAGAAACAGAAAATTTCTTCAACGGAAATTAAAATTCTTAGGGAAAGTTTGCAACATGAAAAAATATGTAAGACGTTTATAAGTTTTTACACCATAACCTTTATGTTTCTTTCTTTTATAGCTAGAATCAGTTTTTTTAAAAGCATACAATGTTAGCCTCTGTCTGAAGTTATTTATTTTGCTTGAAAATTTGAGGAATTTTTTGTTATTAACAAAACCGTCATTTCATCATATAAGAGAAAATTAAAAGGAGACGCTAGGTAGACAGTTAATGCGAATAAATACAATTAGATGCATCCAGAAATACGTTTGGCATTTAAAATATTTCACTTGCAAAGGCATAAATCAATTCACATAAAATTTAAACATAAAAACTTGAAAAAATATAATAAAACTTTTGTCATTGGTCACATCTGGCTATGATTAAGCATTGAACATTTATGTATGAATTCAGAATAAGGACCTTATTATTGACATAAATACAAGGTATAAAGAAGAATTGAAGGTTCTTTTACAAAAGATAAAATATATCCAGGAAGTATTTCTGAGTACCTCATATGTTCTTATTTCTATTATGTTGAAGGATAAAATGCCTCTTAATAATTTGTCGATTCTTAAAAATGTTTCTTAAAATTCGCCTTTTAAATGTCCGAAAGGAATTTTTTACATAACTTTCAACTTTCTACATTAAAGTGAAATTCTAGCGACATAATATTTTGTGAATCAATTTTCGTGCCAAATAAATCTTATTTTCATTTTTAAGGTGTGAAATTTGGTATAAACTATTTCATGTTAAAATGAAATCCGATCCATCAAGCTCAGGTTAAATCGACGGTTTAATGGGGAAATTAACGCTGCCTGTGACATTAGCATATAGAAAATGTTCCCACTCACCATCAATGAACTTTACAGAGACGATTACTAACAATAAACTGACGTAAAACTTCATCATTTTTATTCTCGTTATGTTGTCTTTTCTTCAATAAATAATTTTAAGTGCTTTTTCAATAATTTGTAAATGATTTGTAAAATAATTATTTTAAAAGCTTTCACAATGAATTTTTGTTCACTTTATAATCTTCAATAATACTTTTGAAAGAATATTTTCTTTTTGTTTTGAATCAACGTAAAATTTTAGTGTTGACTGTTTCACTCCACTTGAAATTTCACACTAGGTTTATGATTTGTGATCAGTCTCCTTTTATACCTGTTGCTTGTTATTTTTATCTACGCACACTACTTTCTGATATGGTTGAGTAAAATACGATTTTCCAACAATAAAGCATTTTCTTCTATATTTTCTTCGTGTAGAAGACTAACACAAGTGAATGAAAGTAGTATTGTGGCCAGTGAAATTTCTCTATGAAAACCTATCACGCTTTTTTCTATGATGTCATCAATAGAAAGAGCAATGGCGATAATCAATGTTAAATATTTAGAATTGATGACATTTTATCAATTTAATTATAATTATTCAAATTTCTTGAAAATTATTTCAGAGATTTTTTTGTTTCAACTTTTAATGAGTTTCGATGTTTACATTATTTGTAATTGAAATCAATGTAATGTCATGGAGCCAATAAACTACCAATATACTCTTCCATAATGAGAAAATAAATATTTATGTCTTTCTATTTATAAGCAGATACTTTAGTTTAAGTTTTAATATTTGTTTGACAATGCTTAACTCAAATGGTTGACACATCGTTGCAAGCATTATTGAAGCTTTGCTGTGATGTTACGTCAAGTTTCAGGACTTTATGAGTCTTGATTGTTTAGCAACTTTATTGAGTGATGTGAAAATGAAACCGCTATAGACTATAACTAAATCAATATCTTAACAAGACTTTATCTATGTTGATGACTTAAATTTGCATGCAATATGAGAAAACCTTAATCGGGGTGATATCAACTGATAATAATGATAAATCAAAGTTTTATTGTTTTTTGTTTTCAAACAGATTAACCGTGTGACATTTCTTTTCGCACAATTTGAAAAATGTTTATTAAAAGGCAAGGATTAAATTTCCAATTAATAAAACGCAATTCATAATGCAATCCATGGATTAATTTCAAATCTATATTACCTAATTAATAGATTTTTTTTCTGTTTTCTATATTTATCAAGGGAAGACCTGTTTTACATATTTATAAAGTTTAAATCAATAAATGTGAAAATTTAACAAATGAAAATACATAGTAGATTAGGTATATGAAAATTTTTAATTTATTTATTTTTAATGATAACTTTTGATATTACTGAGATTCTCAACATGTTTGAAAAGCTTTATCAAAGTTATAAAGTTTGAAAATCTGTGTTGTGTCACATTATAAAAGCTTAATCAAACAAATGATTTACTTAAATTTAATCACGAAATAAAATAAATTGCAACATCATAAATCATAACAAAAATAACTTTTTCAACCAAAATATAAAATTAAATGCCTAGCTAACATAGTTACAACTATTTCTATTTTCAACAAATGACTCAGAAAATTGATTTCTTTTTGAAATGTAGAAAAAGTTTTGAATTGAAAAAAGTCTTGAAAATGTCACAACTACAGCATTGAATGTTCTCATTGTATTATTTGGTTTCGGTCAAATAATTTTACCAAGACGGAAATTTGGACGATATCTGCTGGACATCATCAAAGTAAAAAAAGAGTTAAAGAAAAAAATTGCGAGAATTGCACAGTGATTATTTTGGTAAAAAAATTTGCAACTGCAAGTTAAAGAATTTGGTTTCCTAAGGAATTTGAATTTTACAAGCCTTTCAATAAAAAAGTTAAACTATTATTTAAAGGAGCGATCATTCAACGATTGACTAGTTTCAACCATGAACTGAAAATGGAAGAAATATTTCAAGATCCATCTGTGTTAACATTTGAACACTTGACTTTTGGTTTCACAATCTATTTGGCTTGTCTTGGATTTTCTCCAATAGTTTTCTTTATTGACCTTATCATAGACAAATTCAAAAATTTCCGTAGGTTATATTAAGATTGATAAGATTGATTGAGATGTTGTAAGCAAATATGTTTGCATCATTTTTGTATTATTAACATCGATTCATTAAATGAATATTTAAAGTGCATTTTGCTTCACACTCTTTTCTAAGACACAGATTTATTTGCAAAAAATGAATTAATCAAAGAATTAACTGCAAACTTTTCGGACTATCTCATGTCTCGCCATATTATTCAAAAATTCAGATGAGAACAACTGTAAAACTGAATTAGCTTCTGAACTAAGTGGAAAAGCATTTATTTTAAAGAGCTTTTAAATTCAAAAAATTCCTTTATAAATCCTGAAACTGACACTAACTTTCAGTGAAAAGTTTTCAAAGGTTGAGAATGAAAAAATTGGTGTATGGATTCTCGCCTTTTACTCATAAATCACATCCATTTATGTCGTAAATGCAAGCATAAATTTTCTGTTGAATAGAGCCAAGAATATTTTTGTAGATATCATGAAATCGTGAATGTTTAGAACATGCTTTTCCATTCAATTTTTATGGTCGTTCTTTTGAAGATAAACTCAAATTTTCAAGAAGAATTGCACAAGCTTTTCATGATTTGTAATCTGGTATTTATTTTTGATATTTAACAAATTTCCATCTCATTCTGATTATAGAATTCACTTGTTATGAACACATGTTTTTGTTGCTGTTAGCGATGACTTTTTTTTACTTATTTTAAAGTGTTCACAAAATTTCAAAAGAATTAACTAACATATCAATTTTACTAACATAAGATACATAAGTATTAATGTTTCTACCTCTGATATTCTGAAAGTATAAAATCTTATAAAGATTTGAACAAAGTTTTTTCACTTCCAATTTGTTTGTGTCCTCTGGGGTTGGCTATATGAAACATTTTTTACTTCTTTTAAGAATGTTTTCCTGTTTTAAAGGGTTTTCAAAGACATAAATATAAAGAAGAAAGGTGAAAGTTTTTCCCTTCTAGTATAATGTTGAAAGTTTCTGTTTATCGTTGACATTTTTTTGTTGTTTTGAATTAAAAGTTAAATTTATAAAGTTCCCATGTCGAAAAATTAATTGCCTGAAACATTATGGCAAAAAGAATAACTGAAGCTTCATCTTGGCTAAGAAAGAAGAGATAGTCTTGTGAGTATAGAGGAATGAAATGCCAGATATTTGAAAAAGACGTCTTGATATTAACCTTGTCAACAATACCACTTAGAATATGAAATAAATTCTAATTAATGTATCTGCATTGGGGTGTTTCGTGCTTTAAGAGATTAATGATGCTACTTGCCAATCTTTCTCTGGCATCAATTTCAGTTCTTTCATTTCAAGTCATGCTTCACTTAAGACAAGGTAAGGACTAGAGTTTCACGGAATTTCACCCTTTGCAAAGCTCCTAAGAAACCATTAAATAGTAACGTTACACTTCTAGAATAATATTTTCAACATTCAGGCAATGTGACCTTCAATACACAAGAAAACCCCATAAAGCAGGTTCATCTTGAAGAAAAAGAGTTTCGTTGAAGTAGTTTCTCATTCCCTTTGTAAAAAAAAACTTATTTCAGCAAATTTCAATGGTTTTAAGCTCAAGGAAAATCTGGCATTATTTATCACAACCATCACTAAAGGCTTTTCATTGGAAAGATAATGGAGCATAATTAATTTTATCTCACCAGAAACACTACGCAGTCATGGTGATTTAAAGTAATTTGTTTCTCTAGCTGAATAATAACAAATGAATGAAATTTTTGAAAAAATCTTTTTCAGATTAAGGTTCAGACGAGTCTTTGAACTTAAGCTCTTTAAACCATTTTTACTTCCTCGGGATTAAAGTTTTATTAATGATATAAAATCGCGAAGTTTTGACTTATTTTATATCGTAATAAAATTATTGACATGTTGACAGATTATTTTTATTGGCAACAAGAGAATGATGACGAGTATTACTGATTCGACGATATGACAGTAACGGCTAACAACATTGGAGGAACTAATTTAATACCTAACTATTGTTTCCAATGAAAATAAAAAAGATATCTCAACTATCGTTTTATGGTTGCCACTTCACATGTCATTCTAAATATGACAACAAAAAAAATATTTCATAAAATTCCAATTTAAACTACTGTAGATGATGTCAATTCGTCTTTTAAAATTAAATGACTTAGTTACATTCTGAATTCTGATAATTCACATCATGATGTAATTTTTAATTAATTTTTACATCAATCTCCCACTTTCAATTTTCAATGCATTAAAGTTTAGATCGTTTGATTGAAAAGTTTTTTCTGAAAATCAGGGACATGTTTTATTTGAAAATCTTCTAACACAAAATATTAATTAATTTTCTATGCAATTATTTTTTTATTCACTATCAATTAATTTCTGATTTCTACAAAATTAAATTTTTAATTACGATTCTTGATCTTCGGGTTCACGTTTTGGTAATCTTCCTGGTTTACATTCGGGATATTTATCAGTAAGAAAACTTTTCATTTCTCCATGTTCAACTAACATATTTTCCTTAATGGTAAAGTGATTTCTTCGTTTCTCAAGTTTTTTCAAATAAACTTGATAGCCATAAGAGCTTTCATAGAACATTGGAAACTTCTTACGTTTCAAAGGAAGTTTTCCATCCATGGCGAATATTGAATAATCAATAATTTCATTTTCTCTGATCTCTTTCTCTGTTCGACATCTTGTTGGACTTGCAACAACTTTTGGGAAGAATCCAGTCTCTTTACTATACTTAACAAGATGAAGTCCTTTTGCTTCTGCGGTTTTTGCATAAGGCTTTTGACTTAAGAGTCCAAGGAAAAAAGCTTTCACAACATGTTGAACAGTTGGTGAACCTTCACATTTTGCATACAAATCTTTTATTCCAACAACTTCACAAATAGTTTTAATCGCTCGATGACAAACAAGTCCATACCCTTCAGGTTTCTTATAAACAAATATCTTTGTCTTTCCAAATTGACAAAAGAAGTCATGATAAATGCCGTGACCATCGCAAATATCAATGAACATCTGTGAAGATTTCAATTGTATTTCATTCATTAAAAAATTTAATTTACTTTTACCAATTTCTGTCCAGCACGATTTTTAGCTTTACGCAATACATTTTTCGATTCAACTGCTTTTCCAGTGGCAAATCCAGCTAATCCTTTTCCATTTCCTGTTACAACAAAGCAAGACAATCGACGTTTTCGTCCCATATTTCCTTTCATGTTGACAACAGTTTTCAACTCAATAACTCTTGTATCGAAACCTTCGAAAGCATCTTCGCCAATAGGATCAGGAGGTCCAATGGATCTTCCAGGCATTTTACTACCAGACCAACCACGTTCTAAAGGAGTCAATCTATTGAAACGTTTTCCTGATGCTGATTCACGAAGTTTTATTATCTTTGCTTCATGTTCTGGATCAGGGGGTAAAGTTTGTCGCTAAATATAATTAAGAAAGAAGTTAGCGAACAAGATTTACGATAAGAATGTGATGAGATCTTACATGAACAAGTTCTCGGCCTCGGATGATGGGAGCTGAAAGTCCAGGCCATTGAATATTTGCTTTTCCAACTCCAATAATTTGTCCTCGATTCAAATTCTTTTTCCTCATAAGACCCTTTGCTCGACCTCTTTTCCGTCCAGCATTTGAAACTGATGTTACAGCTTTCCAAAGATGATCAGCAGGCACTACAAGCATAGAAATGTGAATATTTTGTTATATTTACGAAAACATTTCAAAAATTACATTTTGTGAAAAATCCAGGATAATTTCTAGCGAAAATCGTATTGATTTGATGATTTTGCGATAACAAACTGCTTGGTGTTGGATTAATTCTCAGGTTTTGAAAGCTTTTTGACAAGAGTTTGCCGACTTGCAGAAACTTCAAAGCCATTGGTTAGCCCGATTTTTTTACTTATCGCGTAACTATCGAATAGAATCTGTTGTCCTCGTGAATAAAAACTAGAAATAAGCCTTTAAACTTAGTTCTCCAGTAATATTTGATCAAAATATGTCAAAATAGGTATTTGATTTATTTTATAATTTTTCTTGCATTAATATTTTTCACGCGGCTCCAACCAAAACAAATCAGGGATTGGAAATTCTTCTTAAGAGAGAACTTTTGAATTTGAAATAATAAAAACCGTTATTTTATCAGTCATGTTACATTAAAACTTTTAATTAATTCAAAAAAAGATCCCGGAATTGCGAGAATAATTTATGCATAAACTTTGTAATAAAAAGGACTTCTTTTTAAGGTTTGTCTTTAGTTTGGTTTATTTTAAAAGAGTAAATAGGAAGTTATAATTCTTCACAACGCTTCGTGTCGTGATAATATTTATTTTATCAAATTCATATGAGGAGGTAATTCATTCCTTTACATAATATTAAAAAAAACATTATCACGATCATCATTGTCACGAAACTTTTAAATAATGTCATAGTTGGAAATTTGCCTTAAAAAATATATGCATGCCTTCAAAGAAAAATGAACTCTGCGTGTAAAAAATGAATGAACTTTGAATCGAAACCATTCTTACATTTGTATGTAGTAGAGAGTGATATGCAAAAATGCGTACTGCCTAGAAGTGTAAAAAATAAATCCCCCATGTACAATTATTAAAATATTTATTACCTTGAAATGCTGTTAACCATCTACATAGGTATATAGATATGAAAATTTTTGTCTGAACTTTATATCATAGAAGTTTATGTTTCGTTATGGTTTAATTCTAATGCACAATGTAATATTATGAGCATCATTATTGAACGTATGAACCCTTTAATCCTTTTTACAAGGTGGCAAATTACCGTAACATCAAACCCGATAAATTAACATAAGTCAGGTCTATAAAGTGAATATGATGATAGATTTTAAAGCTTTCGTGTACTCTACTTCTGCATTTGCATATATATGAAGTTCATAGATTATTCTATTTTTTAATTTATTTTATCACCTCGTATAATTATGTAATTGAAATTAATTTTCTGTTTTAAACTTTTAATGGTTGATGCAATAATGCCTCGTTTATTATTTATTTCATGTCAAAAAAGAAATATTTATTTTTACGCTTTCATTTAATCATTTATAACAAGGCCAGACGAAATTAAATCGTAATAAAATAGTCATGTCCATTGCTATATTTAATTACAGACAAACCTATTAAGAAGGATTTCCATCATTCTATAGGATTTTCGTATTAATTCAGGTATTAATTTCGGACATCCTTTTAGTCGCAGATTTGTAGGAATTTTTCCTGAATGTAGCTATTTCATGCTAGCCAACATATACATTCATTCATTCAATCTTCTTAATCGATATATTCCATCCATTCATTTCAGTATGATGATTTTATGAAAAGCAAAAAAATTATACAAATGGAAATTCGCGAGAATAATACGATGATAAATGAATATTTCGAGTCGAAGCTTTTAGGTCCGGATGGGCTCTTTGAGGTTGTATTCAATGTAAAGCTTTTCATACGAGAACAGGTGTTCAGACTTTGTGTATAGCTTTTTAATATTTATGGAATATTTATGCTGCTGAATACTTTGTTAAAGCCGAATCATCGTAAAAGATACTTTCAATGAAACATTTTAAAGATCTTAACAATCAAACAAATTTTTTACTGTATTGATAATGATGAAAGATCTTGGATATAAATTTAACGATTCACTAATATTATGAGAACCTTCCTGAAAATAAAAATAAACATTATCCTGGATAAAATAAAAAATAATGGTTTTGAATTTTCCAAATAAACTTTTTCAGAAATTTTATTGTTTTAAAAATCCTTGTTTCATTTGATCATATTTCAAGTTTTACAAAAAAATGAAAAATAAATTGAGGGTTTTCAATTTATAGTTTAAACTTTAATATTTGGTTTTCGTATATATTTTTTCAAACAGTGAAATATATTAATTCAAGCATTTAAAGTTTTGATATTGTTTAAAATAATTAATATTTTGTTTATCTTGTAATCAATATTTTTCTTCAAATTTTTATATTCATTATAACATTTTTTGAGTTTTACATATAACATTCATTTTTCTTGTATGTATCTCACATTGAACAATTAATTTTTAATTTTATTTATTTCTTTGCTATGTGCATGATTGTGGATGGAAGATTAACTAAGCTAAATCGGTTTAAGATATTTTAAGCTTCTTTTGGCAGACGTTAGTTCTATCTGTGCCCGATCTAGCAATGTCAAATCGACCCATTAAATGATTTCGCAATGGATGCAAGTGAATTGACACTTCAAAATTGGAAAGTTTCATTTCGATTTTAGAATCCGTTCAAAGAGGTTTAGTCAATGTATCATAAGAATTTTAAAAACTTATTATTCTCTCTTTCAACTTTTGATTTGAAAAGTGTTCTTCATTAAAATTCATAGAAATAGAGCATGGAAGAAAGAAAACCTATAGATTTGAAGTCACTTTGGTATATTTTTTTCTCGATAGAAATACCTACATTTATATTCTTAGAGTTGATGAAATAAGAAGGAAACATTAAGAAAAAGGGAGAGTTTGCGAAAAAACCTCTGCTATTTACTATAGATATGCTCAGCTCCACATCATTAAAGTCTTAATCACAATAAAATCATCTTCATAGAAAGTAAGATAGATACTAATTGCTTATTCGCGTTAGTTTTTATCCCAATAATTGCCTTTTATTTATTTTTTTGTTTAAATATGAAAAAGTTTATTTATCGATTCTAAAGCTTAATTTTCCTGGTCATCTAATTATCCGTTTCAAAATCGTCCATCTACCAAAAACATTTTGTTTCGCTATTTTTAAAAACTCCAAATTCTCAAAACTATTCGTTTGATTTGCTTCACTAAATTTTCTCTCACAGTTTTTCTCTTGAAATTGACAAATTATTTTTTTTGTTTGATATGGAAATCTATGATAGTTCTAAATTTTGCATAGATTCAAACATAAAGTTAATTACAAGATTTATTTATGTATTTTGTCACAATTGATTTTTTCTTCAGCATTTTCTTGTCGTCATCAGTGAATTTTAATAACTAAAATTGTAATAGATTCACATAAAAATATCCAATGAAAAATGTCATTATTACACACTCAGACGGTTTTCAACATTGCAAATAAAGTGGAAAACTTTTATCAATTTTTTCTCATGTTGTAAGAATGAATGGTGGAAAACATTTTTTGTATCCTATCGCAGTTCTCCATTTATAAAAGTAACCTAAACAGCAAGAAAATAGAAAATACTCAAACGAAAACCGATGAAGATTTCATCTTTAATTAAAGTTGGAAATGTTATGGAAGAAAAATAGTCAAGGAAAAATAGAACATTTAATAAAAGTTCTAAGTGAGGGAAAATAATTAAGTTAAGAACTTAAAACTTAACTAATTTAACTTAGATTAATACAAAAATCATCACCAAATAAAATTCTCTTCAAACTTCTTATAACACTTCGCTTTCTAAAATTTCAATTGTGACAAAATCTTTGAATTGAAAAACTCTGTGAAGCACTCTAATCAGCTGGGTTAAAACGAAGTCTTCCCAAAGATGAAATTGCCTGGGGCGGATGGATCGTCTGATTGCCAGAATTCTTGCCATAAAACTGCAAATTGTTCTCTGGTAACTTCTATAGCGCCCTGTGTCAAATAAATTAAAAATTCTCACAAAACAATATAAGAATGAAACATTTTATTGCTGTACCTGTGACATTTTTCCAAATGCTTCTTCACATTCAGTTTTGTCTAGGCCGTAGCTTGAACAAACAATAGCAAACTCTTCTGCATCAATAGCTCCATCGTTTGAAGCGTCTTCTAAATCAAACATGAAGTTCATGTATCTATAATCAAATGAAAAATATATTGAAAAAGGTTGTCGATGAAAACATTTGTTTCAAATTGTCTACCTTTGTTGCCAATCCAATGCAGTCGATGGATCTCTTGCATAGCCATCCCTATTCATAAAAAATGAGAGCATAGAAAAACAATATCGTTGATGAGAAAACAACGATAACAAAGTTTGATCAGTGAGATATTCTCGTTTCACAATATGTCATGAGATAAATTTAAATAAAACTTCAAAGCTCTGAACATTGAATGGCTCAAAAGACGTTCAATAAGTTTTAATTAATTTTCAAGAGTTAACACTCACCACATGTTGCACCATTCCTCAACAGAAACCTAGGAAATAAACAAAAAAGAAAAGCAATTAAATTGTAATTTGCAATCAGTATGTCTGCATCTACACTCCATTATTGATTGAAAAGTCAAATTAAGCTTAATGTGACAGAAGTGTTCCATTTCTACTTTCAAAATATGTGGAAAACATAAAAAGAAATACGAAATTGTGATTTATAAAATAATGATTAGAATGACCTAGAATTCGAGAGCAAAGATGATGAAACTATTTTCCCATCCATTAACCTTTCAAGCTGATTCTTAAAGTTTAATGCACCATTTTAGGATTTTTCAAAGCTTAAATTGGAACATGAAACAGACAAGCATGACTTTACTTGATGGAAGTTTAAATCAACCTGGTCGGTTTTATAATAAAACATATAAATTTAGTGCCTCTAGAATTGATGCATTTCTCTTTCACTTAATTTTAATGTCTGATTCTTTAATTTCATTCTTTCATATCTCCTTCGAGAATCATTTAAAATAAAAAACTATCGTAACATATTCGGAACCTTCATACGAAAGGAACTCTGAGTAATGTCGAATATTAAGTGCCTTGTAGTGTTCTACTTTTTTTTAAAGCATTCTTTTATGGCAACATATTTCATAATGTACATTGCGGAGTTCGAAATTCATCAAGATATCTTGCTAACAAATTAGAGGGAAAATAAACATGATTAGTCTTACGGTTCTTTTTTCTTTTTTAAAAAAGGAATACAATTGGCTAAGTTAGCGAAATGACGTGACTCGAATACATTGAAGGAATTCCTTTCTAAGAAACGATTTTAATATAAAGAAAAGCATCTTATCTTTGAAATTTATTTGGGTCTTGATCTTCGGTGATGAAGAGAGGCATCTTTCATTGTTTTTATGTTGGAATTAAACATAAGACAATCGTAACAACAATAAACAAATTCACAAAAGTCTTTTAACCTTCTCGAAAAAATCCACTCTAAGTTAAAAAGGCTCTCAGTTTTCTTACTTTCCTTTTTTTAGTTCGTGCACATAAGTTTAGTTTCTAACACGTTTATATGTGGACTACATAAATTTAATTTTATTACCATGTTAATACCCCGTAGCAATAAAAAATCAATATAAAAGGGTAAACAGAAAAGTTAACAAGAGAAAAAAGAAGCTTTTGTTGCCGGTTAGGATGTTTAACTTTACCAGATACAATTACAATAATTGTTTCTTATTCCTAAAATGTTTTACAATGAGAGACAAAGAAACAGACAAAAGGTATTGAATGGAAAGTAATCCGATCCACAACAGTAAAAATTTATGAACTGAACTGCTTAGACGGGATCAGAGTGTGTAACATTTAACCAGCAACTTAGAAACTAAGACAAGGGTTGAAAGTTGCAGAATTTACAAGTCAAGAGCATAACATAGTGCAAGAATTAAACATTAAAAATGAATGTGGAAATAAAATGGGTTGAGCTGACATCAAATTTTAATTTTAGGTAGTCTTGTGACTAAATCGCTTGAAGTAATATTGAAGCGGCCCAGACCGTCAATTACACTTGTGATGGCTATTAAGAGTTTATATTTATTTCAAGAAAAAGGAAAATATTATGTTGTAAAGCATAAAAAGGAATAAAAAGAAAAAATACTTAAGAAAGAAAACTTCTTTACATGGGAAACCATAATTTCATAAAAGATTAATTCTCTTTTTCCCTTTCAACAAATCTTATTATTTTTTTTTCAATCTAATAAATAATTTTTTATGAAAAGCTGCCAACTCACCTGACCATCATTATCTTTATCCGCCTTTGATCGCAAGCCATCCCAGATTTTGAACATCACCTCGTGCGTTTCCGTGTTTTTATCACTGCCAGCTGGCCATCCCCGGAGATCACAGATTTTCTGTGGACGACAACAACAGTAAAAAAAGGAGAATAAGCAATTACAATGGAAATGTGAACCATTAAATCACTAAACCCACCTGAATTGCTATCTCAAAATCTTTTTTGTCGATTTCGCCGCTGTTATTTATGTCTGAGAGATGAAATGTGTGTGTATATGTGTTTTGTATGAAAATAAAGAGAAAAGAAAGATTAAATCCCTTTAGCATTAAGTAACTAATGACTTTCTTATTCAGTGTAGCAGATAGAATCAGACTAAGAAAAAAAACGATTTTTCATCTGATTTTCAGCTCATTTTTTTGTTGTTGCGTATTATTATGATACTATAATGAAACCTGAAGGGATGATTACAAATGCTGTCATGACGGTAATAAGAAGAATAATTTTTTTTGTCATGAATATTGAGATTTTTCTTTATTGATATTGTAACGCAATATCGTAATCATGCCTTGTAGTAATCTTGATTAGCAGTTATAGACGGTTAAGGAAAAAAAAGAAAACTTACCAAAGAAAACGTTGAAAACGTATAAAAGCTTTTTCTTTCTAAACGCTGAGATGGACATTGTTGCTTATTTCTTTTCTATTAGTGAAAATAGAAGAAAAAGTTGTTAATGCGTGTTAGGAAGGAATGATGTTGGGGAAAAAAATTGATAAAATCGATTATAGTCGAAAATATGCTAGTAAACGAGATCATTTCAATTTATTATGTCCAATAACGAGAAATCATCACTTGGGATTTATATTCAATTTCATAGATATCATTGCAACAAATGTTGAGCAGTTTCGAGTTGATTTCATTTTGACCATCTTTTTATGAGTCTTTTATTTATTTGATAGATAAATCTTTTTTATCGAACTTTTGTCTATTTATGCTATGATATCAAAAGTTGATTTTCCTCGATTCATCATATCATAAATTCATAATACTAGCAAATTCACTATTTATAACTTATTTATAATGATTAAGTTTCAATAGAGTTTCTTTCCGTCATCAAAAAACTTTCTTTTCTCTTTCGAAATTATTTTGAAAGAAATGTTCGTGTTGGGAAGTTTTGCTCTTTTCTTCAGAATAAACAGAAATTGAACAAGATGAAGATATGGAAAACTTTACAAAAAGCTCAAAAGAAACTTTCTTTATTAAACTACGATATTTTCTTCCCGTTTGAAATTAGAAATGTAAACATTTTGAGAAATGTTTGGGAAACATTTCTTCTAAGTTGAATGAAAAATTTTCTTCTTTCTAAATTCAAACCGTGCAGAACGTTTTAACTGTTCATGATAAAACATACTGCCTTTACTGGTTTTAAATTGAATTTGAAAAAAAGAATGCTGGAAACAAAATTTTTGAGGAAATGCTTTCATGCTTTGTTATTGCTTTTATGACATTTTGTTTGGTTTTCAAAGAAAATCTTGATGTGACAGAATTACAAATGTTTGACAATCGAATAAATTTTTAATGAATTCTTCAATCAATATTTATGAATAAAGTCTTGTTTCACTTTAAATAGCAGTTGTAAATTATATGAGAAATTGGTGTATTATCACGACAATCTGTAATTTATGTCGGATAAGTATTAATATCAACAAAACTTTGACACAAACATCTGCGATAAATTTAACTCAAGGATGCTGCCTGCAATCTCTATCTAAATTTAACGTGAAAATTGACAGCATTTTATGAACCGCATTAAGTTCAAATTTGTTATCCTCTTTACACAATCTTAATCTTTCCCACGTAGTCGGTGTCAATAAACCAATAAACCAATTCAAACATAGATACCACAAAATTGATGCTGAAATAAATTGAATTTCAAGTAGATAGTACATAAAAAGAACGAGCAATTTACTCGGATTTACAAGAAAAACCGTAACAGGGACCATAATTGTCACTTAAACTATAAAAAATTCGTAACGATCTTGATAACTTTCGTTCTCCACCGTATTTTTCTAACATCACTTCATATTTGCTAGCGAAGTTCTTTCTTATCTCATTGATTACAAAACTGCAAACAAAGAAAATTTAAATTTCACTTCCAGGGACACATTTGTACACGTAAATTCATTCTCTGATTCGTCTTCTCATTTTTTGAAATCACGTTTCATTTATCAACGTTCATTGCACAAACAGCATAAATCTTCAAATAGAGAATGAAAAGTCAAACATTCTATCATATAAAATTCATAAATTCATAACTGCACGCCTTAGGGAGAATTTGCAAGAGTGAGATGAAAATGGTTGATGATAATCCTTTCCATACATAAAAGCATTTGTCTTTCACTTTTGTTTTTGTTCACATTTTTGTAATAAAACTTCAGTATTTTCTTGTTACACGCTCGGTTTAGAAGGAGAAAAGTACATTAATTACAGTTCATATGTTTATAATGCTTTCTTCTATGTCAGTGTTATCTCATTACAAGGCTCAAAGGGAATGATTTACATCATTCTTTCTTTATGCAGTAAATCACTTTCTTACAGACAATTTGTTTTCGATTGCTTCCGGGTTTTATTCTAGAAAAATAACAGGAACTTTAAGAAGAAAATATTTTACGTTTCCTTAGACTCGAACGCACCCCATAATTTAAATTTCACCGCAAAATTCCAATCTTACTTTCAAACTTCGCACTGTTCCTACATTTTTCATGAAATATGTAAAAATAAAATGCTATGTTCTCATCACAAAAGGTCCCAGAAAGAGAAAATTGCTAAATTTATGTGTTAAGATGCTTCACAATCCATCATAAGCAAATTAAGAGATAAATTTTGTATCATTTTCATTTTCCTTCCACTTCTCCTATCTTGAATCATTTTATGTTTGCCTTTCCCTAAGTTGTTACAGCAATTCCGCTTTTTTCATGTCTTCAATTAGAATTAGAGAAGAAAAATTTAGGTCGACAGTGGAAACAACAATTTTTTTTGAATATGTACAAGTCAGAAGGGAAAGGAAAGAGACTGGCAAGTATTTATCCATTATCCTGATGACTCGTTGTTAGAAATTTTTATTTTTTTGTAAGAAAAACATCCAAATGCAATCAACATAAAGTTTGTTACAATTCAAATTTGGTGTGAAAGCTGCTTCTGGGGATTTCCTGTAGGCTTAGGTCTCTGAGCAAATTAAAATATTCTTCTCATCTCTTATCAAGTCAAAGCATTTTTTTGTAACAGCATAAACATGTTTTCTTCCACTGCTTAGTGTGAGTGAACATTGAATAAATAATTAAGCGCAAATCTGTTGAATTTTTGGTGAAAAGTCATCTTGAAAAAAATTTAATTCTTTTCATTGGCAGTTTGATTAATGTCGTAGCATAATGACAGCATTTTCATATTCATTATCAACCATTTTTAAAAAAGATTTTAATCTCAACAGCCTGGTCCGTGTAAATACCGCGCGTCAACTAATTCAAATAGAAACACATTTATGATTGATGAGCCTTTTAAGTTTCAAATTACATCGCATCAATCAGAGTAAATGGTTGAATGTTAGTAAAAAGAAAGAAAAACAAACTTTCTCGGTGAGTAAATATAATGATTGAGATTCCAGACGTTAGTTCTCATCCACCACAGAGAAGCAGGTAATAACAACTAAATTTGTCTCTGTTGGTCCTTGGCACGATGTAACACAGAATGAAAGCAAAACATCTCAAAAATAAATTCGGAAATAAAAACGAAATGAACAGAGTGAGAGCGCAAAAGCGTGTAAATTTGCCAATTCATACCGCGATAATAATTAAAAGTAAACAATAGGGAATGTCTTTATCCCAATCCACCTCTCTGTAACTTTGTTTACTGTCAAAATATTGAATTTTTTACTTTCCTCCTTTTTAAACGATGTCTACGCATGTAGAACATTATGTGAGTTTCTGGTTGACATTCGTCTTGATATAAAATTCCCATAAGCACCACTCATGCATTTTTAAGATAATTCAGTCAATTGAGAACTTTACAAGTCATCTCATGAATCTCATAATTTACAAAGATTTTTGAATTCTAAATCTTCTACATAAATAAGACTCTCAACACGAACCATCAAATATTTTTCGTTTTATGAAGTATCAGATAATAAAATCGCATGGGATATGATCCCACAAGACAGAAAACACTAAAAAGAAGTATGAGTATACATAGGTTGAGAACTTCATTGGAAGACAGCAATTGGAAAATCAAATATTCAATGTGCGAGAAAGAAAAACGATTTTAACTTTTCCAATGTCGATAACCAGAAAGAAAAATATTTTTCAAGTCTTCTAACATGTATTTGCTTTTAAATTATGTAGATGTCGATCAGGATCATGAGATATTTAAATTTATCATAGAAGTTTTGTTTAAATCGTTTAAATTATAAAAGGAATAGGAACAGCTTGAAATTAGAGAACGGAACTCATCCCAAAATTTCCTTTAGATTTACATATTCTAATAACTGAAGGAAGATTCAGGAATATGTAAAACCTTATTAATAATTTAAGAGATAGTTTAATTGAGGATATTTTTCATCAAATTATCTTCTAACCACATAAGATATTTATCTACATTTATTCTTGCTTTATCCCACATTTTCCAAAATCAACAAACTTTGCAAAATTATGAACAAAAGAACGTTAATGAAGCTCTTTACACAGAATTCAGGCCTTACAATTAATTATCCCGTGGTTGCAAAATATTGCGCTGATTAAATCAGATTCCTGTGTGTTGTGTAAATTAATTATACTGTTACACATAATACCCATTATAAGCATCGCACAATTAATGGCATTGTGATCATTACGCTGTTTGAACGGTGTTTGAACATTAACGTTGCAAGTATTTTAAATACTTTTTAAGAATGCAACGAGTTTATGATTTAGTTAATTTAATTTATTCCATTGCACTCAAAATGAGGTTTAATCTCGTGCTCAAAATATTTATTTTGTATTTCGTTACAAGAGTCATACAAAGTTACGCTTTGCTTTCAGCTTTCAGTAAATAAAAAACGAACTTTTATTCACGATAAAAATCGTTGAAATGGAAATAATCCTGAAAAAATAAGTAAAAGCTTAAGAAAGTCGCAAGTAAAGTAAAGTAGTAAAACGTTATTATGTATTCTGATAACAACACATGTTTTACATGATTTTCCAAGAAAATTCTGAATCACGACACGAAATTTATATTTTAAAAAGGATGAAGAAAATAATAAAAATTTCAACACTTTACAGTTGCTCATTGCAGATTTTTTGTAGATAAAAATACTGCAGTGCTATCAAAACTAATTCAATTTTATTGTCACTTTTTTCTTACAGATAAAAGATAAAAAACTTCACTTTTTCCAATCTCTTGAAGCTCTCTGACAAGAATGTAAACAAAAATCAAGAAGTATTCATGATTTTTTGGCAGATATTTACATATTTTTGGCATTTTTTTCCTCTCAAAAATTCATTTTTTTATCCCTCGTTGTTTGCACATTTTCAACTGTTTATAAAAGTTTGCTGCTCTATACGAACTTCATACATACCTTTAGGAAATATTTAATTTTTTGGGCAAAAATTTTAAATTGGATTCGCAAAGCCTTTTCTGTTTTTTAATCCGAAAAAAGTTCTCCCTTCGTTTATGAATAAACCACAGGAAAATAATGTTTTGTTGTTCTAATTTTCTTTTATATTATTTATTCTTTTCCTTTTTCCTTTTTCACCTGAAAATCACTTTCAAAATATTTCACGGTCTTCAAATCTTTTTCTTTCTTAACTTTCGGAGAGAATATCACGAACTGTAGCAAAATATTTCCATGATATCGCTTTTATATGCCCAACTAAACACTGTTTTATGCGAAAAACATGAAACTGTGAGAAAGAGATAGCAAATGTGCTTCGTGTGCGCCACCCGAGAACTTCAAAGTTCGTTCGTGCCTTTTTGTGCTTTGTGTTATCATACAAGCCGAAGATACTTTTTGCTGCATGTGACTTTCCACTTACTTTCGGTTGGAATCCAGAAAACAAAATATAAAAGCATAATGCAAAATATAATTCGAGCTTTTAGGCTAAAAGGTTAAGTAACAAAAACAGTAAATTGTGCAATGGCAATAACGTTTTTTATCCTACAATCACTCTAACCATACCTGTCGCGTTTTCTGTTCTTGACGTGAAATCAATAACGCTATGATTTTTAAATGAGGTGTTGCACGGATAGCAAGTCGCCTTTTCTTATCATGAGTTTAAATCTCGTTAGTATAGTTATTATTTGTCGTGTAACAGGACTCCATAGCAAATTTAAAATAAAGCCATTCGACAGAACAAGGCTGAAAAAAAAACTAAAGGAATGAAACCAAACAGTTTTAGTTATAAACTTTGAAAAAAGAACAAGTATTTACTGGATTTAAATTCGACTTTAATTTACTACCTTAGGAGAGCTTTACATTCATAAAGGATTTAAAAAAATTTATATGCTTCATTAATGTTTATCCATGGGTTTCATATTTATTTAATTTCTCTCCATTGCATCATCAAGCAAGAAAGCGATAATTATGCTTTATTATAATCTTTTCAATGTTTACAAGCAATGCTTATCATGCAGTGCGTATCTATACTGTCTGAAATATTACCGTTTTGCGTCATTAATTATACCGTGAAAAGAACGACCCAAATTTAAAGCAGGTTGTAAAATGATAAGAAGGAAAGGTGATGATTCTGTCGAGTGCTTTATGCAGACACAAGATGAATTGAGTCTTTGTTATTAGCTTGATTTCATTGTTAGGTAACTCATGTCGTTCACTGCATTAAAGACTAAGATAAAAGATTTAAATATTTTCTTCTAAGTGAATGAAGATGCAGTAGAGAGCCTGAAGGAAAATTATCCCATTTCAGTTTAAAGTTTGTTATCCAGTCCAAAAAAATTAAATAAAAAATTTCCTGAATTTCACAGAAAGTACAAATACTTTTGGGGCAGTTTGGTGTCTAAAAACTTTGTTGTAAAATTCAGGTTCTGTAAAGTTCATCTCAAGAGTAAATATATCATGGAGAAGCAAACTACCCAGAACTAGACATTAGTTCATCATATCTCACAGTTAAAACAGTTTTATTGTTCCATAAAACGAACATTTAATAAGAAAAGCTGCAAAAATAAATTGAAAAGCATTAAAATTTCAAAGTGATGAATGCCGGAAATAAAATTGTACAGAATCTTTTTTAATTTTTTAAATAAACTTAATACCAACTACAAATCCCACATGTTAATTGTCACAATGTTGGTTTTCTAATGAAATTTAATGCATTTTTGTAGTTGAATGTTCCGCTATGAAGATGATACATTGAGAGTTTTATGAACTTTTCTATAGACTCAACAATTGCAACTGCAAAGCAACAACATTTTTATTCACGAATTTAAAATGCCATTTAGGGAATATTTAAACTTTATGTTTCAAATTCGTTTTTCCATCCAAGCTTTCATCACTGAGGGAAGTCAATTTGGAATCTCTGCAAAATATTTCATCCTTTAAACCTTTTTATATCTACACGTGAATTACAAACACTCCAAAGTTTTATTTACAAAATAAATTCACAGACATTCTTAAAAGAACCAAGCAAACTGCATTTTCAACCAATTCATCCACAAAAAACAATTCCAAAAAGTTTAAAAGTAATAAAAATGAAGAATTCAACCACTTTTGTTAAGTTAACATAAGATGCATCCTCTGAATGGGTTTTATTTTTCTTAAAAAATGCTTTTATTCTAACGTTAACTTTTATGATCTGTAAGAAAAGGAAACTTCTTGAGAAGAAAACCATGAGAAAATTTAGTAGTCTAAAAGATTTTCTTTACTCTGGCAAACGAATCTTTCCTCTACATATTTCCTCATCTTCGGTATCAAATAACATAATTTTAGCTTATAAAGTTACGTCTTAGTATCCTTACGCTCGGATTATGAGCACTTCGTTTCAATCTCTATCTGAAGAAAAGGGATTTAATTTTAATTTAATTTGTATTAAGTTTCTACTTCGCCTCGCTTAATTTACTTCTGAATACTTTCCATCGAAACAATGAATAATTTATTTAATTTTTATCCTATCCGTCGGTTGCTGATAACAAATGTAAAAGTTTCTTTTAATTTATCTTGTAGATTTGAACATTTTGGGGTCTTTCAAGAGAAACATTCTCATCATACTCCTTAATTCAGCAACATTAATAGTGAGTCAATTGAAGCATAAATATTGAGATAGACTACGCAAACAAATTGAGGTCAAGAAGTTAACAGAATCGTTGATGTTTATTAAAAAATGTTTCATGATGAAATAATTAATAGCTTCTGATGTCTTCTTCTTCTTATTAAGTAGCTGTTGCGATGGGTGACGAAGTAAATGACTTTAACATTGTTTAACTTTGAACCTTAACTTTTACATTAAACTAAATGCAGAGTCATGAGTGGTGATAAACTATAATTAACATCAGAAGAACTAAAGTTCTTTTGGCTATGTTATTGAAAGAAAACTTAACCTTTTTCTATTATAAACAGTTGAGTTCCTTTGAATGTTCTGCATTCTATAGTCTCACGTTCATAAATGGCTGAACTCATTATTCGAACAAATTGTGTTCGAGTAAAATCATCACGCGATTTTTATCTTTTCAACAATATTCAAGAAATTGACATAAAATGGTTGCTTTCAAATGCTTTCTATGCTAATCGAGGAGAGGTTGGATCACTTAAGCTCGTTTTACCGAGCACCAGGTTTCAACACAACTGAATTTTCTTTTATGCAAGGGATATTTTCCGCAATTTAAATAAATAATTCAGAAATGATAAAAAGAATTTCGATAGAAAATTTCAATGAAACCAGGAGGAAGCCAAAAAAAATAGAAAAGAAAAGCTTTAATGCAAAACGTAACTGTGAAAAGAACAGAATAGGCAGCTTAGCTGTTCCCGACACCGTTCAACAATAAAACATTTTCAGAAATTACAACAATTTTCTCAGACGCTGTTTTCGAAAAGCAAAGGAAATGAATAAATGTGATTGTTATTTTGGGTATTGTTAAAATAAATTATTGAAGCTTTTGAGGATTGAAAAGTCTCGTAAATTTCAACGAAGTCAGATACGTTTCCCTTTTTTTCTTTTTTCAAATGAACACGAAAAATTCAGGAACAAAAAAAAGGCCAAAAGTTGTTTTCTTGTTTACGCTCAATATAAGTTTTTAAAGAGAAGAAAACAAGTCAGGAAAGTGTGTGTAAAAGTTTAACCGAAAAGTTTCACTTTAATTAAAATGTTTAGCAACGTTAAACATTCATAAAATAAAATAACAGAGTTGTATGAATATCTGGTTTGAATTAAACAATAGAACTTTTGTCTAGTCGACATTCGCTTTTCTTTTTTGAATTAAAACAATGAATAATAATATAATTTTATTCACTGTAAAAGTTGATGTTACAAGCAATTATAACAACCATGATCTTAACAAAGAAATTAAATCTTTCTTGTATTTTAAAAGCTACAATTGAATTCGTTTTTATTCATCATGTCATATCGATGTCAAGTCGGATTTAAAACAAGCAGAGATGTCATCAAGGGAGCAGTCAAGATTATGATAAATGGAGGAGAATAAAGAGAATATTTTATGAAATAAATTCTGATCCTTGTCTGAAGCTTTTCGTATTCAATTATTAATGAAAAATCTTTTTTTAGTCTTTTTTCATATCCTTTGGTTACAATACCTTTCTGATTTTTCAAATTTCATTTAAAATCGATATCTGAAAAGTTTATTATTTACCTAAGTAGTTAATTTTCAATTAATCTCCAGCAAAAAATAATTCTCTAAAATAAAAATGTATCCGTGAGAATTTCTACCGTCATTGCCAATGCAAACACTCTACCGATAATGACTTAGCATTTCGGCCACAAAAAAAGCTTTTTCTAAGCTCTTAAATATTTATACAACAAAAATATTTTTCATAAGCGTAAAAAACCGATGAAAGTTTTAATCTGGAAGCGAGAAATTCTGTATAAAAAAAAGTTTTTGTTTGTTTTAGATTTCTGCACGTAATGATTTGAATTAAATACTCGAACCATCTTATGTAATTACCTAAATACTTTATCCAATCGAGACTTCCCTTTCACTCTAGCATCATCTAATGTTCTTGATATTAAGTGCAGCATTCTCTCTATTAAGAATATGTCTTCATGAATAAGAAGCCACTCACATAAAATCGTTACAGCCCTTCCTCGGAAATATGCCAGCATAAGTTCCTCCATGATGTGCAGCATCTGCAGAAACTTTTTATGGATGTCGAAATTATTTTTGAATTCATGTGATAATTTTCACAAACAGTTTTCAGCACGTTCTACAATGCAGTTTGGCACTTAACGTAAATATATCCTACATACAATAACCAATTGAAAAAGACGTTCACTAGTAGCAATTCTCTAAATCCCATTCAACTACAAGGATAAAGGTCGGTGAATGTGAAGTTTGACTGTTCGAATATATGTGAAATTAATTCAATATTGAACACACAACACTAATATTTTATGTTTTGTGAACTATTTTGTGTTTCAATTCTAAATTACACATTTTAAGAGAGAAAACATTTATAAGCACTGCGTCAGTTTTATGGAAGTTGGCAAGGATTTTTCATGAGCAATCTGAATTAGCTTCATATTTTTAATACTGTGATGTTATTTAAGATGTGGAACATAAAAGTATAAAACAATTTCATGAAGGAAGAGTCGTAAATTATTTAATGTTGGTCAAGGCCAATTAAATAATAAAGGTTAGCATTTTCACAACATAAATTTATCAACAAAAATAGTTTTAGACACATCATAAATAGTGTTTAAGAAGAAAATTCCGGAAGAAGTTTAAAAATTATGGTTTTTTGGTAAAACGAGGTAAAACATGTCATCAGTATGCAGACTGCAATTTATAATTTCTTTTTTTTTGAACAGCATGGTTGCAATGAGAGGAAGCTAAAAGATGGTACAAAGGCGAACGTTCAATGAATCCTGACAGCGTGAAATATTTAGAGCAATGAACTGTTTTCTTTAAATTTCTCACGCTTGATGTTAACTTGTATAATAAGAGAACTTAAAAATGTCAGAAACTTTCCTTAACACTGACAGAAGAATTTTTACAAAAAACTTTTTTTAACTGAACATGAAAAGTGTGAAATGTGCAATGAAAGGAAAAAAAAATTAATGAATATTAGCAGATAAAAATGTTTCAAGACGTGCTGCATTGTTAAAGAATATAAAGACTTCTATTATCTTAAACTTTTCATCGTTTTTTCCTGTCAAGCATCACGAACCATTTTTCTTTGAATCTTCAATCTGCTTTCGTCCATGAATTGAATGCAATTCTCTTCTCTCTTCAGGCATTCTTCATGTTTAAAAGAGATATCTATGTAAATCAGAACATTCCCCAACACAACTCTTTTATCCTTAAAGTGAATTTACGATCAAATGTTTGCAACCTTTAAGTTCGATGGGGGAATTCATCATAAGCGAAGCTTTCATGAATAAATTTTATTTTTGATTTCCGTTCGAATATTTTCTTTTCGATCATGAAAAAATGACGAGTTAAACCAATTCATGTCGTTATGATTTTCACATTCTGCAGTGAAATGTAAACACGTTTGAAATTCAAAAGTATGCAAACATCCAAACCAGCTTTTGAGACAAAAACGAAAATAATGACTGATGAAAATGTAATCAAAGTTAGCACTGATAAATTCTAGATTCACTTCTTAATTTAAAAAAAGTATCTCAAAGATGTCACAAATGCATCATAAATGCCATAAAAATTCGATTAAACTTTCCCCAACGAACAAAAGTGATAAATTTTCAGTGAATTACAATTTAAATCAAACAGTTTCAAGCTTTCCTCGATGCGATAACAAAATCTCGACGTCAGTTAAATCTGTTTCATCAAAAGTTTTCGCATGGAACAGAGAAAAGCCAAGACTCGATAGCGAGTATGTCGATAAAAAGTTTTCTAAACCATTTAATACAATTGCTCCAGAACTTCGTGTAATTGGTGGTCTTGGAAAGTTAAAATGTGTAAAGAAAGGAAAATCAAATTTATTCATTAATCGAATGACTCAAGTTCAAAAACTAAGCCACACGAAAACTAAATTACTTCACAACTTCAATTTAACAGAAGAATTGCGACCAATAGCATGCCACAAAAAGTCAAAAATGAAGATTTCAGATGCAATTGAGAATGTGAAGTATGCAGAGAATTTACTAGTTTCATCGCCAATGACAGATGAAGACAATACAAGAAATGTTTACAACCATCAGAATCCATTTAATCTTGACATGGATGCTTTGTCTGAATTTCACAATCAAAGCCATCAAACTAAGGAAATAGAACGACGGAGAAATTTTCAGATTATCCGACGAACAATGGAAACAAAAGCTCTCACAACGGTAGGTGCTGAAAAACTCATGCAGGAGTCGAGAAACGAGAGATTCCAACTTCCTCAATTCTTTAAAGTTGTCGATGAAAAACCGGAAAGTGTTGAATCAGGTAAAAAAGGAAATGAAAGAAAAATGTTATCTCTCACTCGTAGTATCAATTTTTTATCATTTAAAACTTTATTTGAAAAGGAAATTTCATTTCATCTTGACTACTCTTAAAACTCTTATATTAGTCAAATATTTATTTTAAACTGTTTCAAGTAAACTAAATTTAGCTTCGTTTTGAACAAAATTTATTCCTTAAAAAAATAGAATTTCTCTAACACACGTATTTAGATAACTGCGAAGATTTATTTACACAGATGTACAAATAAAGTAGAAAATTATGCTTGCATTTTAGCTTAAAGGCGTATTTTATTTCACACAGAATCCTCAAAAACCATTCCAAACACATGCAGAGTCGTTCTTACAACGGACAAACCCAACAATCGTGAAATTATTCAATCCCATTACAATCACAAAGAGCATAAGCTTCGTGAGAAACTTAAGCAAAAAGCGATTGACGATGAAAAATTGGCCAAAGAAAAGGAAAAAGTTGATGAAGAAAATCGAGAAAATTTCGTGTTTCAAATGGCTGAGGAAAGTCTTAAAACATCCGAATGTGATGAAAACGACAACATACGGGATGAAATGAAAAAAATCTCACTACCATATCAGAAATTCGATTACCCAGTAAATGAATCTGAATTATTAGAGTTAAAGCGACAATTGAATGAAAAATCGCTCGACGTTATCAAGGGAGAAAAGCTATTAGGGACGAATGATGGTAGAAGGGAAACTGGCATTTCATGTGGACAAAAGATTGGAAGTCGTGTTGCTTTGAGAAGCTTTCACGATCGATTGTGTGATGAACCGAGAGGTGAAACTAATTATTATCACTCGGGAACAACGAAGGAGTCTTCATGTCTCACACATAAACAGTGGTTGGATGGAATTACAAATGATCCAGACATTAAGGTAAATAGAGCTACGAAATAAGTTTTATGATGATAAAATACAATTTCATTCAATGTTTTCATAGCAACAACCACCTCGAGCTAAATTTTTATCGACATTGAAAGTCAAACACAATCCAAACAATAAAAAGTTTTTCCTTTTTGATGTGAAAACAAAAAAACCTTCCATAATCGTTAGTCCAATCCAGAAACATGTTGAAGAGTTGAACAAAAAACTAAAAGCGCGATTGAATGAAAATAAACCAAGCAATCGTTCTACAATTGTTGGTTTATGCAATCCTGAAACGAAGCAATTCCAACGGATGAGATTCATGGGAATTCCATGCTTGCAATATAAAAAGCATAACGATGAACATTTCAAAGAACTTGTTGAGAAAGTTTCAACAATGAAATTGTCAACTTTTCAACCACGTGTCGTTAAATCGAAAACATTGACAGAGAACATTCAACTGAAACCAAAAGTACCTGAGATTATTTCTTGTGATGAGGCAAAGGAAAAAGAAGAAGAAATTGATAAATTTTCTTATTTCACAAGAGCTCAACCGCGTGGAACTGATAAAAGGAATCTTCGTATCGATAAATCAGCCCCATGGATCGAAGACGAATTGATTGCGATGAAAGTTAAACTTGAAAATGAACGCGATGTTGAAAAAACTTTGAATGTTGAGAGTGAGGTGATTTCTTCGGTATCCTCGAACCATTCAATCGAAAAAATCGATACTGAAGTTAGTGGCATGAAGAAATCTTACAAAGAAGTTATCTCAAGTAAATTGGAAGCTTACAAATCTCAGAATAAAGTTGGAAGCAACAAAACCACTGAAGATAACATTTTGGTAGTTGAAAAGAATTCTAGTCTCTCTAGCATTGGGACAAACTTCACTAACGATAGTGGAAGCTTTTTACTGGAAATGGATAAGAAAATTCCCAAAAGTGATATAAATCTGAAAAGAAAATTTAAGGTGAGATGGAAATGCATAAGTGCAATTTATTCCTCAGATATAACTTTTGTCTATCTATCTGTCTAAATAGAATCGAAGTTTATTGACAACGAAAGATGAAGAAAAATCATTGCAGCCATTCACCATCCCAGGGATCGAAAACTACAATATAGCTAATGAACTTCACAAACCAAAGGATAGATTCCACACTCACCAAACAAGATCATGTGCTAACATACGTGAAAGAATCAAGATTGAATCGCCAGCTTATCACGATGAGAGGATTGGGAATGACCTTCGAAAATTTCCTACACGTTTTGCAACTGATATCGATGAATCTTATCAGTCCGAATTTTACAATGAAAGGTCACGAACTGTGTATAAATTCAAACCCAAAACATATATTCGAAATCTCAGAGAAACCTTACGAAAGAATATGGAAATTCAATGGATGAGAGAAAAATCGATTCGTGATGAAGTTCATAGACTTGAAAATACAAAAATATATGAAGACATAAATAAACAAATCAAGGAATATGAAAAATTAATAGAATATAAAGCTACTGAATCCCATCAGATGCTTGATAAATCAATGGAAAGAATGAATGAACTTATTTTGTCAAATAGAATAAAGAGACAGAAACATAAAGAAGTAACCGATAAGCTTGAAGTTATCAAAACAAAAGTAATCTCGCTTTCATTTAAATTCGCTCGTTTAACGATGTTTCAGAACTTTCAATTCCTATTGAAGCCAATTAAATGGCGCGAACAATATGATGACTTTCACATGACACCAAATGGTGAACTTGAGCCAGTGAAAACGTCAATAGAGCAACGTTCAACAGCAAAACTTTGGGATCGTAATAACAACACATTTGAAGTCGTCAAAGAGTTTATAGAAAAGAATTATTTTGAACAATCACCAAATATCGTTTATGCATTTGAATCTGGTCAAGAAATTTTGAAAGCTCGTAAAGAACTTCAATCAAAATCTTTCCTATCACTTTGCGCTTTTCATGCTGCTGCACACGATAATTTTCAAATTAGAAAAGAATATTCTACGTTTTGTGAGAAGAATGAGAAATATATTGAAGAGTTGAATAGAATTGTGACATGTTTAGGTGAACAAAAGGTTTTCATGGAAAAAAGATCTAAGGAAATGGAAAAGATAGCTTCGAAAGTAATCAACAAACCCCTTGGGGATTCGTTTTCTTCTAAAAAGCTACGAACTTACCAAGCTCTTGTTGATGTTTTGTTCAAATCCATTATACTAAAAGGGGGAGATGCAACAGAAACTAAATATTACACATCGGTTGAAAAGTTTGCAGATATTGAGAAAATTTATCTTCAAAGTTTGGAAGTTATTGACGGCTTTCCATCAACATTATTAAGTCAAGTGGAAAAAGAAACAAGAAAAGCCTGGAAGAGAAAATGGAAACAAGCTGAACATTCATATAAAATTGAACGGAATCTTTATCAAAGTATCGATCAATTAAAGAAAACTTTAACAAAGTCATCAAAAACAGGTAAACAAAAGTATAAATCTCAAAAATCTGTTGATAAGTTTTCGGAAGCTAAACTATCAGACAAGGGTCATTCAGACGGTTCTTCAAATAAGAAATCTTGCAATGTAAACATTAAAATGTTATCACAATCATCTTCTTCATCGTCCAAAAGCTTGCACAAATAAAACTGTCTTGAGATTATTAAATAATTTTCTATGAATTTTTAATAAAAATTTCCGGTTCATTTATTGATTTTGGTCTTTCCTTTTTCAATGATATCGAAAATTAAAATTCTATCAGAAATCCCAAAGTTTTTTATAGCAGTACTTAAAGTTTGAACGACTATTAAATTTTTACATGGTTTAAGCTTTAGAACAATTTGAGTTGAGTTGGTTTCTAACATAAATTAAAGTTTTAATTTTAGATTGAAATGACTAAATTTATTTCTATGTTTTCATGGAATGAGGTTTCAAATTTAAAGCCTCAAAGCAATCGTAAAGTTTTGAACGATATAAAAAAATGTTTCCATTTAAGAGCAACAACGTGGATATTTAAAATTTCAAAAGTCGACCGGTTAATCAAATAAAAGAAAAATAAAATGGAAACAGATTTGCTATTTATTCAAGTCTGAAAGCGAATAAAATACTTTGTTCAATATTTTATATTAAATTTCATTTAATGTATTATTATAAGAAATGAATTTATGAGAGAAAATACTTAATAGCGTTAATGATACATACTCAACAATTTTGTGTTATATGCCTATTTAATCAAACAATGATTGCTATCTATCGTATATGGTATGACGGAACAGCACGTCGAAACGTGCAAGCAAATGAAAATATTTTTATGTAGTGAAACATGTTTCTGTCGCCGAACTGATAAACTTCAATTATCTTAAGATAGTAATTAGATTTTATGGACTTCTTTAATAACGTTTGAGCATGGTTGATTATTTCTCACATTATCTTTCTCTTTTCGAGCTTTTATTTTTATTTATTTCTTATTATGGCTCGACGACAATTAACAAAATAAAGCAATTAACATTCAAGCAAGTGGGTACTTTAAGTATTTCATTCAAAATGGATTAAGTTTTCTAATGAAGATTCAATTACTTTGAACTTCGTTTCATGTTTTAGCCTTGCACTTCAATTTTCTTAATTGCCTGGTATTTTAACTTGAATCAAAGCATTTTTTTTTCTTGTTCATTAATTTTCTTTTGAAATTGATTGAAAATGAAAGCATTTCAAATCGAAGATTTATCTACCTTCTCTCAACTACCGCTACTTAAAATCTCTCACCAGAAGCAATTAATCAAATTAAGCATTTCAAATTTAAAATAATCAATTTTGTTCTCGGCTCGCAAATCGACGATTCATTGACATAAAACTTTGTTTTTTGTTTCCTTTTAAATGAAACCTTAAATTTATTAAGCTTACAGCTTTTATCATTAAAATTTTCTTTTCCGGAAAAAGTTTATCTTGAATTTATTATTGTCATTAATAATTCATGCTTTGAGCTACAGTTTGAATGAAAAATTAGCCTAGACCTTCTGTTCGAGTTCAAATGGAATGTTAACTTTTTCGTTTTTCTGTATTTTGAAAATTTTCTGAAAACATTTTTTGAAACTTGTTAAAACTAAAAGAATAAAAAAAATGAAATGAAATGTTTAAGAACTCTTCAACCTTTCTACCTTGTCTTAAGACAACTTTGAAACTTTGAATCTGTCTCTCTCTCTCTCTACCTCCATGAAATAAACGTGCACAGATATGTAAAGGAATTAGGAAGCCTACAGCGATGAAAATAAATCTGAAAACCATGGAACTGTGAAATCAATTCAACGTCCATCTCAATCCATCAACGTTACACCTATTTAATAAAAACTTTATAACAATGAAGATATTCACGCAAATCGCTTCTTTGTGTGACGTCTCTCCGTTAAATGCCGCATTATTTAACACGAGATATATGATAATTATCTCATCACAATAACTTGAAAGTGAAAATACTTTCTTATGAAATTACTTAAATAATGGACAATGTGCTTTTAATTTCATCTATTCTTCGCATCACAATTACAACTATTAAGCGATTATCATTGCTCGGGAATGTTTGTTTGTTGTGAAAATTAAAGTTTTAATAATAATCATTTAAAAAGTAAAGTATCAATGCTTTTTTAATAAAAGAATGTTTCTGTCTAGAAAGTTTTGGTCAGACTGTCGATAGTTTATTCAATCAGTTTACAACTCAAGATTTATTATAAACATAATAAGCACTTTTTACTCATATTAAATATTTATTTCATTGTTACATTAAACATTTTTATTGCGCAATATATTCATAATCATCATTGTTTTGCAATGCATTTGGATTGTATAATAAATGCCAAGGTGAATGCAGCATATTCCAACAATTTGTGGCATGTCGCTTACCACATATTACACATTCATCTAAAACGACATGCAACATAAATGAAATCAAAAGTTTTTTTTTCTTCTTTCTTTCGCTGCTTCATAGAGAAAAATATACACAGAATAATTTTGTTTAGTATCTTTTTTTTTGGTTTCAGGCTGAATGAAAATAAAAACAGCAGCCGTGTATCAACTAAACACAACAACAACGTAGAAATGCAAAAAAAGCAGCAAAGATGAAAATAATTTTTTATTTTCTCTCGCTGTTTTAGTTTTATGTTGAAATTTGTCGAAAATAGTCGACTTGTAAAAATGCTTCTGCAATAATTACGGATTAGAGAAAAAAAAAACGTCAAACTGTTGCTTGTTAATTTTTTGTTTCTTAAATAAAATGTTGTGTTATATTCAAATAGGATTTTAGTGAAGTTAAATTTTTCTTGTTACCGTTATGACGATTGTTTGGTGAAGAAATGTGAAAATGGAAACATAAATAAATTATTGAAGTCAATAAAATAGTGAAGAAAGTGCATCCTTGAAAGTAATCACCTGAAGCAACATTTCTAAACAATTTTCCATTTTTCTAAGTGCAAAAACTTAATAACGGCATAAGATTTCTGAGTTTCATAGAAACTGAAAATCATGCACAATGTACGGACATCGTTCCTGACAATATTATTATTTATTGGATTAACAAGTGGCGAAAATAATGAACTGTCAGGTAAATTCACTGGGTTGTCCTGGATAAACCCATGAAGCTGAATAAATTTAAAAGAAATTAATTTAAACTAGAGTGAACATAAGTACAAGATGAGAATAATTTGCATAATTTAAATTACTTTCATTCGTGAATGAGTTGACAAAAAAGCATGGCAAATAAAGCAAGAACATAAATTTTCGCAAGCATCATGACATTTCATAAAAATATAAAAACGACATCTTGATAGTAAGCAAGCTAATTTGCAATCAACTAAAATCATTATGAACGAGAAATGCGTTGATCTTATTTGAGTGAAATTTATGTGAGAAAAAGAAAATGTTTGACAATGAAAGCGAAATAAGATAAATTGCGTAGGCGTACGTAAAAATAACTGAAGTAGTTGCGGGTTAACTTGTGTAAACATGTTAAAATGTTGTTTTATGTAGGATGCTAAGACACTTAGTGTCGAAGGGCATGGACAGAAATGAATGAAACGAGATGTCTTCAACAGTTAAATATGTATTTACTATAGTTAATATTATTTGACATATGAGAGTGCTGAACTTTCATTTTCAAATAAAAATAACCAGTGTAGGATTTCCTATTCGACAACTTACTTGACTTGGACTTTTATAACCCGAAATGATACTTAATCCACTTCAAATTATCTCTCGTTAATCTGAAAACAATTTATTTTTATTTCTATTTTATTCACCGAAGACAATGAAACTTTTCTTCATCTTCAACTATGCGGAGCTGTGAAGTTATGCTGCGCTCGGTTGATTTTTAATTATGGCTTATTTAACTCCAAATTCGATATGGTAATTAAATGCTTTTTTTACGTTTTGCTGCTGTTATTTCTCTTGGAGTCACATGAAAACGACTTGATTACAAAGCAAATACAGTGAACAGAAAAAAGAAAGAAAAAAAGTTTTCAAATTAATGCTAAATACAACATCGAGACGACTGTGAAATGCCATTTGTTTTTCTATTGCACATGTACAACCGCTTCAATTCTCTCCGCTAAGCGCAAAAAAAGTTTACGGAAAGAAATTGAAAGTGAAACGAAGGAAGAGAAATAAGATAAATGCTTTCGACAATTGCTGGAGAGATACACGAGAAATATTTTTATGATATCGGGTTTCATGCTTCATTTCACTCTCCTTTGCCAAAACCGGGGAATTATTGCCAAAAGCTTCTCCGGAAATATTTAAACAGATTCATCAAAAAATATGAACAAAAAAAATCAAAACAACCAAAAATTTATTTTTTTTCCCTGGTGAGTTTTTTTTATTTGTTTGATGTTTTAATTGTGCTTATATGGCAGACTAACTTTGTTCGGGTTGTGTAGCGTTCGCCCAAAGTGCCAATTTAGATACGATTAAAGGGAATACCCGGCTACGACACATTACACCGTGTGGTATTTGATTGCTTTTTCACAAAATTTATTACAGTTCAGTTTTCATGCCCCACAAACGTGTGTGCTTTTCGAATATCGATTTTTCAGAAGTTTTGCAAGTTCTTGTTAATATAGCAGTGAGAACATGAGCCTGATGTGTTCGGAAAGATATAAGAGGATAAAAGTTCTCGGAAATCTTATAAATCTCATGACTCGTGTTGAACTTTTATCGACAAGATTTTCAGGTCTTTGAAGGCTGATTGAATTTTCTAAATAGAAGTTTTGCTAAAATAATTATAATAGTTTTGAATAAAATAATGAATATCATTAATATTTCTATTAAAAATTAATGAATTTAAAACTTTTTAAACTGCAGACTTTTAACCCGTAATTTCAAAAAAACTTCGAAGCAATTATGTTTTTTTATTCATAATTTGCATGAGTTGAAGCATGAATTTATGTTAAAAATTGGCATCAATTCAAAAAATCCAAAATTCAATCGTCGAATTGCGCTCATTGCAAATCATGTTTCAGATAACTTGCCATTGCAAACTTATAAATTGATTTTCGACACCCTATTGAAACAGTAATTCATTTTATACACGTTTCGTTTCGATAGCAATAAAATTTATTTCCGATGCTTCCGAATATTGTCATTGCTGCATTTCGTTGACAGTTTTATTCAGAAATTTCCAGATGAATATTTACGATAAATGTTTCACTTTAAGGTTTAAACTTGTTATCGACTCATTTGGTATGTAAATTAATTTATATTTAAAATGAACTTTTCGAGCGATAAATAACCGACAACCACATGACGATAGAAGGTAAATGAGGATGAAATTTCATTTTCATTGAAAATATGAAAGCGAAATTCTGTACTGAAGCTTAGCGATTCATGTTATGTCGATTTACGGACGGAATAATTTTAGTTTGTAGATAACGAAATTATCAAAGCTAAGTAATGAAAGCAACTAAAGAGAATATTTAAATGCATTGAATATTTATGGTTTTATGATTTAATCATGAAAAATATTCAAGTGAAGCTTGAAGATAAATAAAAAGATTTGATTGAACTTAGAGCGTAATTAATTAAAAAAATTTGAAGAAATATTGACATCAAATCAAAAATTCTGAATAATCTTCATCTACTTCTTCTATTACACATAATTTAATTAAATTAAAGCTCAAACAACTTGGCATGAATTGAAATTTTACCGTCTATCGACTCACTGCTGAAACTGCAAATTAAAGTATTTACTTCTCGATTGCCTTTCATTATTCTTCGCCCTTCACTGAAATCGATTTCGTAACTATAATCAAGAGAAATGAGAAAAGATCTAATAAACAACTAATAAGCATTGTTGTCGAGTATTTATTCATTAGTAAGTGCTTACGTTCGATCTTTCAAATTGTATAAAATTTATACATTTCCTTGAGCTCGATATGTGCACAATCAATAATGCACATTGCAGTAAAACTACTAAGATATCAGTGAAAGTATCAGTCGCTTGTCTATAAAAATTCAAATCTCAACAATGAATATTGACTTCCATTATGTGAACACCATGCTCAATATTTTCCGTTTTTTTTTGTCCGTCGACTGATTGAAAAATGCATAAACTTAGAAATGTAAATGTTCATGTTTGCAACATTTTTTGCTATGTTTGTTCATAAGACTGCATCGAATTTCTATCTTAAATTTTCCTTTTTATCGTACAGCAGAAGCAGCTGAAATCAAAACTCAAAAAACCGCATCATCAACCGTCATGACATCGACAACCAGAGATCCCAAAATCATGCATGGCTTTCCAACACGCGACGGTGAGTTTGGTTGGCAAGCTTCGTTGGAACTTTTTCATCCATCATTAGGTTTTATCGGGCATTGGTGCGGTGGAGTCTTGATTCATAAGTATTGGGTGTTGTCAAGTGCACATTGCATTCATAAGTGAGTAATAATAGTTTTTTAAGCACTTTGATATATCATCAATCACGATTGCCTTCTAGTGACTTGTTCAATTTACCGCTTCCGGCTCTTTGGACAATCGTGTTGGGTGAAAATAATCGGAAAGTAGAGTCGGGATATGAGCAACGTATTTCGGTCGATAAAATTATCATGCATGAGAAATACCGTCACTTCAAAAATGATTTGGGTACGTGTTAGAAATGTTTGATGGAATTCGTTTATTTAATTCTTTTTTTTTCTCTTTAGTTCTCATGAAACTTGGTCGAGCTGCTAATCTCTCTCCCATGTCGAGAGTTAAAACAATTCAACTATCCTCCACCAGTCATATTCACGTAAATCCCAACGCATCTCCCATGTCAGCCATGAACCTTGACAATGATTTATTTGAAAGAAATGAGAATTATCTCCGAAGTTTGGATTTGAACGTGAACGACCTTGCTAAAAAGATTGCACAGGTGAATAAAAATGAGATTAAGAGTCGACAGCGACAGGGAACAAATAAAATACAGATGCGGCTGGAAGGAGAAGACACAAATTCAACGAAGGTTGTTAAAGTGACTAAAAAATTCCGTCGAAATGACAAATTTCTTCATCGTCGTCCGACAACATCAGACGATCAATATTGGTTGAACCGAGAGAATTTCACACCAACTTCTTCTATCGACTATGTTGATTGTGTTGCTGTTGGTTGGGGAAAATATCGAAACCGAGGAGATTTGTCAGATATTTTATTGAAAATTCAAGTTCCTATTCAGGATATCAAAAGGTAATTGAATTGAATAATCAATTTCTTAGTCGGTCAAGTGGAAACTCATTTTTTCTTTATTAAAAAAAAGTTGAATCACAACTCATTTCATTTCTTATTTTATTTCAGGTGTGAAGAGGTCTATTCAGATTTTGTTTCTTTACATCAAAACCAGCATTTATGTGCCGGAAACATGGACGGAAAGGGAGGAACATGTGTCGGCGACTCAGGGGGTGGTTTACAGTGTAGAACTCATAAAAATGGGCCTTGGACTCTCGTGGGAATCACAAGTTTTGGATCTGGTTGTGCTAAAGCAGGTTATCCGGATGTTTTCACAAGGATTTCCTGGTATAGAAATTGGATCGATAATGCGATACAAAATAATTAAAGAACAACAAAAAAAGAACGCCCAGGTAGACTTCGTAGGTAATTTACGAAGTAAAAAAGGTTAAAGAAATTTTCTTTCTCTCGAAAAACATTGTGATATGAAGAATGAATTTAATGGTAGGGATCGTACATAAATTTGGTTAAATATTAAACTTGTCGCTGTCTTTCCTCTGTGTTGTTTAAATTGTTTCATTTAAATCAATGAGAAAATTATGAAAGCTTTCATATTAAAATAAGATAAAACTGAATTTATGAGCAGTTCACAGAAACAAAATAAAATTAAATGCCAGAAACTTTCATTTATTGTTAGATAATGTAAAAAAATTAAGGAAATCTATTTTTATTAAAAATGTGAAAGTTTTAACTTAAATGTGAATTCTTGAAATAAAGAATTTAATTAGTTTAATGTTTAAAACCTTATTTCGAATTTATTTTTGTTAACTAATATTTATAATAATGAAATTTTATTGTTAGAAAAATATTTATTAACAAAGTTTTCAATTATTTACACCTATTTGAATAAAAATTACAAAAAATTTTCATGTTAAATTGTGTTTGGTTCTTAAATTTATGATATTGAAGTTGCTAAGTTATTGGACACGTTTTGATTGAATTTAATTTTAAATGAAACTTGGCAAGAGAAAGTTTTATTAATTCTATCAGTTCATGATTTGCGTTGTGATTTTCTTATGTTTCTATTATGTTCTATCACATTTTAGTAATTCTTAGATACAAATGTAAAAGTCGTCAAAGTTTCCTTGCTAAGCTGGAATTAAAGTTAAACTAAACACTCTCAACCTTCTGCACCATTTCACGATCCCTCTCATCGAATTTAGCTATCTCTTGTTTGATGAATGGAAAAACTGCTGTGTACTTTATCGAATTGAATCTCAAGTTTGTTTGATGTTTCTCCGAAACAGAGAAGATAATGTGTAAAAACATCAAAACGATACTGAAGAAGCCGCCCAATACAAGAAGCCCAATGATAATATTTTGAACAACTGGCAGATATATAAAGCACATTTTAAGAATAACGTCAAGCGATGGTGTGAGCTTCTCAATCGCCTAAAAGAAATTGACAATAAATTTCATTAAATTTATATTAAGTACATCTCGTTATGTTTTTAAATGTTTAAACATTTTAAGTGCATTGATAATCATTTATTTACTTACAATTTCCATCCACACAACTGGCAAAATTAAATTATCAAATCGCTTAATATTTCCATTAAACATTGTCTCGCCACACATGAGATTCAGTTGAATTCTCGTATGAACTTTTATTGGAACACCCAATCTCTGAGAAACAAGACTTTGTGAAAACGACAGAAAATTAAATATTAAACTAATCTTACTGGCTGCATCACAATAATCGATTCATGTTTTTCCTTGACCGGTTTTATTCCATTGACTTCATCTACAAGCGTCGGATCTGAGTTGTAGAAATGTGGAAGCGATAGAGATGTAGGAATATCTGTTCAATGACTTTGTTAATGTTTCTCTCTTATGGTATTTATCTTTCTATCACTAAACTCACTGTAATAACACGGTGTGATGTTACCAAGTCCTCGTTTCATGCATGTTTTCTCTTTGCTACAATAACAACTCGTTTCCGGATCATCAATTGAATCATGAAAGGCATTGTCAGAAAGCTTGAACCAATAACCTTCAATTCCATACTGTCGACCTGAGTGTGAATATTGAATTGGAAGTGTACGACAAAAAGCTTTTCGATAAACCCGAAATCCATCAGTTTTTGAAATGTTCTTAGGAAATAAAGTTCCATCGTAGACTCCGCGAAGCGTATTGCATTGTGTGTTGCTAAATAGAATTCAAGGAATAAGAGAAAATTTAGTTTAAAGCTTGTCTTACCTTTCAAGATTCTTCTCATCATATCCCCAATGTTTCATACCCGGCGATCCATTCCATAAATCAATCGAATAATCACGGAGTTTTGGAGTTCCATTTTCTACAATTTTATTTTGGTCAATTTGGGAAAGTGATTGAATTCCATTGAACATATCTGTTTCATCATAATCTTCATATTCCACATCATGAGTGTTTGTAGAAACTTGCGCTAAGCTCACTGGAGTGTCTTCAATCTCTTCTTCCATTATTTCATTCACATTTTTAACAGCTTCAGGTAGGTTCATCGACACAACATTGTGTCCCTCGTCAAACATCTAAAACAACAAATTCAAATCAATTTTATATTTAATATTCATCAATTTAGAAGCAGGCAGCAACTTACTCTATCCATCAACCCAAAACGATCGAAATTGATGTAATTTGGCAAAACTGTGTTTGCTAAGCTTACAAGATTATCTTGGTAACCCCACAGAAAGTCATGTACCGTAAGATTGAGCAGCGGTTGGGAGTTTGTAGACTTTGACAATGTGCTGACTGCAAGCGCTGCGAAAGAGGAAACTTTCTTGGCAGCTGCTGACAAGCCTAACAACGGTAGGTTTGCAGCGATTACAATGTCTTTGTTTGGGTCACCAATAGAACGCTCGGGAATTGGAATTACGTAACGTTCGGGTGTAAAAGATAAAGTTCCATTCTTATGAAAAACAGCATTTTTATTTTCGAGAACTTCTCTAAAGAGATTAAACTTTTAATTTTCCTGCAATTTCATGTAAAGTTTCATCTTACTGATAAACATAAGGCCCAACCTCAACGACATTAAGTTTTTTGTCAACTCCACTTAAAAACTCTTCAGCATTTGTAATGTTGAATAGAAAAACTTGCATAATAACAGCCAGAGGAGGTTTTTGCCATAAATTGTATAGGAAACTTCCATGTCGCATCGTAAGTTGCTGTTTAAGTAGAAAGATTTTAATTTAAGTTGAAGATTTTATTTGACATTCTTTACATTTTCTATTAGCTGCTCTAACGGGTCAACGATGAAGATTATCCATGATAAACCTAAGAACAACAGTGACGTTGAAAAATATTTTATCACACCTGAAAGAATGAAAATTAAAACCTGTTTGTAATTAAGCTTCAATTATAAATTTATTATGAAACCTGTTAATGTAAATAATGTTACGTAATGTAAAGGAGAAAAAGTGAATGAAATTGGAGTAAACGAAACAAGAGAACAGACTTCATGTGTTGGATCATTTAACAAAATAAAAAATGAATTAAAAAATTCATAGGAAATGTTTGCGAGAAAAATGAAAAAATATTTTGACTTTAATTAAACACTGCGATAACAAAGTGACAATAATTTATTTCTGGTAATCAATCTCTTGTTTGTTATTCGTAAATGCTAGACTAAGAGCATTGCTCTGTAATTATTTACAAGCAACATGAAAGAAAACATGTTTCTTATCATCAAAGTAGAATAAACTCATGGACTTCTACAATCTCCCCATGCCGATTATTTAGCATTGAATTTACTTATTTATTTGCGTGTAACTCTTATTTTACAGCGAAAACTGCTTTTTTTCACACTCTTCATTTCTTCTCTCGGCCAATGCCAATCAGCATATATTTTATATGTTGACTGTCATTAATAACACGACAAATCATAAAAGTCAGACTTGTTATTTATTTATTTATTTAAATTATTCATCGCTCCGCAACCGATACGATAAGTTCTCAAATAAACAAGCAATAATTATTATATTTTCGATCAATAGTTACATGTCAATTTAAGACTTAATTGATATTTAATCGAAGATTAAAGTATTGCATGTAATAAGGAATTGAAAGAAGTCACATTATTTAAATCTGTATTCAACTTTAAGCAGAAATAATTTTAAAATTTTATACTTTATTGTAGACAGAGCGTGATGATACAAGAAGCGAAAGATTGTCGCAAGCTGTTTTGTTTATTCAGATATGCAATTTTATACAAAGCAAGAAAAGCAGCAGTTTCAGGAAATTTAAAATGTGCATGAGTATCCCTGAAAAATCAAATTTAGTATCAAGTGAATCAATCTCAAATTTTGTTATTTCAGAATTTGATACTCATTCTATTTATTCTCCTAATGGTCGTTAAAATATGCAGAACAAGTTTAAACATAATTAACTAGTATTGCAATTTCTTACTAGAAGACCTCATTGAACGGTCATTGAAAGCCTCAGTTGAACGTTCGATATTAAAATTTATACTTATTTCAAACGCTATTTAAAAATATTTCTTGCTGTTTGTTTACTAATTCATAGCCAATCCAATTCAAGTTCAAGGTGTAAGGAATTTTTATTCACATGATTTCAATTTATGGTTTAGTTAACGATAGACATCTTGAGGCAATGTTATGAGCCGTAAATCGCGATCACAATTAAATGCATTTTATGTAAAAATACCTGATATTTATCCTTAACCCCATACAATTATCGAACTGCATTATTGATTGCATTCAACTCAATAATGATGGCAAAGATTAATTGAAAGTTTATGATTTATTTGATGAATTATGTTTGGATTCTTCATGGCCAAACATATTTTAATATCACATGAAGTGACGACTTTTGGCAAAGGTTAATATTGATTTGGTTTCGGGATCAAAATATCTTAAAAAATAATTTTCAATTTCAACATTTAATTTCAACATCAAGTAAAACAGAAATTTCAGTTTCTCTTCATAAATATCTTAAGATTGCGCTTTTTCTATGCATGACCTGATCATTGAACTTCACATCAACATTAAACTGCTTGTTTACTGCAAATTAATTCCTGGTAATCAAAAGAAGCAAGTTCATGAGCGAAAAGGTAAGAAATTTGACTTAGTAATACTTTGATGCTTCTTTATCTTTAATATGCATAGATTAGTTTATCGTTTAGTGAATGCGAAACATTAAAAACATTGTCTTTGGCTCAATTTAAAAATTATGCAACAATGTTTTGACATTTCGTCAATTATGTAAAATTCCGACACTCATGTTATGATCAATAAAACTCTTAAGTGCGACAGGAAATCTGTAAAAATTCGTGTTTATTACTTTGTGTAATAATAATTACTTTCCGATCATATTAAATAATTTAGGTTCATAAAAGCTGAAAAGTTCCGAACTAAAAATGACAGCAATTTAAAAGACAAGAAGTTGAAAGACATGCAGGTTTTCAAGGAGTTTATTTAAACCATCCAATGATGAAATCTCTTTAAAAACTGAAAGTAAGTCGAAGCACTTTTTTTCTCACCAGGTCATCGGACTATATAAGAGTCATTCATGTTGTTAGTTTTTAAACACTCGATTTACATTTGTTGCATATCTATTTGTCCAACTTCAAATAGGATTTTTTTAACGAAAGGCGTTCTCTTTTTCACGCTTCATAATTTGATCGAATCAGTAAAAAAAATATGTACAAGAAATCTAACATGACACAACTGCGAATAGCAATACGAATGTGCGTAAAATTGTAAAACAGAAACATTTGTTTATTGCTCAACGATCATTGACTTTCTTCTTAAGAAACTTCATTTATTATTTTTTAAGCTTCATCTACGGTTTAATCAACAATCAACGCCACTATGTCAATGAGTTTAATTTCACTTATTCATTTTATTTCTCTGATATAATCATTTGCAGATTGCAATGAAAATTGTTCAACGTATTTATCTTCTACTCACTACCGACAATTTTTTTCTTCTTTTACTTCTTTCTTTGTTCAACGGCACTCGAAGTCATTTCCTTGCGAAAAATATCTGCGAATCAATTTCAATGTCAATGTCGAGACCATGAATAGTATCAACATATTGATCTTTATTCACGGGATTTCCCTCGACAAATTTATATTTCTTATTATCTAAATTCACAGCTGATTTTACGCTTTTTCAAGGATGAACAATGGTCTTATCACTTAACACGTCATAACATTGCGAGTAAACCTATTAATTAACTTCACCGACCTTCTCTTATTCGCGGAAGATTTATTCACAGTAACGTATTATTTGCAGAGCTCTTAATTCTGTTTAATGATCGATGAACATGAGTAACAACAACATACGATACAAAAGGCGATAAATTGGTAAAGCATGATAAAAGAGAAAAAGATTTTAGTTGAAAGTAAAAATGCATGAACTGCTGAGGCCAGTTTCAGATTAAATTCTGTGACCATCGCATAGTTACACTTTCAAATTCTCCATCTGAATACTGATTACGTATCTTTGTGAGTTTATAATTATAAGAATATCTATTTAATTAAACTAAAGAACACTTTCATTTCTATAGGGAAACAGCAACAATTACAATTGGATTTCTCAATGCAACTGTCAATTAATTGTAGCCTTGCTTTACTTTCCAAAACGAAAATATTAAGTTTTCTAGAGATTCAATTCATCCATTTATTTAATGAAGCAGATAAGAACAACTCAGGAAATCTATAATCGTATAAACATTCTTCGAACATTCAAATATCCACATGAATCTTTTGCATTATTAATTCTTTGAACTTTCATTCCCTACAGGTTTTAGCAATTTGCATTTACTTTTATCAAATCACTTGTCAATATGTCGTAGTGGGTAAAATATGTATGGATGCAGCTTCGATTTACTATTGATTTCAATAGGTGTGTAAATATGAAACAAACTTGATACTAGAAGCAAGTTTATTTGGTTTGAATTCCAGTTATTTATAAATTAAAGCAAGTTAAGAATATTTATATAAAAGTCTTAGAATATCTTTAACAGCATTGTGCAATCATTAACTCCTTTCATTAATGAACGGAATGAGATCATTGGACTCGAACTAACATTAATGTGTGATAATTATTTATATTAAACTAAAGATCAATCTGCTGTTATTACAAATTTTTATTTTTTTTATTGCTTTAATTGCAAAGTCGCATGGCGCATAAATTCAACGAACAGCTGATTTATTCAATCATTCATAAACATATGATAAGTGTGAGTTTTCAAATAAATACGTAGCAGCTGTTTATTTATGATCTTAACTATTTCTATTCCAATCACTTTATCTTTTCAATGGCTCAAGGACGAGTACGATTATCAATTTCATGATCACTTTCTTGATAATTAAATTCAATAACAGCATCGGATTGGCTATTTTCAAGTTGAATTTGAATATCTTATTAATTGACTTCTTTCATGAACTTTACACATCGGTGAAGGATATGAGAAGAAATACATGAAGATTATAATTAAATTTTGTTGTGGTAAATGTTGACAAGGATGGCAGAACAAAAGCTTGAGGTTCATCAAATCAAAAGCTTACGAGTTTACGCGAAAAGTATTTTGACCTCAGAGTGTTAAGTTTAGTATTTGTTTACCAATTTTTTCAAAGAAATTTATTTGATTTACTTACGGAATTTCCGTTGATTTATCATCGATTTTTTTGATTGAGTCATTTTATTTTGAATTTAATCAAATTTAGTCTATTTTACAATTTCGACAGTTTTTTGTACAATTTGTTTTAACAAGAATTCACATAAAGGTACTTTTAAATCTTCTACTTCAAGTTGAGATCATATTTTTGTTTTATGCGTCTGAAAATAAAAACAAAATGTCTGTCAATCAATAAATTACAAAAATGATAACTTTTGCATGTCTTTGATCTTTCTTATTTTTTAATTACAATGCAATCTTGAACTAAATAAGACAATAAATATTGCCCATTTTTCACTTTTGTTTTTACTACTTTGACTTTCAACCTAAATTTATGATTAAACTGCACTTTTACTTTTTAAGCATCTAAGTTTGAACTGACGCTTTATTAGAAGTGTTTCTTTAATTGCATACACGACCCGTTAGACAAACGGCGAATATTATTCAGGTGAAAACGAAATCTGTGACGAGGTTGAGTCTTCACTTGATGCACCCTTGACTTGAGTCAATAATAAGACAAAAATCAAATTAAATTTTTGTTTATGAAATGTGATCGTGAACTTTAGAGGATCATACAGAGATAAAGATTTACATTTGTGTATCATGCATACAAAAGTTAATTTTGTGTAAAGTGCAATTCTGTTTCAAACTCATTGCGTTTTCAGAAATATTATCTATAAATTATTCACATGTGTTGCTTAAACATCACTTTTTATAAATTCTTTTGATAACTTTTCTCGTCTGTCGATCGTTTAAATTTTATTATCAAATTCTTGAGAATTAAATTATTTTATTTTAAATTAGATGTTAATTAACATTGTTAAAATATTCACTTTTATAATTTCAGATGAACTCGCGATAAAATATGTGTCACTAGAACTATGAGGTGTGAACTGGTCAAAGGCTTAAAGCAATATGGTAGGATACGATCATTCTTCTCATGCTTTTTATATTTCTTATTGCGCTAGTTCACTTCTCGCAATATACGCTCGCTGTTTGCCGTTTTCGTTTACAGAACTCTCATGCGGCTTAAATTGCGAGAAGAGAAAAGAAACAAACGCTGGCAAAATCAGCTGGCCAAGATTGCATTATTTTCTTTCACCCTGAAGTAAGTTCACTGATAAAGCTTATGAAAAAGCTTCCTGAAAAGCTTTCGAAAAATGAAAAGGATGAGTTTGAGCTTTTCTCAAGTTCCTTTTCAAATAGTTAAAATTTCTTTAAACATACAGAAAACATTGTGCAAATGTAAAGTTAAAACATTGTAATCAAAGGGAATTTATGTCTTATGTAAATATTTACGTTTTCTAAGAAATGTAAAATAAATTTAAACGAAAAGCTATTCAAATATTGAAGTTAAGAAACATTAAAATTTTTGTCAATATCATTGTGAATCATTATGGAGAAAAAAAGTTCAATCTTACGCATTATGTCATATCAAACATATCTACTACATTGAAAGCTGTTACACGAAGGCAGTGAACCAACAACAGTTAATGTTTAGTGAACAGTTTAACGAATGACGACATTGAATGTGTCTACAATATTTTTTCGACATTTTTTACCAAGATAGCGTTACTTGTTAAAATCTTCTTATCATTCAATTACCTTTTGACACAATCAGTTGATTTATTGAATAATTAGCAATTATCGCTATCAAAATATTATAAATTACAGAAATGCAATAGACAAATATAACGTAGAAACTATTTGCAAACGTCACTTTTACACCCGATAAATCTAATTGCAATTAAGCAATCAAATGGAAGTGTGAAAAGAATTGAAACTATTATGAATTATGTTTATATGTTCCGATTGGTATTTATTATTTTATTGATTAGTTTAATTAATAATCGTATATGAATGACCCTTTTTTCGAACACCTTTGATAAGTTTCAAGTGCTTTATTCGGCATTACAAAGTATGTCAAAATTAATAAGTTATGATTATTATATTTGAAATGACATCCGCAAGAATATCATCTGAGAAATTCAATCTTTATTAGATGTGATGAAGTAATTTTATGTAAAATGTCCTGACGTATCAATTTTTATCCCTTTATTCCCCTTTGCTACTTACAAGATGTTTTTAAATCAACAATTGTTTTCTCTTAGTTATTTAATTTTAAGCTTTTGTCTCAAGAGATATTACTAAATTAATTAGAGACCTTTTAGAAATTGTGGCAAGTATAAACTCCAAAGCTCCCGCCAACATTATAAATTCGTTTCGATCTCGTTCAATGAATCGATTTTTTCTTTTGCGCTTTTCCGCCTCCGGAAAAAATATCATCGTGAAAATTGGTATAAATTCAGAGCTTCGCGGATGGTTTTCAACAGTTGAATATTTTCTGTGGCAGTGAAAGGATCGTTGGAAAGAAAAAGTGTTATTGAAAACAATATTAAATAATCTAAACGTGAAGTGAGGAATTAAACATAAAGAAATGTAAGCAGTTGCTGTGCAATTTAAATTAATTAATAAGAATCGTGACTAAAAATTCACGAAATGGAAATTGAAGTGTAATTAATTAAAAATAAGAAACTGACGCATATCAATAAAAAAACCTATGCGTGACGGCTTAAAATATTATCAGGACATTTGGTCTTTCCAAAGAATTCTTTTACAAGCTGTGGATGGCAGCAAATGGAAGTTTACAATTAATCACACATGGACTGATTAAAACTTTTTCAACGAATTAAATGTCTGTCCAACCTCAGTCAGTGAAAAGAAAAATTCTTACGAACGTCATAATATTTGCCAATAATTCACATAAAACCATCTGTTGAACTAAGCCTAAAGCTGTATTCACAAAAAAACTATCTAACTAATTTTGTTTATTGAGTTTTGTCATGAAATTTTCCTTTCGTGAGACAACCAACTAAAAGTGAAAAGAATATTTTTGTCAAATCGCGTGAAAATTGAACGATAATCGTTTTATTGTTCACTAGAAAAATATTTAGAAGTTTTCAAGTTAATAAAACTTTTCGAATAATTCGAATACCTTTCATGTTAAATCTGTTATTTCTTTTTAACTAGATTAAGCAGACATAAGCAAGATTTTAGTCTGTGAGCAAGAATTCAATCTTCATCTATGTTATGAACTTGCTCAATTGACAAGTAAGCATCACTTAATAAAAATGAATGAACCAAAAATTTAAAGCAACATCTTCGTATTTATTTAGATTTTAATTACACTTAAATTTTTGAAAATCCATTAAAATTTATTAAATGAAATGCCATTAAAGTTAAACGAATTAAATAGTCAAAACATTATGATCAACACGCGGTCATAATTACTTGATGCTTCGATAATAAGATGTGGGATGAGAAAAATGTTTAAGAATAAAAATATTTTATTCATAAAGAACGTAAAATAATTTAACTTTTTTTCATTTCTTATTAACAGCTTAAAATGATGTCAGTAATTCAACGTTTATCAGCTGCAACACTGATTGTTGCATTACTTTTGATCACATTAAATGAATCTTCTGCTAATCCCGGACAAGAACAACATGATATAACCAGCGTTGCTGATGCGATTCGTTACTTGCAAGACTTGGAAAACAGACATCAATTCGCAAGACCAAGGAAAGACCTCGAGCATTCAATCACAAATGCACCTTCTCAGATCGATTTCTTATCAGTTGCTGTTTCAAATTCATTTTCATTCATGCATTTTTAATTCTCGCTCACAAGTACATTTTTCTGTCTCACCGCAAGTTTTCATTTTCATTTCAATGAAGGAAACCGGAGTGTTTATTTGATATCGATGAAAGGAAAGAACCATAGCAATATAGAAATTGCACACATTTCCTTGATCAATTCAAAACTTATTTGTTATTTGAAGCTCCATATTGAATAACTCGGTGAAGACTTCAATTTGATAAATAATTCCAGACAATGTTTAAAGTAAGAGGATTTACTTCTCAACAAGAATTTTCAAGGATAACGTTATTTATCTTCATAAACTGAACACTTAAATGTAAACGTTGGGATTTTCGAAAATCCAACTTTCTTACAAATAATTTAATATTTAAGCAAATTAGATTGAGAAGTTTTGATTATTTTTTTTCTTATAAACCTTATTTCCATCATGATTTTTTCCTTAATTTTTCCCAGGACATTCTTCGAATTATTCTTCTCATTTTCTTCTTGTTGTATCGCTTGACACTCACGTAATATTATTTCTTTCTCTACAATGCAATTCCCAGAGGACTTTGTCAATTTACTTGTTTTACAAAGCTCATTAATTAAACAACAGCTTAAGCGACGTCATAAATTTTCTATATTTGTGCATAAATTAATCAAATTGAGATTTAACAAGATTACTTACGTGTACGAAAAAGACAAAACTTTCTATTTTCTTCTCTTCTGTTGTTCCTTCGTTTTAGGTCTCGTTCGATTGATCATAATAGCGGTTATATGGCTCAAACATTAAACGCGAATTTAATTACACTTCTTGAAGAATTAGACAATAAGCACTCGCGGGCTCCCAGGTTAGATATTATTAGGCTTTTCTATTAGCTTTCATCAGCATTGCTTATTTGACACGTTTTCACAGACACATGAAGATTCATTTGATAAATTGCGATGGAATGGATTAATGAAAAAAAAAGTGCTTTGCCACTCAAATTCAAAATTTGTTGATTTCAACTTTGACGATGATTATCAATTTTACTAATTTTTAAGTTTACTGATGTTTGAATTTTCATATTTCATTGCTAACATTTTTGTTCACGTATGCATTTCGTTACATTTTAACACTTTTTTATTACATAAATTTACTTCACATTTTATTAATATCAACACAAACTATTAGTTAGATATCTAGAATGAAGCATGTAATTTTATATTTATTTATTTATTGCTAATCACTATGCTTTAGATCAACAACAAAATTCTGTAGATACACCTTTTAACAAATTATCATTTTAAATTTATTCTCTTAGTTAAAATTTTAATTATTTTGACTTACAGATTTGGAAAACGCGGCAACGATTATTTGACAAAAGAGTACACTAACAATTATCTCCGCTATTTGCTGGAAAATCCGAAGGAGGTAAGAAAATTTAATTTGAGACCACCAATTCAAGTTTACATCAAATGTAATGAAATGATTATGAGTGAATGAACATTCAATCATTTGATTACATTTTATGAAATCTTCTGAGAAAGATATCTGCTATGTATAATCTTATTCAGAATTAAAATAGGTAATGCAGAATTCGGAAAGGTGAACAATCTACTAAATAAAATGAGATCCTCTCATGATCGTCATTGGCTGGCTGGCTGGGAGATAATAAATCTATTCCAATGGATATGTTATTTTATTTAAATACATTTAAATCCCATTAATTGTTCGTTTGAAGTCTTAAAATACAGATAACCTCTTAAAACTCAATTAATTATAACGTTGTTTTACTCTCATTTGACTTTAAGAAAATTTTACAGCGAAAGCTCGATAAATTTTTAAAAAAAGAAAGCTTTCAAATGCGTATAATGCGCGCAAAATTAACTTCGTTAAAAACTTTCGTTCAAGTTTTGTTACCTAACCTGAAAAAAGTGAGAATAGAAATTCGTTTAAAAATCACTTTAAGTTAATTAAATAATTGTTTCAAATTTCATTCCTCATAGAAAATCAATATTTAGAATGAGTTCTAATAAAACATCATCTTCTTGCTTCGATCCATATGATTATTACAAGAAAATAAGTGAATGCATTTCTAACAAAAATAAAATGAAAATAAACGCAAAAAGAATTCCTGGCATTGTAAAACAGGATCGCTGCAGAAAACCAATGATAACTAAACAACATATACAAGCAGAATTTCTAGCTAAACATAATAAAAGAAAGCTCGAAGAAGTTAACGCTAAAAATGTCAGAAAGAATTCTGAAAAGAAGGAAAGTTTGAATTTTATTGTAAAAGACAAAGTTAATCCTTGTCAACCAAAGCGAAAACGTGACAAGGAGCCTTACATCAATCTTTCTGATTCATTCTTTAAGTCGTTCAGTGGTCCAGAACTATCTATCTTTAAAATACCTAAAGAACCATTAAAAAACAAAGCAACTGAACCTTCAAATTCTGTTGCACAAACAACAAACACGACAATGCTTTCAGTAAGAACTGAAGCATTCAAACCGAACATTGCTTCAACGCCTTTAGACAAAATTCAACCATTAATAAGCGATCCCGATGACTTTATTGGAGTTTCTCGTGAGATGCTAGTAAATTCTAAAGATGCACCAACGAAACCAGAAAAGAATGAAAATGTGCAAAGCAAGAAAATTAACTTTTTCAATTTCATTGACAAAACTGCACAATGGATCAATGAACAATGTTTCTCACATATTCCTGACCCGATCAATGAAATTTATGAAAAACAGAAGTATAATGAGGCTTTATCTCCCATTGCTGATTCATTATTTGAGTTGTCACCTCAAGTTAGTGATTATTCTCAACATAAAGCACATCAAAAAACAAAAAATGAACTTCCAATTCCTGTTTTTTATGATACAAACGATAAACCTATAGAAGAATCAGATGATATCAAGAACGACACTCTCAATCTTTTTGGAACATCTGTGGAAACTCGAAAAGAAAATTCTTGCATTCAAAATGATCTCGAAGAACTTTTCTCAAAAGATATTTCATTTTTCAATTCACCACCGTCATCACAAGATTTAAGCTTTGAAAGCTGTTCATCGACAAGAAAACTTTTTGAAAGTCCTGAGAATTCAACAATTTTTGCAACTCCAGGAAGTGTTTTTAAATTTGAAGACGATGATCCATTCAAGTTCTCGCCTGATTCCACATTTGATAACTTTTTTGATCTTCATTCAAATATCCCGAAACTTGATAACACTTTTGCCATCTTTCGATCACCACCAGAACAAAGAAAAAGCCAATTTCGATCTCAAAGATTAGAAAAAGAAAAATCTATTGAAGCAGCAAAAGATTCGTCGCTATCAACTTACAAGTGGACACCAAACATTGAAAATGTTACATTAACAGAGCAATCAATTTCTTCAGCTGATTTTCCTTTTTCACCTCGAAATATATTGAAAAATTCTTTCAAGTTATTCTAATCAAAGAAGATTTTTTATTCAATGAAAATAAAACTAAGAAATTGTCAAGTTTTCAAGTTCTTTTATGACATCCATGTGTTTGAAATTTTCAGGTGCTTTCGTGAAAACCTCGAGGATTTCCTGCTTCTTTGGATCATTTTGCACGTAATAAAGTTGAAGTTGATTAGCTAGACATTGCGCTTCTTGAGCTGTCAGAACATTTGTGTCGTATTCGCCACGCATCAGTACAATTCCTTTGTCTTTAAATTCCGTATAATGAACAATGTTCAAACACTCAGGAGCATTCTCTTTGTGAACCTAAGAACGAGTAAAATTAATTAAAGTTTTAATTGATTTAATTCCCTAATTACCTGATAACACAAAAGAGGTGTAAAGTGAATTGTATTTGCAGCAAATTGAAACATGATGAACTCATATCCTTGTGATCGCGGTATAGGAAAAATGAAAATAGGAAACTTCTTGGCATTTGCCATTATTGATTCAAAAGCTTCGGTTGGAATAACAGCAGCAATCACTTCTTTTTGTTTGTGATATTCGAGCCATATTTGTTTAATTTCCTCGATTGATTTGCCCTCCAGTCGGTCCAATTTCATCAAATCTTCTAATTTCTTATAAGGAAGTTCAGCTTTAGTGTCAGTTGACTTCTTTGGATTCAAAAGTTCTGAATAATCTCTCGGTTTTGGCTCCGATTTCTTTGCTTTTTCCTTTTGTTGATCAAGCTTTGCGAGGAGTACTTCAGGAGACGATTGTTGAATTTTTGCAATCTTCTGTGCATATTTTTCATAGTATGGATTTTCTATAATTAATACTTGTTTTATCTTTTTAAACATTTTGAGATTTTAATCAACTCACCGGATTTCAATTTTTCCATTGCTTCAGCAGCTTTTTCTTTCATATTTGCAGACATTCTTATATTTCTTGAAAATATTCTGGTTGTTGATAATGCAACTGTTCGAAGTAATGCCATTAATGAAATAATAACAGTTCACAAAAGGAAATTTTATAAAAATTCCTTTGATATTAAAAATCTAAATATTGTCTCGGAATTCTGAAATTCAGAATTGGATAATGGTGTGCGCAAGAAAAATTTCTTATGAAAATGATTTATCAATGTTTTTAATTAAACTGTGATGTATGAAGCAATATTTAGATGTATTATTTATTATGCAATTGAGTGATGTTATTGTCATAACAATGAATAGAACTATTTTGCTTAAATGTTTTAATATTGAATTTCTATTTTTGAATGACGGCACCTTACCGAACAAAATTTTCAATACAACCCTGCACCATATTTCATTCGTCACAACCTTTCGCATCATAAAATCACTCAGAAAAATTTGCTTTCGGTGAATTAAAAATTCTTTAAAATCAAATATGGCATCAATATCAACAACTGAACAACCACAAATGCAACAAATTGATTTAATGAAGTTGAACCTTCAACAGTTAACTCAATTAAAGAATCAGCTAGATCAAGTAAGAATGAAAATCATTTTTATTGAAACCATCTGCTTTTATTACTTTTCATATGAATCATTTGCATTTTTAGGAACTCACAATCTTTCAAGATTCTTTGACAACCCTCAAAATGGCTAAGAGCAAATATGGTGCAAGCAAAGAAGCTCTCGAGCAAATCAAAGACAATTGGGATGACAAGACGTGTCTCATTCCACTAACAGGTTCAATGTATGTTCCAGGAAAAATCAAAGATATTGACAATGTTATTGTCGACATTGGCACAGGATATTACATCGAAGAAGATCGTGCAAGTGCAAAAGATTATTTTAAGAGGAAAGTCGACTTTGTCAGTGAACAAATGGATAAAATAGAAATTCTTGGATATGAAAAAAGTCAGATTCGAGACGCTATTTGCGAAGTCATGGCTGTAAAGATACAACAGTTGAAAGCATCGATGCCAGCAGAAGGACAAAGCTAAATTTTTAATTCATTCACTCAATTTTTATTTGTAATTTTGTCGATTCAAAATACATTAACTTAAAATAAAAACTTTTAAGTTTTGAGGATATTAAGGAGTTCTCCACTTGCAACTAATTCTTTGACAATGTCAAGTCCACCTTGTAGTTCACCATTAACATAGAGTTGTGGATAAGTTGGCCAATCGCTGTAAGTTTTCAGACCTTGACGCACTTCTTCGTCAGAAAGAATATCAAAAGTTTCATACGGAAGATTAGTCTCATTAAGAATTTGAATAATTTGCTTGGAGAATCCACAACGAGGCGCGTTTCTGTCACCTTTCATGAAAAGCACAACTTTTCCCTTGTTTATTAATGATTTCAGACGCTCTTCGAGTGATCCAGACGAAGCTTTTGTTGATGTTCCAACCAATGTCTTGACAGATGCAGTCAAATCTGCTATATCAATGCCATCAATTCGATGAACAGCTTTATTGTTTTGAAATAAGATTACTGTCGGTACTGCTTCTATTTCATGTTGTTGAGCAACTTCGGGAATTTCCTCAATCGCAACATTTAGAAACTTTATGTCTTTATAAGCGTCTTGTTTGGCTAGCTGCTCCATTACTGTTAAGATTTGATTACATTGTTCAGCCCATTCTGCTCCATATAACACTACATGAGCATTGCTGGATCTAAAAAAGAACAAAAAAACAAAATTAAATTTTCGCCCTTCTTTTTTAATTTTTCCAAATGAAATTTGATTTAAAAGACTTACGCAAATTGTTCTTTGTAATCTTCACTTGTTTCAATCAAACGAACTGTTGACATTTTGACAAATCTTCAACAAACAATTTTATAACAATATTCTGGAAGAAATTTTCTTTCAGTCGACTTAATAAATTAATGAAAGGTTGTTAGTTACCAACTTTATCACAATTCACACTTTGTTTTGAAATCTGTGGAGATTTAACGGTTTGAAGTTCACTGGAAATATACGAGGAAACCCCCCAATCAATTTTCTCGAAAAAATATGTTTTAGTTGTGGTCTGAATTGGAACCATTGCACATCGCTTAAATGAAGCTCATAAAATATTCATAATCCAATAAAGATCATTTGTCTAATAACATTAAAGTGTAACCATTTGCACCTTGTTGACATTGAATTCATTCCCAAGTTGATTAATTAACCTGCCAAGTGAAGTAATAACTGTCAAGTGGAAGTAAGCAGCATGTGAATTGCTGTAGGCAATTTCCGTTGATAACAAACAGAATGTGCTTAGATATTTTTGGAGAAAAGTGAAACTCTGAGGAAGATAATTGTGAAACAATTTTTTCGGTTAATTCAATTGTCTCGTTTCCACTCTTCTAACGTTCCCATATAAGAGTAGCTAACAAAATAAAATGATTGTTTAATGGAAAAGCTCCGAGACGAAGTGAACAGAAAGAAGCCAAATTTTTTAGCGTTTCACCTCGAAAGAAAACAAGGCACTTTGTAGTTAGACGTTCTTTTGATCACATTGCGTGCTTACATTGCAGTCGTTTGACAGAAGGAGAAAAAATATGTTTTATCGATTACAAAAGACTGAACAACTCTGCGACGATTTTTGTTTGTAATTATTTTTGCATGAATGAAAGAATAGTGAATTACGCTCAAGGTTTTGAAGTTACTACAATCAACGTGACAAGCGACAAAAAAAATAGAAAAAAGAAGTGAACAACATAATCAAGATAAAGAGAATCTCTGGCAAGATTCAAATCGACTTTCATTGTTGCTAATGAATGAAACGTAATAGAAGGCGAATGATTATTGCGCAATTCGACTAAGTATATACAAAAGACCGTTTATTGAGAACAAGAGAAATTAAATTTTTTTATGACTATCCCGAGAAGTGAATTAAAAAGTTCGCTCGATAAATTCCAAAAGCATAAAATGTATCGAGAAAAGAATTTAGAAATGTGAATAAAAAGTGAACAAAAAGTCAATATCTTAAAAAGAGTTCGAAGTATTATTCAAGTTCATCTTCATTAAACCAAAGAATCGTCATGAAGTGTCCGCAAGTTTTAAATTCATTGGTTCTACTTCAATTCATCATCGTCTCGCTAGCCAACGATGAAGAAATTGACAAACGATGTAAGTTGAATGAATCTTAATAAAATCACTGCCGTTTCTATTTGCCGTTTGTGCCACTTGAAAGTTTGAAGCTTGTGCGTAAAAAGAAACATTAAAAGATTGAGTTAGGGATTATTTAGAAATGATGGATAAGATGAAGAAAAATTATAATAAACTTTTCTTTAATAAATTTAATGCTTCTCATGAATAAAGTCTGATTGACACATAAAAAGATTTAAAGTTCCATTACATTTAATCGACCCCAATGAGACTTCTTAGTGCGTTTGAAAGAAGAGAAGTCATAATTTTCGTATTTTCATTTCCCGCTTACAGATTGTTTATTTAACAATCTTTTATCGAATGAAAAGTAATGAAAATGATGAGAAACAGATGATGAATTCCAAATTTTATTTTTTCTGTCGGTCGTAACGATAAACGAAAGCGATCAATGTCGTGACAAGCTGTAAAGGTGAAAGTTGAAATCTTGCCCTAAAATAGATCAGTTCAACGTTGAAATGTTAAGAAGACGAGCAAAAAAAGAAAAAGAAATGAAGGTAAAAAAATTTTGTAGGATTCTCCTTCAAGCCTCAAAGCGGATTAGTCACTTTTATGTGCGCTTTCGGTTTGTTATCACTTATTTCCTTTCCTTCTACTTCGAATTTGTTCACCACAGTGTTACGAAACAATCGAAAATTTGGAATTCAATACGCTATAGCTTGATGGTCGATGTGTGAACATGATACATTAGAGAGTTTTTCAAAAAATTACGTCACAATCAATTTGTTGACCTTTTAGCATTCATTTGTTAATTGAATTTAGAAGAAGCACTTAAACTATTTTCTAATGTACTTGAATCGATAATTTTGTGTCATTAGTAACAAAATTTCCGTACATTCCCTCGACAACATAAGCAAAAATTAAAATTCCATTTTAAATAAAATTAAGCTCAAGTTCAAGTGGCTTGTCTTACATATTTATCGCTGTTGTTTTTATTTTAATTTTCTTTTTTTTAGTGACGAGTAATGTTTGTCGTGTAACTGCTGACTGTCCATTGAATGCCATTTGTGAGCCTCGAAGCGGGTGGGATGGCCAATGTGTATGTCGAGACGGTTACTTTATGAAGCCAAGTGGGAAGACCCGTCACTGTATTCAGATCGCTGATTATGGTGAGCTTTGTTATATGGATCAACAGTGCGAGTTTCGTCTTGGCCTTTATGCTGAATGTAGAAATGGTCAGTGTGCGTGTAAAAGCAACGCACATTACATTGTTAATGAAAATGCTTGCTTCAAAAGTTCGAGTAAGTGTCGACAAAAACTCTTTGTACTTAAACCATCTTTCATTAACATTAAATTATTCATTTTAACAGAAATAGGCGATTATTGCCGCTTAACATCTAATTGTGCTGTTGATCTTACAACATGTGTCAAAGGTGAATGTCGCTGTCCATTGAACTATCATTCAAATTGGGAGAAGAACAGATGTTTAAAGAACGTTGAGTTAAATGAAACGTGCTATAATCATGAAGAATGCGTTGCAGAGAATTCAATATGCTACCAGACGTGCAAATGTCGAACGAGTCATGTTATGAGTCAAGATGGAAAGCAATGTCTTCCACTTGCAAACAGCCTTTACCAAAAGTGCCAGGAAGATTCACAATGTAGTCAAGTTGCTTATACATATTGCGGATCTAACCAAACATGCATTTGTCTGTCTGATCATCATGATATCAACAGCGTAAGAATCAGTGATGATTCATACAACGATGATCGACAATTAAACGTTCAATTATCATTGAATTTCTTCCAGAGATGTCACGTAACCGTTCGTCTCAACGAAGTCTGTGAAGATGATTTAAATTGTGTCATCGCTCATTCAAGTTGCATAAATCGTCGTTGTCAATGCGATGATGGTTTTAGCGAGTTTCGTGGAAAATTTTGTTCCAATGCTGATAGAGTTCAAATTAGTTTATTTATTGCGCTTGTGCTTAGCTTTACGAGACTCTTATAGTGAATGTTATTAAGATATTTGTTTGAACATTAACCACATGGAGCCAGGCTCTAATTTCATTCATGGAAAACAAATGGGAAATAGCGGATTGTTTTTCCAACCAAATTAATTATCTCTCCTTTTTGTGATATTTTTATTATTATGATGTAGATGAGTGTGAATATTAAAATGTTGCGTCACCTTTTAAAATATAAATGAAAATTATCATTTGCAATTTACCAAGACGAGAATTCTATTGACCGTTTCAATTATCAAATTCTATTTTGAATTGACAAAATATTTATTCTTGAATATCTTGAAGAAGTTCGTGACGTCATTTTAAAAAGATTTTTCTCGCCTACCAAAAATCACACTTCATTTAAATATTCTTATGATTGACAATGTGATCCGCTATTAACCCTTCAAAGTAGTTATTCACTCATTTGTTCACTCCCACGCGCAAGCACACACATAGTAACATGTCCAAAGCCGCCCTCAAATATTTCTAGATATGTTGATGTCTTAATTTCCAAATTCATTAGAATTTATAATTTATTTATTTATTATTTGTAGAAAATAGAAGAAAAAAAAATTAAATTTTAGATAATGTTGTGAAAAAAGAGAATTTTATTATAAAAATGATTTGTAATGGAATGTTTTATGTGATGCAATGAAACTTTTTTCTTTAGTTTATTTTTACATTGAATCATGAATTGCTGTTCATTATTTTACAAAGAAAATTAAAATTGTTTGTAACTTTTATATGAGTGACAGTAAAATGTCATATTTTGTTGAAATCTCAAGATAATTTCAGTTTGTAAAGCTTCACAGTTGGATATAAAAGAGCGATTCCTCCGATTAAGTACGTTGGTGTTGATCCAATTAACCAAAACGCAGTCGATGAAACGATTGGCCCGAGAGCTCTTGCAAGAGCACCATGAGATCTGAAGATTCCGAGGACGGTTCCCTTCTGGTCAAAATTCCCATACTTTGCTGTGAGAGTTGTCATGCAAGTGACACAAAAAGCAGTCGCTGTGAAATTATTAATAAAATTAAGATCTTAACAAGTGACAAGATTGCAAAAAAAAACTTACAAATTGCGAATAAAATCATTCCAAAATATAGCCAAAAGACATTTTTAGCTAATCCAACGACAACAAATGAAGGAACTATGAGTATGAGTCCAAGAACGGCTGCTTGTTTTGTTTTTTCCATTTTAATTTTTTTCACGACACCGCCTTGAAGTAAAGCCATGATGACACCTGTCGTAAGAAACATTTTTGCTTGATCGATTGAGTTGAATCCAAATTTATGGAACATTAAGAAAGTGACGGTGAATTCCAATCCAGAATAAAGGAACAAATAAGTGAAATAAATAAATCCAAGTTCCTTGAGCGATTCTAAATCTGCTTTAGAAAGATTTTTCACAGCATCGAAACGAAAAAGTGATTTAATGCTGACATGTTCAAGAGCTTGTGAAATTGAGTTTATGACGGTCTTAGCACGTTTTTCTAATGGCAGGGTTTCCTTTAAGAAGAAGATACAAAACAAAACATCTAGACCAGCTAGACACATTGCAAAGAGAGCAGGAAAGATAAACCAATTGTCATTAGATTTATCCGAGAAGCGTGAGAAGATTGCACCAATCATCGGTCCAAGAATGAATCCCAATGAAAAAGCAATTCCAACTAAAGCCATCCCTTTGCCTCGATTTTGTTTATTTGAAACGTCTGTGATGATTGCCATGCTTAAACTTATGTTGCCTTTACTTAGTCCACCAATGAATCTTGCGAGAACAAAGATCCCAAAGTTCTTTGAAAGTGCCCATAAGCCGTAAGACGACATAATTCCAGTGAGACTTAACAATAGGATCGGTTTCCGTCCATAATAATCAGACAATCCACCAGCTATTGGACTCACAATGAATTGCAAGAAACTAAACATTGATCCTAGAAAGCCTCCAAATAATACTGAAGTGTAACGTTCTGGGGCACCGACAAGTTCTCTGAAGAATTTGATGCTATTTGAAAGAGTTGAGTATAATCCGCCTTTGTCGTTAACACGATAATGTTCCAAGAGAGATGGAAGTAATGGGAGTATCATTGTGAACGCCAGAAGATCCAAAAGTAGAGAAAAGAATACAATGTACACAGTTGGATGTGTCTTGTTAGCATCAATTGTTGATTTTAATTTCCCGGATGGATCATCGACAGCATCCGCACTTGAATGTCCATTTTGTTTTAACTCTTGAGTTTTGCCACGACTTTGCATTGTTGCTTTCTCACGTAAAACTTATCAACTGTGTAAATACTTTGAGACTAAATTGAAGTTTCGTTATCAGCCGATGAGTTCTCAGTCACGAACAATGTATTTCTTTTGGCACTCTTGAAATGAACTTGAAGCCATAAAATGTATTTAATACTTCGGTACGGCAAAGAAAAACAAAAAACTAAATTAACTCGACTCAATAACTCAACGCTGGGAAAATTTTGATTGAGTACTGCTTGACACACATTGAGTCTAACTGTAACACACTTTCTTAAAAATAATAATTATTCAATTACTTTCACTATTGTTGTTCACGCACTGACAGACAGACTTTTATGAAATTTAATTGTTAGGAAACATTCTAAATTCATGTTTCGCTTCCCATTGTTTACATTTTTTTGCATCAGTTGATAATTTTTTTTTTGGAATTAAGCAATTTTATTACATTGTAACGTGTATAAGCAAGAATGCAGATAAAATAATATTGAGAATACTTTAAAATTTTTACTAATCATCATGTATACTCTCCTAGAAACATCTAAAGAGAGTTTATTTAAAAAGTATCTCAGAATCTTCTTTGTAGTTGCTGCTTATTGGTAATAAAACTCGAAAATTCCCGGCATTTTTTATTTTTATCACGAAATATTTTTTTTCCACGTATGTTTTTAGGATTATTTCAATCACAACAGTTTTCGTGAACAAAGAATTATTTAGTGGAACCAAAGTAAAGCTGAATGCTACACTTTTCGTGACATGGTTTCAATGTGTCGTTTCAACATTCATTTGCGTATCCGCAACGTTTATGAGCCAAAAGTTTCCTAGAGCCTTCCGGATTAATCTGCCAGAAGCTAAACCATTTCATTGGGAAACTATCAAAAGAGTCATTCCACTGTCAATTTTATTCACGATGATGATAAGTAGCAACAATTTGTGCTTAAAATTCGTGTCAGTTGCTTTTTATTACGTCGGTCGGTCTCTTACAACAATATTTAATGTTATTTTGACTTATATCTTTCTACGAGAACGACAAAGTGCTAAAAGTATTGTATGCTGCTTGGTAATAATTGCAGGATTTCTTCTTGGTGTTGATCAAGAATCTTTGACAGAAACATTTTCTCTGGTTGGAACAATTTTTGGTATCATTGGATCTTTTTCTCTCTCAATGTATTCAATTTATACAAAGAAAACGCTCCCCCATGTAAATGGTGAAGTTTGGCTTTTAAGCTATTACAACAATCTTTATTCGTGTTTCCTATTTCTTCCACTTATTTTAATAAATGGCGAATTTAACACAGTTCTGAATTACGAGTACATAGGGAAGCTTTGGTTTTGGTGCGCAATGTTGATTGGAGGTTTTTGTGGATTTCTTATTGGCTATGTGACAACACTACAAATAAAAGTTACATCACCTCTTACGCATAACATATCTGGAACTGCTAAAGCTTGCGCTCAAACAGTGATGGCAACTTCTTGGTATCACGAAGTGAAAAGTTTTCTTTGGTGGACATCAAATCTCGTTGTACTTCTCGGAAGTTTCTCCTATGCTCGTGTTAAGCAACTTGAAATGGCTAAGAAACATCGTGTAGAACAAAATACCCAAAAACTTTAATTAACTTATAATTTATAAGATCAATATTTAAAAGTAATGAACGAACAAATAAAATTTAACGAACAAATGAAATTCAAAAATTTTCCTTTTGCTTCAATTTGTTGAGTATAAAAGAAGCAAAAAATTTTTATTTTCGTAAACACGAATTTTAAATAAATTATAGATAATCTCGCCGCTTTTCTTGTTTCACACTGTTTTCAAATATAATGTGAATTGTATCACTCCATCGTTATATCCTTGATCTTATATTAAACGTGTTGTACTAACAATCAAGTTAGAAATTGTAAAAAACTTTTTAAAAGAATTTTCAATATTTTTCTTGTTGATTGTCCCGGATCAAAAGTCAAAACAAGAATTTGTCAACGACATCATGGATTCACATCAGGAAAATTCATTCTGGAAAAACAATGTTAAAATGGTGCCTGGTCGACCAAGTCCCACAAAAGATTTCAACAGGTCAACGACCGTCAAAGCAAAAAATAATACAAACTCAAATTCCACCACGTCCTTTGAGAAATACCAGAAGAGTGTTTCCGATGCTTGGACGTTGTCGGAAGATGAACTTACAAAAGAATATTGTATTTTAACCGATGACCCTAAGGCACCACGAAGGCCAAATCAAAATAATGCGAGGGTTCATAAGAATCCAATTGCGGTTGTTCATCGTCAAGTTTCAACATCATCAACTTTTATTAATACCACCAATAGTGCCACTACCAGTACTGCCAATCACAACATTGAAAAATTTGCCAGTGAAAATAATGAAAATCAACAGGAACCACAAAAACCAGAGCCACGGAAGCCGACATCGGAATATGGGTGAGAAGTGAATAAAAATTGTGTTCGATGTCGTGAAAATAATTTTTGATCTTTATAAATATCAGACGTCTTCGTCAACGATTTAATTCGTATCCAGGACGACCACAGCTGCTAAATGTCACATCGTTGTCAATGCGAGATGATGCTGAATCTAAATTGGAGAAATTTTCAGCAATTTTGGAAGCTGAATTATTAAATTTGAAAGCATTGAAGGAATTAAGCTGGCAGGGTGTTCCGAGAAAGGTAAATTAATTTATCCACAGCTAAGCAAACGAAACATTTCCATTTGATATTAATTAGGATAATTGCTTGAACATATTTTAATTAATTTTTAAATAGATGCGAGCAGTTACGTGGCGTTTGTTATCTGGTTATTTGCCAACATCACTTGAACGACGTAATTCGGTTTTAGAACGTAAACGCATCGATTATCAAGCATTAGTAAAGCAATATTTCCATGTGGATGTGCGTGACGAATCACAGCAAGACACATTTCGTCAAATTCATATTGACGTTCCTCGTATGAATCCTCATGTGCCGTTATTTCAACAACAATTGGTTCAGGAAATGTTTGAAAGGATTCTTTTCATTTGGGCCATTCGACATCCAGCATCAGGTTACGTTCAAGGCATCAATGATCTTGTCACGCCATTTTTCATTGTTTTTTTACAAGAACAAATTGGCGCTTCAAAGGATCTTGAAACATATCGATTGGAAGAGCTTTCAGAAGAGCAACGAAATATCATCGAAGCTGATTCGTTCTGGTGCATCAGCAAATTTCTCGATTGCATTCAAGATAATTACATTTTCGCTCAATTGGGAATCCAAGAGAAAGTGAATCAATTAAAGGAATTAATTCAAAGGATTGATTGTAAAAAATCGTTTGTCGATTAAGTGTTGAACAAAAATAATTTTCCTTTTCTTACTTACAGTGACACTTCACAAACATCTTCAATCACATGGCATTGATTATCTTCAGTTTTCATTTCGTTGGATGAATAACTTATTGACTAGAGAACTCCCACTTTATTGCACAATTCGTTTGTGGGACACATATCTGGCTGAATCGGACGGTTTTGCTGTTTTTCAACTTTACGTTTGTGCTGCTTTTCTTCTCCATTGGCGTGAGCAATTATTACAGGAAAGAGATTTTCAGGTATGATGAAATTAACTTTTTTATAAAACTTAATCAATTCATTCTTCATTTGCTACTCAGGGGTTGATGCTTCTCCTTCAAAATCTACCAACACACAATTGGCTCGACTCACATATCAGTCTTCTGGTTGCTGAAGCATTTCGGTTAAAATTCACTTACGCTGATGCGCCAAAGCATTTTGAAGTTAAAAGCAGTTGACGTCATCGATTGTTTAAGTTCGGCGGGTCTTTTATATTTTAACATTAACAAATTCACAACTTATTCTGTTGATTGGAAATTTTATGCATTGTAAAGTGAATATTATGAATATTAAAGAAAAGTATCGTAAAGATGCAAAAGTCGATTAATTGTAATGAATTGTTGGTTTTTTATTGTGAAATTTTCAGGGCATCAACATTTATATTCAATGTGTAGGCGTTGAGCTACAAGGGGGTAAAGTTTGAAGTCAAACTTTGTATAAAATTAAAGATAAAATATAAATTAACTTTTGACGATCAATTTATTTACTTTTATTTTATAATTCCATTCAGAAATGAATCATATAAGAATAAATTTATTTAAGTTGTTTCAGGGTAGATTTTGAAGACTATCAAGACTTTCATTAATTTTTTGTTTTGATTATAACTCACGAATCTCATAAGAAAAAAGTTTTTTGCTTAATTAACAATTGAATGGAATGTCTTTGATTTCAAAAGACTCCTTAACAGGGTCGTCATCGTCTTGAATATTGTAAGTTAAGATTGCAATCATGTTAACGGGTTGATGTGTTGGATTCATGAGTAGAATGATTTGATTGATTGTTTCAGTTGGTGGCTTAAATGGTTTGACTCCTGGCAATTTATCATCAGACGCTTTTAAAATTCGCAACTTACATGGCTTAGAAACACTCGCATCGAATTGAAAGTTGCTGATTGCATTTGGACCTTGATTGATAACAGTAATGACGAGTACCATGACATCCTTGGCTGGACGATCTTTTGTAAAGTTCACAAGAATTTTGAGGCCTTTCTTTTCATCGCAAATAGTGCGAGGCTCACTCTCACTTGGTTCAATGTTGTTAATGTCCAAATTTATATCTCTCAAAGCAATTTTAATTTCTTGTTCGGGTTGTTCTTGTTTAACTTCAACTTTTTCTGGCTTGATTTCTTCATGAATTAAATTATTAACATCGTCATCTGAATCGCTTGTAGATTTTGGAAACGTTTCAACACTTTCTGATGTTTGTAATAATTTTGTTTTCATCCCAGAAACAATTGACTCGATTTCACATAATGAACCTTTTGATTTGTCATTCAATGACTTTTGCAAAGGCTTTGTGGGAGTTTGTGGCGAAGGCATATCGAAATTCCCCAAGAGATCATCAGGTGATGTTGTTTTATGTTTGTTAATCATCGCTATGATATCATTATTGGAATAGGAAGAATTAGGAATGACTTGTGGTGTTAGAAGTGATGTCTCAATTTGTTGAGAGACTTTTGGTGGAAATGAAGTTGCAGTTGATGAGAAAATGTCGTTCAACTCGTTAAGCGTTCCATTTTCATCAGATTTCTTAGTTTCAGATGTCGACACATCAAGTAAATTATTAGTTTTAGCAGTTACTTGAGGTTTCTTAGCAACCGGAGTTTTATTCACAACTCTTTCAATATAAAGTTCAATAACTTTGGTCATCATACCAGAAGTGTCGGAAATTTTATTTGTAAATGTCTCAGAGTCATGCGATTCTTCTGCAAGTCTCATAACTGTTGGCTTTAACTTCACGCAATTGTTGAAGATATCTTCTAATGTCCTTAACATATCATCCGATGCTTCAGACAAGTCAAACTCATCAAGCATTTCTTTTAATAAAATTGAGTTTTCATTCGCACTCTGAAGATCCATAAGACGACGATTTTGCATTTGACTCTTCCTGTCGTTATCACGAACCATGTTTTGAATCATTAAGTTGGCAGCTTCAATGTCTTTTTGATTTTTACTTTGCAATAAACGTTTGAATTTTTCTGATTCCATTAATTTCAATGTTGTATCGGTTGACTTTTTGCTGTTGGACTTTATCACATTCTTTTGTGGTTCATGAATCACTCCTTGTGTTCTCAACATTTTGTAAGCTTCTGTTATTTTAACCAGTTCTGGATACTTATCAGTCCATGTGAAAAGAATGTCAAGAATCTAAACAAGATTATTTGTGATGATAAAAAGTTGAGTAAATAAATAAATCTTGTAAATTTTATGATCAACTTACACGATCTTGAATTTCTTTTGGTGTTGTGTCACCAAGGTATTTCTTGCTAACTAATCGAAGCTGTGGAAAGATGAAGTAATAAAATTTATCAATTCAAGATCAAGTTTTTATGTCTTTTCTTAAACAATGTAATAAAAATAATTAAACTAAGAATTTTGACTCACCAACTCATTAAGGAATTTAAATTTGTTCACTTCAGTTTGGAAGTTGGGACCGAGTGAATCCATACATTCTAAACAAATTAAATAAGACTAAATTTAGTACGCAAAGATATCATAAAAGAGTTGAGTTATGAGTTATGTTACCTTCAAGGGCGTCAAGCGCTAAAAGCGATTCTTTAATATTTTGTGATTGGATTTTTCCAGCTAATAAGCGAGCTGCCGTTGCACTGAGATCAGGTTCTTTTTTCAAGACATGACAAAACGCATCTAAAGCTGAGATATCAAGCTCATCATCGTTATTTGTATTATTTACAGCTTGATCTTTAATAAATTAATGAAAAAGAAATATTAATATAAATATCTAAATGTGTAAACAAACCATGATTCTAATAAATGTCAAAGGCTTTATTTTAATATTTTTTAATTGACCTACCTAGAAATATTTCTAGATTTGCAATAGAGTTGTCTCGGTTCATTTTGAGTTCTGAAACTAGTTTAAAACTTTTTGATAAAGTTTTTCACAAGAAATATTTTTTATGGTTTGCTTCTTTTCTGCTTCAGTACCTGAAGTTTCGCTTCATTTTGAGTTGAAAAGTATTTTGCTTCAATTTTTTAAGCAGTCGTGTAACTAATTTTTTCCAATTAAATGGCTAGAAAGCAGCAAGATTGGACAACTCCAACAGAAAGTGGACCTAAATTGAGGCTCTACAACAGTTTAACTAGAAAGAAAGAAGTTTTCATACCTCAGGATGGAAATATTGTGAAATGGTATTCTTGCGGTAAGTTCTTCACATGTTTCATCAGAAAGCTCTTAATTAAATATACCTTTTTATAATGAATACTGAACATCAAGAATGTTTTTATGAAAAATTTTTAGCTAACTCTCAAAATATTTAATGTTTTGAAGATTTAAATATTTTTAAAATTCTTGCAATTTAATTTTAATGTAAACATTTACACATTTAAACATTTGACTATGAAAAACAAATCCTTATTCTATACTAAATTATTGAAAAATAATTACAGGACCGACTGTGTACGATGCCAGTCATATGGGACATGCTCGCTCATACATCAGCTTTGACATTTTGCGACGTGTCTTGTCGGATTACTTTGGTTATCAAATTCACTTTGTCATGAACATCACTGACATCGATGATAAGATAATTAAACGAGCTCGACAGAACTATTTGTTTGATGAGTATTTGAAGAAAAATGTTTCGCTTGAACAATTCGTAGAAGATGTCAATATTTCGATGAAAGCTTTTAAAGAGAAAACTGCTGACAACAAAGATCCCGACAAGCAGATTATGATCAACAAAATTATTAGCAACGTGACACAAGCTGCTGATGGTCTTACGAAAGCAATTGAATCATCAAATGAAGGAGAAATTAGTACAAATCGTTTACAACTTCAAGATGAAGCGAAATCTCCAATTTCCGATTGGCTTGACGTTCAATTTGGAGCCACAGTCAGAGATAAAAAGATTTTTGAAAATCTCACAAGATTCTGGGAAAATGAATACAATAATGATATGACAGCTCTCAATGTTCTTCCTCCGAATGTTCTAACGAGAGTAACCGAATATGTGCCCGAAATCATCACATTCATTGAAAAGATCATCGCCAATGGTTATGCTTATGTGTCGAATGGTTCAGTTTATTTCGATGTAGCAAAATTCGATTCAATTAAATATCATCATTATGCGAAACTGGTTCCTGAGGCTTTCGGCGACACGGCTCAATTGCAAGAAGGCGAAGGTGATTTGTCAGGTGATAAAGGAACAGAAAAGCGATCACCAAATGATTTTGCTTTGTGGAAAAACAGCAAAGACGGTGAACCAGCTTGGAATAGTCCTTGGGGTGAAGGAAGGCCAGGTTGGCATATCGAATGTTCGGCAATGGCTGCTGAAATCTTCAAAAGTGATCTTGATATTCACACTGGTGGTGTTGATTTAAAATTTCCCCATCATGACAATGAAATTGCACAAAGTGAAGCTCATTACGACACCAGCGGTTGGGTGAAATATTTCCTTCACACTGGACATCTCACAATTTCCGGTTGCAAAATGTCAAAATCATTGAAGAACTTCATAACGATCAAAGAAGCTTTGAAGCAACATACAGCAACACAAATAAGGTTTGCCTTTCTCTTGCATTCATGGAAGGATACGCTTGATTATAGTGCAAACACCATGGAAATTGCAATTCGATTCGAAAAGTTTCTTAATGAATTCTTTTTAAATGTCAAAGATTTGGTGAGACAAAAGAAAAGCGATGAAATGACGAAGTTCAATGAGAAAGATTTGGTGCTTAATGTGAAGTTTTTGGAAGCTAGGAAAGGAGTTTATAGCGCATTATGCGACAATATTGATACGAAATCAGCACTTGATGCAATTCGAGAACTGATTGGTCATTCAAATGTTTACATGCGTGACAATCAAAGCTTTGTTAACACGCAACTCCTGGAAGAGATTGCAGTTTACATCACTGAGCTTTTAGACATTTTTGGTGCTATTCAAACACCAAAGAAGTCGATTGGATTTCCAGCAATTTCTGGAAGTGACAATGGTGGAAACAAAGAAGAAATTCTCATGCCATATCTGTCAGCACTTGCCGATTTTAGAGCTGCTGTTAGAGATCATGCAAGAGAAGTTAAAGCAACTTCTATTCTTCAACTTTGCGATGAGTTACGTGATGATATTTTACCGAATTTAAGTGTAAGATTGGAAGACAAAGAGGGAACGTCAGCGATTAAGTTGGTTGATCGAGAAATTTTGATGAGGGAACGGGAAGAAAAAAAGAAACGAGAAGAGCAAAAGAAAGCTGAACAACTTGCGAAGCTTGAACTTCAACGTCAAAAGGAGAAAGAGAAACAAGAACAGATGCGAATCAATCCGATTGATATGTTTAAGAATCAAAACGATAAATATTCAGCATTTGATGACACTGGACTTCCAACTCATGATAATGAAGGAAAAGAAATCAGCAAAGGTCAACAAAAGAAACTCAAGAAACTTCAACAACAGCAGGAAGTTAAATACGCGGAATATCTTAAAACTCTCAGTAATTAAACAACTAAAAATGATTTTAATTAATTGAAATTGTATTTATATCATTTCTTTTGCATAATAAAATATACACAGATCAGCTTAATGAAACTAAACAACTCCCGTGTTATTTGGTGCATTAACAGGCGGTTGCGCATTTGATAAAAGATTTTTAAGAACTTCCTTCTTAGCGAAACCAAAAGTGGCATCTTTTAAGTTGGTACTTGAACCGAATTTGCAGCGTGTGTAACCGTGAAGATTGGCAAAGTTGAGTGCTAATGCAATCATGACAAGAAGAAGCCATTTGAAATTGAAGCCAAAGAGTGCGGCAAGGAAGAAAAGACCCCAAAATACAGGAGCTAAGATAAGACCTAACCAGAAGATTCGAACTTCTCTTGTATTGTTACGACGATGTTGATTTTTATCCTGGAAATTATTTAAATCATTTATAAAGCTATAAATGAAAAAATTGATTATTTTACCCTTGATTCATAAATCCAAATTGACTTTCCATCATTATCAATATAATTCCACCATCTCAATCCAACTAAAATTCTTCCGGTGATATTTTTGACTGTCCAGAAGTCAGCAGAAAGCAATAAAACTATGAAAACAAACGAAGTTATGAAGCTTGAGATGAACGGTGTGAAAAAGAGATAAACGACAATAGCTGATGACCGAAAGAATATGTGGAATAAAGTGACGTAGGGATGTCTGTAAACGTCCACGATTAATATTAAAACTTTTTATTCAATTGCAAAAATATTTCACCTCAGCTGATCTGGCGATGTTTCATCATTAAACTCATCTCCAAAGTCGTCTAACAGAGGAACCTGTAAATATCAGCACTTTAAACCTTTAATTCAAATAAAATAAGTCTTTTTATAATTACTGTTGCCATATTCTCTGCCTTTTTTTATCTAATTAATTTTATAGAGATCGAAAATTCAATTTACCACGAAAACAAAAAACCTTCAGAAGCAAACAATTTTCGCTTCTTAACTTTCAAATAATTTCTAACCGCATTCATAGTAACAGAAAAATATATTTTTATTTGGAATTTTTAAATTGTTTCTCCTGAGATCATAAAATATACTTAAATAACAAAAGTATTATTAACATTTTTTTGCTCTTTTTATCAATATCATTTGTTCTTCTTCTACTTCCATTTTTCTCTTAGAAGCGTAGAATTGTTGTTCAATCTCCATTTCTTCATCATCATCGATGATGATATTCTTAAGACTTTCAAGTTCTTGTTTTATTTTATTCTGCATAGTTTCTTCAATGATCATCTGCTGATTTTCTTTTTCCATGTCTTCATCGTCATCATCAAATATAATATCTGCTAAACTGTCAATTTCTTTCTTGATTTTCCTTTCCATGATTTCGTCTTCACTTTCCTCAAGAATTTCTCGGCATCTGCTTTCAACTTTTCCATTATTCCAAAACACTTCCATATCATCTTTCTTTTTCAAACATTTTCGCATTTCTACCGAAGGTGGCAGCAAAATCTTGTTGTTGAAATATTGGAATTCTCGTCGGAATGCTTTTGCACGCACAGGCACAACAACATTGCCTTTCAATTCCAAATATCCAGTTGTAAGCAGTAAACTCACTAAGCCATCCCACCAATCTCTATCTTTCGAAGCTCCTCTCCCAAAATAATGTAATTTGAACTCTTGAAAATTTAGCCGTGTTGGAAGGATTCCCATTAAAATATCACAAATATTATTTCGGAGAAGTCGATGAGTTGCGATTTTCAATACAAGCTCAGCATCTTTCGTAAAATCGTAAAGTCCATTTTCATCAATTTCATAAAAAAGAAATTTTAAGGGCACGACTTTAGGTGATTCTAAATGACGAATACATCGATCACAACAATTTTCTCTTATTGTTATTTTCTTCATTTCTTCAATATTTGCACCGAGATATTCAAGCATTTCCAGTCGTCGACATTTAGTCGATTCGATGAAAGCTTTCATTCTATTTACCAATTCATGTTGTTGTTCTCTTTCTTTCAAAGTTGTTGTTTTCTTGTTCAATTCGATTAAATGATGAAGAATAACGTAATCATCACCTTCATAGAATAGAATGCAACTTGAGGGTTTTCCATCTCTTCCAGCTCGTCCTGCTTCCTGATAATAAGCTTCTATAGATTTCGATGGTCCATAATGAATTACAAGTCTAACATCAGGCTTATCAATTCCCATTCCAAAAGCTATCGTGCAAATTACAAATCTCAATTTATTGCTCCGAAAATCTTTCACAACTTGTTGTCGAGCATCAGCTTTCATTCCAGCGTGATAAGGCTTGCAATCAATTCCATGTTGTTGTAGCTCTTTTGCCATATCCTCACATACTTGTCTTTGTAAGCAATAAACAATCGCACTGCCATCTTTAATTTTTTGAAGAAATGGCAGGACATCATTAGCGTAATGAGGTTCAACCATACCGAACAAAAGATTAAATGGATACGGGGGAAGGAAACCACCATTATGCTTACGACGAGTTTCAAAACTCAAATTTGGTCGATCAAGGGCTGTTCTTAAATACGTATAATTTGTAAGATGCAGCGATTTTATGATGTAATCTTCAACATATTTAGGAGCTGTTGCAGTTAAAGCTATACATGGAATTTTTGGAAAATCTGTTCGAATCTCTCCTAATCTTCTGTATGTTGGACGAAAATCTTTCCATTGTTCAAGGATGTGAGCTTCGTCAACAGCAAACATCATTACTTTGTAGAGACAGTGTTCTATTTCTCTTTTTCCTCTTCCGAAATAATATTCCGGAGTGATGTAGACAACATTGTGATCACACATTCTAAGTGTTTTATCAAATTGTTGACTTCCGAAATAACAAGCTTTTATGCCCTTTTGTTTCAGTGCCAGGACTTGATCTTGCATCAATGCAATGAGAGGAGAAATAACAACAGTCAGTTTATTCATAAATACTGGTGGAAATTGATAGATAAGAGATTTTCCAAAACCAGTCGATGCAATCACACAGCAATCTCTTTTCTCATACATCAAACTTCTCATAATGTTCCATTGTTCTTTTTTGAAGCATTTATGTCCGAATTTTTCCTTCAGGACCTTTAAAAATTGAAATCAGATTAGAAATGTTAATATTATTGGTATTTTCATTATTTAGCGTCATTTAATACAAAACTTACTTTTAAGTGCTCGGCAGAAGGCTCTTCTAAATGTGCCATTTCTTTTTAATACAAGATAAAGCGATATTGTATTTATTTTTAGGCAATTTTTTTGGAATCACATTACAAATGTTTGATTTCATAACAAATTACGCTTCAATTAATTTGCTTCCTGCAATTTTCGCTTCTCTTTTTGCATCCATTCATTTTCACAACAAAACAATGCTTCGCAAATCCTTAAATTTAATTCAAGTTTATAGCAGTAATCAGTTTCGTCAAAATATAAGAACACTTTACGTGAGTGCTACAAATGAAGCCGCTCGAAAGGGAACACGTGAGAAAGCACGTGCCAAGAAGGTGAAGGTTGAAATCAAGAAAGTCGCCTTCGTGCCATTCAACCGAAAAAAGTAAAAAAAGATCATAAAATTATAAAAATTTAGTTTTAAACCTATTTACATTTACTTTAGGCTTAAAATTGATATGACAAATAAACACATCGACGACTCTTGGAAAGCCATTCCAGCTGATGATGTGTATGTTGGAAAATATTATCGTTGGCGAGTTTATACAGCTCCTGAAGCTATAGAAGCCCACAAGGAAACTCATCATCCTTCTATGTACAACGAACCAAATGCTCCTTTATTTGCTCATGTCGAATTGAATATGCAAGGAGAAAAAGTAACAAGATTTGTTGAAAACTTTTATCGAATCGCTCCAGTTCAACATAAATTCGATCATGGACAAGAAAGAACAATTTTAGTGTTTACTAAAGGACAAGAAAACATAGAAATGGCAAAGAATGCTGGCGCAACGTATGTTGGAGGTACTGAGCTGGTGAAGGATATTCAAAACGGTGATTTACTTTTAACTGATTATCAATATGCTATTGCACATCCAAACATTCTTCCCGATTTGTTACCAATTCGTGGTTTGATGAAGAAAAAGTATCCAAACCCAAAAAACGGAACTCTCGGAGCAGACTTAGATGAGATCATTCGAAGGTTTCAAAATGGTATTCAATATTCAGCAATGAAAGATGAGAACCAAAAAGATTTCGGACTCATCACAGCTCAAATCGGAACACTTGACATGGAGACAAGTCATTTGGAAGAAAATTTAGCTTCTTTGTTGAAAGATGTCAATACAGTAAGGCCGAAACGTGCAGGCAAATTCATAACAAGGGTTCTTTTAAAGAGCCCACCATCAAAAGAACAATTAAAAATTGATCCGTTCGTGTATGTGGATGTTGGAAAACCTGAAGTGAAAAAAGAAGTTACACTAAAAAAGAGTAAGAAAAGAGGACGAAGTTTCGCAAAATCTGTAGATGAAGAAGAAGTTGTTGAACCAGCAGTGAAAGAAGCAGCTAATTGAATATCATCTCATACTAATGTAAACATCAATTAGTCTGAAATAAAAATAATAAATAAACTTTATAATGATTGAAAATTCATTTGAGAGGGAAAAAGTTGTTCGATTGAATCGATAAAATTCATATCTTCAAATACGTGAACATTTATTGAAAGAAGATTTCTATAGAGTCTGCGTTTTTTATACCTCAATTATATTCTTCTTCAAACCTTGCATAATAGGAAAAAGAAAAATAAATAATTGGATTGATTCACTTCTCTTTCCCCGAATAAGATGATGTCAAAGAACCCTTTTTATTTATTTTGTGAATAGCGTTGATGGAAATGTAATTAACGTGCTTCTCGACATAAAAACGTGATGAGAGACTCGAACAAGACATTTAAATGAGCGAGCATCAGAAAACTGTTCAATTTCAAAGTTTCAGCAAATCTTTGCACAAAAAAAAGAGTTCATCAGAAATGATTTCATTTCATCGAGTGAATTACATTTCTTTGTAACGTCGTTGTCTTAGCTCGATTTAGTTTCTGCTATAATGGAAGTTTAAGGGAACTTCTGAAAAGAAATCGAAAAATTTTCTCACCTCAGACATGTAGGTACCTACTTCCATTTGATTACATTTTTTTTTTCTCACCAATTGAAATATAACGTAATAAAAAAAGTTGTAGAATGTATCATAGAACAACCTTCTCAAACACACCTTGTGCCTAAAACTTATGGTTTAAGCTGTTATTAAGTTTTTTATAATTCATTCATTGCTAAATTATGATGTGTGGGAAAATTTGTAAAATGTGTTAAGAAATAACTTTTTCATATAAACCTAATACCTAACTCTGATAATTAATCAGGTAAAACTTTAGTTACATATTTAAAGTTGCATTAAGTTAAACTGTCAATTTAGTTTAGAAAGTTCTCACAAAAAGCACAAGATCAATGAAAGCTTTCCTGGTAATAAGTTTGGGTGAAAGCTTTCAAGCTCATCTAAAAGTAAATTAATTTCTAGAAGTAATTATTCACAATTACATTACATAACTCATCATAAAGTCATTTGTACAACGTCAAACGGGAGCAAAAGTCATTCAAGTATGAAACGGTCATTTTATGAAAATGTACGCATTCCAACATACCTAATTGATAATCATTTTCACACCTTAATCTCACATTAAGGATATCATTTGTACACTTTTAGCACGTCATTTAATAAGTTGAAAATTGTTAATAAAATTTATAACGTCAAAAAGAAGAATCTGGCTGCGTTGACTGCTCTCGACAGTTCAGTTTTCTGAAAATTCAATTTAAATTGTTCATACCCGAACATGATCGTCTTCGTGGCATACCAGAACTTGTAAATAAATATCAAAGAATTTTCGCCAAGATTCATAAGTAGGACCAACGGGAACTGTCGAGTGAATAAAGATATTTTGCAAAGCCTTCCGAGTGTACTTTACTGCTGGCCCTAAAGATGTAAAAAAATTTCTTAGTTTTTCATAAACTCCAATTTATCTCTTTCTAATTTTATGTTGATCACACAATCATCATCTATTGTAATTTGTAAATTTGGCGACTTTGTTGACTACTATGGTTCTCGTTAATATGACAAAGTACGATCAGATGAATAAGAAAGTATGGTTTTAATCAATTCAACCTTGAGTTTCACTTTTTTTATTTTATCTTATAATGAAAATCTAGGTAGTAGAAGAAAATTGAAAATATGGATATTGATTTGTGTATCCGGCAAGAATCGAACCCGCGTCGGGCTAATCAACTTCAACTTCAATATGCCGGGCTGATGTCCTTACCAACTATATTACAGAGGAACGGAGATACTGGACAAGTGATAACATTTTTGGCAATTTTTATTTTCTACTAAGCTTGCGTCAATTATTCTTAAGCATAAACCGTTTCAATTCCTGTGAAACTCAATATTAAAAAACCGATCGTAAGCGAAGCAATCAATGTGAGAACACTACCTATTATTCTAATGTTTTCCTACTCAAAAACATCAGTAATTTTCCCGACTTTTGGGTTCTCAAATATTTTATCATTCGTTTCCTTGTTTCGTAGCTAACATTAGAAAATCTGTAATAAGTAAAATTCGAGGAAAAATTTTGATTTTATTTATAAAATTTTTACGCCCTCGTAATTTTACTTGTATCGAACAAAAAGCTTTGAAAGATTGATTGCATAAAAATGAAATTTAAGAAAAAAAGCTTCAGAAGTCTAAGATTTCTTTAAGAAGTGAGAACTGACTTTAAAAAATTAAAGATTTAAATAAATTGGTTGGAAAGGAAAAGGAAAATGATTTTGAGGTTAAGGAAATAACCATATAAACACAAATACATATATAAATACATAAGGTAACAGGTGGCGAAAATTTTAAGGAAAGTTTTTAAGGCAAAATAATTAAGGAAAAGGCATAAAATATATCGGAAAGGCATAGTAAAGAATTAATTAACATAAATAACGGAATAATATATAAAAGATGAAAGATTTAAATAAATTGGTTGGAAAGGAAAAAGAAATGATTTTGAGGTTAAGGAAATAACCATATAAACACAAATACATATATAAATACATAAGGTTACTGGTGGCAAAAATTTTAAGGAAAGGTTGTCGGTTCAAATCCTGGTGGAGAATTTATTTATTTAATTTTTTTTNTAATAAGTTAAAAATTGTTAATAAAATTTATAATGTCAAAAAGAAGAATCTGGCTGCGTTGACTACTCTCGACAGTTCAGTTTTCTGAAAATTCAATTTAAATTGTTCATACCCGAACATGATCGTCTTCGTGGCATACCAGAACTTGTAAATAAATATCAAAGAATTTTCGCCAAGATTCATAGGACCAACGGGAACTGTCGAGTGAATAAAGATATTTTGCAAAGCCTTCCGAGTGTACTTTACTGCTGGCCATAAAGATGTTGACGACGATTATTTACATTGAAAGATAAAAAATTTTCTTAGTTTTTTCATAAACTCCAATTTATCTCTTTCTAATTTTATGTTGATCACACAATCATCATCTATTGTAATTTGTAAATTTGGCGACTTTGTTGACTACTATGGTTCTCGTTAATATGACAAAGTACGATCAGATGAATAAGAAAGTATGGTTTTAATCAATTCAACCTTGAGTTTCACTTTTTTTATTTTATCTTATAATGAAAATCTAGGTAGTAGAAGAAAATTGAAAAAATGGATATTGATTTGTGTATCCGGCAAGAATCGAACCCGCGTCGGGCTAATCAACTTCAACTTCAATATGCCGGGCTGATGTCCTTACCAACTATATTACAGAGGAACGGAGATACTGGACAAGTGATAACATTTTTGGCAATTTTTATTTTCTACTAAGCTTGCGTCAATTATTCTTAAGCATAAACCGTTTCAATTCCTGTGAAACTCAATATTAAAAAACCGATCGTAAGCGAAGCAATCAATGTGAGAACACTGTCGGATCCTTGACTAAAAACTCCAATAAATTGCTGAAAATTAATGAATAAAACAAGCGAGTTTCTTTTGTCAACTGTACTCCTCAAACTTTGTCAAATGACTGATTTATTTTCTCTCATTAAATTTAATTCTCTCCTGTTCCCGAAATACCTACCTAATTGCTCAATTTTTAATTTAGATTTTCTTTTTAACCGTTATAATTTTTCTCCTGTACTACTATATCCCACATCCGCCCTTTACTGTACTCTTCCTTTGATGTATATCGAGATAATAAATAAAATGCAATGAATCCAGCAAACAACGATAAAATTATCCAAAAATATTATAGCATACATATTCGTTTAATCTGGTCGGTTTAACTCTAATTCTCTGTGGTTTTTGATTGACTTCGGTTTGCTTAGAATTCTCGCCAGTCATCTCACCCACAGGTTTCAATTCGTTCCAAACTTTCTTATCTTGCTTTCTTACTTGAGATGCAAGCTGCACCAAATCAGATCCATCTTCATTTCTCAATAGAAGTCTGCCATCATTTTCATGAAGCACTTTAAACCGAGAATCCACAAAATTTTCATTGCTATCGGAGTCATTTGAACATTTCTCATTTATTCGCTTCAGCTTTCTTCGAGGACATTGCAGGTTCAACTGAATGAACTCTCTTCATTTGTGGACGTGAACGACACATTTTTGCGAAATGTCCAGTACGGTTGCACTTATTACATGTTTTATTTATGTTAGGACAATTCATACTGTTATGATTGCTATAGCCACACCGAGAACATTCCTTATTTACACGCAAATTGTCCTTAGCTTTACTCGAACGGTTTACGAAACGATAGTCTTGTTGCTTTGATCGTGATGCTCGTATTTGATCCGAGGAAATTGCATTTACTTCGACGTCGTTTATTTCTCCTTGTTTAATCAATCGCTTGCTATTAAGACTCTTAACCAGTTCCAATGCACTTGCAAATTCTTTTAACTTTTGAAATGTACATCCGGCCTCTAAAGCTTTCTTTTGTAAATCGGTATCTGAAGTATTTGCTGCGATTGTTATAATCAGTTCTCGTTCTAAATTTTCACCGATTAATCCGCTGTGTCGAGCACAACGAAGCATACGCGACAAGTATTTGCCTGGCGTCTCCTGAGTTCCTTGTTTAGCTGAACGGAAGTTAACGATTTGCAGAATCTTATTCTGTGAAGACATAAAATGTTCATCCAGATTCTTTAAAGCGTCAGAAAATGGATTATTTGACGATGTTGATGGCAAATCTAAGCTTAAACCGTCAAGAACATCAAGAAGTGTATTACCAGCTTATCGTTTCAAGAAAGCCCATTTCTCGTTTTCTGAGAGACATGATAGAGCCTCAATACTTGCCAATAACATATCTTTCCAGCGATTATAGCTGAGCATCGAAATTTCTGTTTCACCGGGTAATGGAACACATGGCTCGATTTTTATTGAAGCCATTGTCAATGCCAAAGTCGATTTCTCCATAGTTCGACTCATTTCCTCGAGCGAACGATTTGTTACTTCGTGATAATAATTCGGTTTAACTCGTGTCGATGTAAAAACAGTTGTGTCTTCAACTGTATCCGATGCATCTTCTTCATTTCCAACCCTTTCTCCGCTTTCTGACGGTATTATCGGTTTGTCTCCTGAATTTATCTCGTTTTCTAGTTCATTTCTATCGTCATCGGCCATTTTCTGAAATTAATATNTCATTAAATTTAATTCTCTCCTGTTCCCGAAATACCTACCTAATTGCTCAATTTTTAATTTAGATTTTCTTTTTAACCGTTATAATTTTTCTCCTGTACTACTATATCCCACATCCGCCCTTTACTGTACTCTTCCTTTGATGTATATCGAGATATAGATAAAATGCTATCTAGAGAAAAGGAATAAGAAAAGACACAATACATAAAATAAAAGCATACTTACGAATCCAACAAACAACAATAAAATTATCCAAAAATATTATAACATACATATTCGTTTAATCTGGTCGGTTTAACTCTAATTCTCTGTGGTTTTTGATTGACTTCGGTTTGCTTAGAATTCTCGCCAGTCATCTCACCCACAGGTTTCAATTCGTTCCAAACTTTCTTATCTTGCTTTCTTACTTGAGATGCAAGCTGCACCAAATCAGATCCATCTTCATTTCTCAATAGAAGTCTGCCATCATTTTCATGAAGCACTTTAAACCGAGAATCGACAAAATCTTCATTGCTATCGGAGTCATTTGAACATTTCTCATTTATTCGCTTCATGACAAGATCGCCCGGCTCAATGTTTTTCTCTATATTGGTGTCTGCACCATTTACATCATCCTTTGAGACGATTAATCGCTTAACGTCGGATACGTAGCGAATGTATTCCTTACCTCTCTCACCTCTTATCACGAGTCTTGAAACATTTCTGCTTATAACTAAGAATTTTTCGCTTAAAAAGGTTGCTTCAGCTTTATTCCGTCGATGTTTGTTAGCAACAAGAACCCAGTCACCTTCTTTAATACCTGATTCTTTTGCACCGCGTCTCAAATCAGCATATAACTTTGACTTTAACTTAGCAATCGCATCCTTTTCTCTTAATTCGTCCGAAAACCGATTTTCACCGAGAACTTTGTCGTTGTAAATAGCCGGAAAAAAACCATTAAATTTTCTACCTGTCATAAGCTCAAATGGCGTTGCTCCCGTGACCTTGTGAGGCCTTACATTATTGTACACATGTACGTGGCGTTGTAATGCATCTCTCCAACTTAAACCGTCCAACTGAGCTGCTGCTACAGCTCTGTTCACTCCCTGATTTCTTCTTTCCACCATGCCATTTTGAAAAGCACAATAGGGAATCACGCATCGATGATGAACACCATTTTCCTTCCAATGTGTCGTAAAAGCTTCAGAGTTAAATGGTGGTTCATTATCACTTTGGATCACATCTGGCTTACCCCAGACTCTGAAAATATCCCACAAGGCTTTAATTGTGCTACTCGTGTTAGTACGATGCATTTCAATTATCCAAAACATTCTCGAATAAGTATCCGTTACCATTAAGAACTCTTCGGAACCACATTTAGGAAGGGATAAGAAATCGATTTGAATTATTTGCCATGGATGTTCCGGCAACTCACGACTCTGTATAGGCAATGGTTTCGACAAACGGCTTAAACGCTGACAGGTAAAACAAGAAGCCACCAATTTCTCAACTTCCTTTCCAATACCAGGCCACCAAACCGAATTTCTTAAGATACGTTTCATCGAGTCGATACCAAAATGACCTTCATGAACTTTATCCAAAACAACTTTTCGTAAACCTGACGGGATAACCATTTTATTCCGGAAAAAGATAACACCACGAACGATGTAAAGTTGACGTCTAAGAGCTTGATAGTGAAGTAAATCTGCTGGCCAGTTATTTGAAGCAAGACATTGTATAACCTTAGACAAAACGACATCTTTACCCGTTTCATTTTCTATTTCATCGCGAGTTAATGCCATCTGATAATCTTCAACAATCGAATTAATCTCTTCATATCGGGTTTCGTCAAACGCCGGGTCATTTTGTGATTCGTGTATGAGACGAGAAAACACATCAGCAATATTTTTCCGACCTTCAACCGTTTTCATCGAGAAATTAAACTGGGATAATCGTAAAGCATATGTCTCTGCTCTCGAAATAGATCTTCTATTTAATCGATATTGTGAACCGAAAATAAATTCATTTCCTTCCGCATCCGTTGTAAGTGTAAACTCGAGACCACGCAGATAATATTGGAATCTTTCAACTCCCCACACAAGAGCCAAAGCTTCTCTTGTTGCCTGCGAGTACTTTCGTTCAGCTGACGTCAAAGATTTTGATGCACAAGCAATTATACGAGGTTTACCGGAATCATCATATTGGACTAGAACTCCGCCTAGCCCTACAGGGGAAGCATCCACTATCAGTTCAGTTTTATGTTTCTTGTTATAAAAACCCAAAGTCTTTATTCTTTTAAGCGCAAGGTTTTTCATGTAATCGAACTCTTTCTCCGCCTCCTTAGTCCATTTAAATTGTTTTGTTCGTACCATTGTCTGAAGGAAATCAGTCTTGTCAACACGATTTAATATAAACTTATCCACAAAATTCATTACACCGAGGAAACTTCTTATTTCGGAAACATTAGCAGGTCGTCTAAAATTTTTAATCGCTTCCAGTCTGTACCGGGAGAGGGCGCTGAGAGCGGCAGTATACGAAGGACGACGGTAGTAGACGGCCGCATGCGAACACAGTCTATCCTCTGTCACCTTATAACCACTTTTATTTAATTCGAAGCCCAAGAATGTACACGCTATTTTATTCAGCTTGCATTTCTTCATGTTCAATTTTACGTTATGAAATTTCAATCGTCTCATTACCGCTAATAAATTTCTATCGTGTTGTTCGGGAGTCTTTCCATACACTAGAATATCATCGAGGTAAATCAGCACACCTTCACAATCTGTCAGCACTGTTTCCATTGCTGCTTGAAATATATCTGGAGCATTACATAGACCAAAAGGTAATCTCTTAAACCGGAAAAATTTCTCTCCGGAGTAAAAATTTGTTATATGTCTAGAATTCTTATCCAGTTCCACATGAGAGAAGGCATTTGTCAAATCGATTGTTGAAAATTTTACACTACCATGAAGATAAGAGGTAATTTTATCGAATGACGGCATGTTGTAAGGCTCTCTAATAATAGATTTGTTAACTCCTCTGAAATCTATTACCAGTCGAATGTCATCTTTTCCTTTAGGTACAACTAATAAAGCGGAGCAAAACGATTTATCCATTTCTTCAGTCAATTCCTCAATTATTCCTGTAGCCAACATTTCTCCGATTCGTTCCTTAACCATTTCGACCATTGGCAATGGAATGTTTGTGTATGTAAACCGTCTAGGCTTAATATCAGGATTTATCACCAATTTTACAGGAGGCATTTTGAATTTTGGAAACTCTTTTATTTGTGAGATGCTGCAAATTTCTCCTTCACCACTAGCAACAACAAGACCAACCTGTAAAATCTTATATCGAAGTGCTGTTTCTCTACCCAAAAGTGATCTTTTTGCTCCATTAACAACATAAAACGACTCTAATCCATGAGGTCTCGTGCTGTTTATAAACAAATCCGATTCAAACGTTGCTATCACATCCAGGGGACGAACGCCAGCGTAAGCCACCAGCTTACGATTTGCGTTCGGAGAAATATTAATCACTCGATCTCTTGCTTCACTGTTTTCCAGAAGAGTTTCAAATATTGTCTCCGTTACCGTATTAGCAGATGAACCGGAATCAATCATGAATTCGACTTCCAATCCACCTACATATGCTAAAATGAAATGATTTCTGTTCTCATTTTCTTTACAACGTTGCATCATTTCCACATTCATTACACCGGTCTAAAACAAAATTTTATCAAATTTATTAGCTTTTCATAATAATGATTACCTTGCTTGAACCACGACACACATTTAAACAATTAATTCGAAACGCATTAAATAATTCCAAGGTTTGTCTGTTATTTATTTGCTTATTTCTTTAATTTAAATTTCATTTTCGAATGCCAATAATAACATTTTATACATGGATTCATCACTACTAACTAACTTTGATGACTTTTCATCAACTGTACTAGAAAATTGAAAACATAAAAAGAAGATTAATATATTCGGTGTAATTCATAACTTCAATCGGGTAAAAAGAAACATGGCTTAAATTTAGTTCTTTATCGTTCTACTTTAGCATTATCGTGGTTAAAGAAAGGTAACTTATTCATAATCCGAGAGAGAGTCGTTGCCTACCTGGCTCACTTCTGTTACTTCGTGATCAATTCTCGTCTTCTTTTGTGTTGCTTCAGCTTTCTTCGAGGACATTGCAGGTTCAACTGAATGAACTCTCTTCATTTGTGGACGTGAACGACACATTTTTGCGAAATGTCCAGTACGGTTGCACTTATTACATGTTTTATTTATGTTAGGACAATTCATACTGTTATGATTGCTATAACCACACCGATAACATTCCTTATTTACACGCAAATTGTCCTTAACTTTACTCGAACGGTTTACGAAACGATAGTCTTGTTGCTTTGATCGCGATGCTCGCATTTGATCCGAGGAAATTGCATTTACTTCGACGTCGTTTATCTCTCCTTGTTTAATCAATCGCTTGCTATTAAGACTCTTAACCAGTTCCAATGCACTTGCAAATTCTTTTAACTTTTGAAATGTACATCCGGCCTCTAAAGCTTTCTTTTGTAAATCGGTATCTGAAGTATTTGCTGCGATTGTTATAATCAATTCTCGTTCTAAATTTTCACCGATTAATCCGCTGTGTCGAGCACAACGAAGCATACGCGACAAGTATTTGCCTGGCGTCTCCTGAGTTCCTTGTTTAGCTGAACGGAAGTTAACGATTTGCAGAATCTTATTCTGTGAAGACATAAAATGTTCATCCAGATTCTTTAAAGCGTCAGAAAATGGATTATTTGACGATGTTGATGGCAAATCTAAGCTTAAACCGTCAAGAACATCAAGAAGTGTATTACCAGCTTATCGTTTCAAGAAAGCCCATTTCTCGTTTTCTGAGAGACATGATAGAGCCTCAATACTTGCCAATAACATATCTTTCCAGCGATTATAGCTGAGCATCGAAATTTCTGTTTCACCGGGTAATGGAACACATGGCTCGATTTTTATTGAAGCCATTGTCAATGCCAAAGTCGATTTCTCCATAGTTCGACTCATTTCCTCGAGCGAACGATTTGTTACTTCGTGATAATAATTCGGTTTAACTCGTGTCGATGTAAAAACAGTTGTGTCTTCAACTGTATCCGATGCATCTTCTTCATTTCCAACCCTTTCTCCGCTTTCTGACGGTATTATCGGTGTGTCTCCTGAATTTATCTCGTTTTCTAGTTCATTTCTATCGTCATCGGCCATTTTCTGAAATTAATATATAT